TTTCAAAACGTAAACTATACTTAACGGATAAAAATCATTTGCGATTGCAAAACATAGATTATTTTAAACAGTTTGATGTAAATTCTTACAAACCGTTAAATGTTAACGGCTGCATTAAATATAAATTGAAACTATGATTAACAACTCTTAACGCATCAACTATATTCAAAATGTTAATTTTCAACAAAATCTATTGTTAGAATATAAAACATGAGCTGTGCAGAGTACGTTTTTATCCGTTAAATATAGTTTTACAGTGAAAAAATTCGATCGTTAACTATACTAACGAAAAAAAAGGTTTGACCTGTTTCGTTTTTATCAATTGTGAAATAGGTTTATCTCATTTTTGTGAATTTTATATATCAAATATGAAAAACATATATATTTTTACAGATTCACTTTATTGGAAGTAAATGTATTATGTATCTCGTTATTACGAGTTAATTTATAAACGGTAATAAAGAACATTCGTTATTGATTAACAATCTTAATTCAATGTTTTAAAAAACCTTTAATGTGTTCTGAAGATTTTTTAATCATTTTATCTTTTGCACCACCCCAATCCCCATACACCAACACTTAAACTTATATGTATAGAGCAGCCCGGTCCTCCGGGCTGCAATAATCAAAAACTCTAAAGAACTTTCAGAGATTTTTCTCTCTAAATTCACTAGCATAATAACGTTTGATTTAAAAAAAAATACTACAATACTGTTTTTACATTTAATTCCGGGCAAAGCTTTATTTCACACATTTATGTGATCTGATAACCTGAAAAGGGAGGGGGATTTTGCGGTAAAAATGACAAATGGTGAACATAGAATATTAAATAGATAAGATACATGTACATGTATCTTGTTAACATATTCTACACAATCTTCTAATTATCAAATGAAACCCATGCTGGATTTATGTTGTAGCAATATCGTGATTTTTTTCCCCACAAAATTTAATCTTTTTGTTCAGTAAACTATAAAGAAGTGGAAAACTGTCAACAGGTCAGCAAACAGGGTTTTTGTGTGAAAAGAACTCTTTTATCTCGCATGAATAGATTTTCAATTTGGAAGGGTTATTTCCGTTTGTCGTGAAACAACCTATTTTTCTCATTTTATCCTTTGTTGCTTACCTGTAAAAATTTTAAACATCTTTTGAAAAAAATTATACAATATCTTTATTGAAAAAGTATGCGCCAACAAAGAAAACAAAATAGAAATATACATATAGAGGTTATCAGATCCTATCCCATGCCAGAAGTTGGTAATGTTAAAGAGGAAAAACAACACCTTATACCGACTGACCCTAAGTTGATCGGAGAAGGAATATAACTTTGGAAATGGCGAACGTCGTCTATGATAAAAAAAAAAACCCTCTCTATTTTGAAAAAACTAGAAGGTGACAGCCCAAACAAACAAACAAGTTCAAAGAATTGTGGTCCCCCGCTTTCGGTGTCTATGTGGGTGAGATGTCATTTTTTATGACACATTGTGTCAAATATATACTCCCTATCATTTAGGGAGTATCACCGAAGTTGAATTAAAAAAAAACAAGGTCAATCGTGAAGGTCAAGGCCAAGGAGTCAGAAATCACAGCATGTTTGGAAATATCTTGTCACAGGTAATGCACATGTCAAATAGGAAAACCCAATCTCTTCTCAATCAAAAGTTATATAAGGAACAAGATGTGTTTGTGAAACACTGATGACCCCGTATGACAACATACTTTTCTTAAATGCAAATTAGATATATTTACAAGTACCCAAAATAGGGTTTTCTCATATGAAATATGATTGTGAAATATGAAAGCCCTAGCACCACCTGTTCAAAAATTATAGCCAAGTATAAGTTTTTGGAAGGTAGGTCAAACTCCAAGGCCAAAGGGTCAAATCAAATTTATTGGTTTCGTAGAAAGGTCTTGTCATGAGTATTACATATGTGAAGTATGAAAGCTCTAGCCCTTACCGTTCAAAAGTTATGGCCAAGGTTAAAGTTTTTAAAAAGTAGGTCAAACTTCAAGGTCAGAGGGTCAAAGTTCTTGATATTCAATGAAAGGTCTTGTCACAAGGATTAAATATTTGAAGTAAGAAAATCCTAGCCCCAACTCTTCAAAATTATGGTCAAGATTTGTGTTTAAAAAATAGGTCAAATTCCAAGGTCAAGGTCAAAGGATCAAAATTCTTGATATGCAATGAAAGGTTTTGTCACAAGGATTAGATGTATGAAGTATTAAAGCTCTAGCCCTAACCCTTCAAAAGTTATGGCCAAGGTTTGTTTTTTCAAAAGTAGCTAAAACTTCAAGGTCAATGTCAAAGGGTCAAAGTTCTTGATATCCAATGAAAATTCTTGTCACTAGGATTAAATATTTGAAGTAAGAAAGCCCAAGCCCTAACCCTTCAAAGGTTATGGCCAAGATTTGTTTTTAAAAGTAGCTCAAACTCCAGGGTCAAAGGGTCAACATTCTTGATGGTATGTTTTTTAAAGTAAGTCAAATTTTAAGGTCAAGGTCAGAAGGTCAAAATTCTTGGTATCCAATGAAATGTCTTCTCACAAGGATGACATATGTGAAGTATGAAAGCCCTAGCCCTTACTGTGGAAAAGTTATGGCCAAGGTTAAAGTTTTTAAAAAATAGGTCAAACTCCAAGGTCAAGGTAAAAGGGTCAAAGTTCTTGATATGAAATGAAAGGTCTTGTCACAAGTATTAAATATATGAAATATGAAAATCAAGTGATTTAGATCCACTTAATCAAGTTATGGGCAAGGTGAAAGTTTTTCTTGATAGGTTCAAGTTTTCAAAAAATAGGTCAAACTCCAAGGTCAAGGTAAAGGGTCAAAGTTCTTGATATGAAATGAAAGGTCTTGTCACCAGAATTAAATATATGAAAATCAAGTGATTTAGATCCACTTAATCAAGTTATGGGCAAGATTAAAATTTTTCTTTCTTTCGCGAAAGCGGGGGACAATTAAATATACAACAAGAGGCCCATGGGCCAGAATGCTCATGATGAACCCAAGTGTGTGTAACTTTGGCAATGCTATTCCTTACTGGATTTCCACTCTTGTAAAACCTATTGTGGCCCCACCCAACCTCCGGGGTCATGATTTTTTATAATTTAGAATTTACACTACCTTAGGGTTTCCATATAAGTTTTAGCTTTTATATCCAAGTGGTTTTTGAGCAGCAGATTTTTCCTTAAAATTTCAATGTAAAACTTGGATTCCCTATTGTGCACCGCCCTACCCTTGGGGGTCCTGATTTTAACAATTTAGAATTTACACTACTCCAGGATGCTTCCACATTAGTTTCAGTTTTCTGATCCAGTGGTTCTTGAGAAGGTTCTTTAATGAACCTACCCTATTTTTGTCTTTTCTTTATTATCTCCCCTTGCAAGGCTTGGTCCTGTATTTCAATTTTTTTTAAAAATTCCCCTTTACCAAAGGATGCTTTGTACCAAGTTTGGTTGAAATTAGCCCAGTAGTTCTTGAAAAGTTGAAAATGTAAAAAGTTTACAGATGGACAGACAACAGTGATCAAAAAAGCTCACTTGAGCATTCAGCTCAGGTAAGCTAAAAGTATACCATTTGGCTTAAAAACCCAGTCAGTGGCATTTATGGAATGATAAATGACTGTGGTATTCATAATAAAGACAATATTCAGTGAATATAAGTGGGAGGCTCAAACTTTAAATTCAAACTAGCATGTACACCAGAATTGATGACTTTTGTTTTATACTGCCTGCTGTGTTCATTAGCTCTTGACACATAATTTGAAGTAAACTCAATGCTCTACTTCAAATAAGAACACCCACGTGGCGCAATGTCTTCTCTGGAAGTGCTAAGTAAGGAGTTGATCCTTATGTCGCAGGTTCAAATCCTACTGGGGGATGTGGAGATCGGTCCTTCAGATAAGACAGTATGAACTGAGGTCCCATGTTGCAGTAGGTGCTGGCACGAAAAAGATCCCTCACTGCTCAATGGCCCTGAGTGCCGAGCAAATTTTGCAGCTCTCCATCGGCAAATGGTGGTGTCTCCATATGAATGAAAAATTTTCGAGAGGGACTTTAAACAACATACAATCAAATCAGAACTAATCTTTTACAGGTAAATAATGATCACAAATAGTTTTTGTCATTATTGACAGTTACCTGAAAAATCAACAAAGGTATACTGTACAGTGTTTTATTAACATGAATAACAGTATAACAGGAACTTTTTGGACAAACTGTCAGTGAGAAAGAAACAGCTGATTGATGGCATTAACACATTGATAATAAGATTAAAAATTTCTACTCTACAATATGTACAGATAATAATTAAAATTCTTCAGGATTTTGGGGGACTGAAAAGTTCTGCTAAAAAAAACAGCTGTCACTTCCTCAAGAATGATATTAATAAGGGACAAAGAAAACAAAACACAATTTCAAAGACACAGCAATAATTATACAGATGAAGTCAATTATACAGTATATGTAAAATAGTTTCTGGCATTTTTTCATTCCAGTGTTAAATTAAAAAAAATTTAAAGGCTTTTTTACATAAATATATATATAATATCAAACATGTCAAGGCTTTAGAGTATGGGGAATATACATTTTCTTTATGTCTAGTAGACTGTCAATATAACAGAACATGATTCTATTACACAGTAATAGAAATGTTCAATTTGTTATTTGGTTTACACTTGTTGAACAGATTTTCCTCTCAATATTAGTGTTCCAGCATTCAGTAATTTTTACTTCTTATCACTCAAACTCAGATTTCAATGATATTCAGTAACCAAAAGGCAAATGAATGATCTCTTTTTTGTTACTTACTGGTCTATTCTACTATGTTCTTTGGACAATGAAAATGAGCTTAATATTCTTAGTCATCAAAACAAGTATAATGCATATTATTATGAAGGGGAGTAACTCTCTGCTCATTGACTTGTACTGATAGCAATTTTCTGACATAAGATGGAAAACAAAAACAAGAAATTGAAATAAACTTTGTCTACCATAAGGACAATATACTGTATATTTTAAAAAATATACATTATATAAATTGTCTGTCATATTAATATCCATTCTTAAATCATATATTTCAACAATAAAAATTCATGCATATATTATCACTGTGACAAAATAATTAAGGAACAAATTTAAGAAGTTTTAGTGCCTCTCAGTTAAAGGCAATGACATAACAAAATTTCAAAGGAAAAAATGCATAAGACAAACACAATTTTCAGGAGAAATATTGAATAAACAAGAACACATGAATAACAGTGTCGTTTTAACTACGTGTAGCTGAGTAGCCCTCGGTCAGTCACACTCAGGAATCTTCCTGGACATATTGGACGACGTAAGTTTCTCCATCCCCGAACTCTCCTGTCATTGTCTGGATTATCTGGAAAGTAAAACCTACATTGAGTACAGGTGATAAATCAGCTGTCTTAGTTACAACTAATTTACTTTAACTTGGTATCAGGTTTCTGTAAGTAACAGCAGCTTAAAGTTGCCATAGCTCAGATTATATACAGGTAGTGGATACTCCTAAAGAAACTGTCTTTTTGTCTCATTGCCAAAGTGTATAGATACAAGCTGCCACTTTAGAATTAGCTAAAGATCCTTGTGACCTCTTATGTGTCATGCTTGACAGATTTCTTTTATATTAGTATATTTTAAAGCAAAAAAAAAAATTAACCTCCAGAGATATTGCAAAAGAAAGTCTAATAATGAAAACGTGTTATTTTTTAGCACTTAATAATACTGTCAAAGTTTTTATTATTTACTTAACAAATGATCTAGCCTAAGGACTTCATGAGTCATACAAAGGTAGACATATTTACACAATGTAAAACAATGTATCTGAACACTTTTCTTAATTTCAGTAATCATAGGTCACTATTATTCATTGCTTGACTATATATCTCATCTGTTGTTTACTATTCTCCGACTGTATAGCTCACCTGTTGTTCACTGCCATCCACCTCTGTTATAATGATATTCTGAGCCAGTCCCTCAGCCTGGCTTATACCTGTAGGCTGACCTTGACTTAACACATTCTGAATGACCCCGGTTGTCGCGTTGCTGCTAGGAATTAGCAGGTCTTTATTGTCCACCTCCTGAACAGCTGCTGTCGTGATGACAGAATTAGCAGGAGAGGGCTCTGTACTTACGTCACCAGGCACCTGCTAAATAAAGTCATTAATTTAGCTCATTTCAACAAATTCTACATGTAAACATAAAAATTTTACCTGTACGTGTGAGACATTAGCTGCATGGGCCCAGAGTACGTTAACACATAATATATACGCTAACACGTCTTATCTTACCTGTACGTGCTGGACATTAGCTGCCTGGGCCCCACCCTGCTCAGCACTAGTGATCATCTCTACTAAGGTTAGCAGACTGCTGGCAATCGAGTTCTGATTCGTGTCCTCTGATGAATCAATCACCATCTCTCCATTCTCTTCAGACACCTGCAGAGTAGACAAGAAATTCTTGTTGCTAATAAACATAATAACCAGTGCCTTAGAAATGTTCCTGTAATTATGTCCTATCCAAGACTTGTCATCACCAAGTACGTGTACAGCTTGGAATTACTATTTCAATTTTTACTTTTTATTTCATCATGGCACAAGAACTCATTTTTCATTACTCCTTGATCCAAATCCCTTGCATAAAGCTTTTGAATTCAAGTTAACTTATGGTTTCTTTTTCTACCACATCCATTTCAGAAAAATAAAAATTACTACATACAAGGATAAACATTCTAATGACTCTGATGTATCGTTAACACTCACCTTCTGTGTGGCGGCCTCTGTTTCGTCTTTCCCGTCCAGCCCCAGGTGATCGTGGTCCAGCCCAGACACTTCCTCCTCTATGATCGTCTGACTCTCCATGCTGAGTTCCTCCATCCCCTTACGACTCTTCACCATCTCCATGTGATCGTGATTTAACGCTGAGAAATCGCCACTGACGTCCATCTGTAGCGCGCCCTCTGCTTCGTCTTCGGCCCGCAGTCGTTCCATCATCTCACGCTTCAGGCGAAGTTTACGCTTGTACTTGGGCTCATCTTCTGAATGGACACACATGTGAACCTCCAAGTTCTGCTGCCTCAGAAATCCTTTAAATAAACAATACATAGGCTTTCTGTCTTACACTGTTATTTCATAGTACACATATGAAAAATTCTTTGAATGTATATGCTACAATTTGCTACTTCTTAACATGGGAATATGAAATGTGTTCATTTTCAAATTAAAGATCTATATAAATAATTCCTTCTCAACACGTTGAATTCAGTACAAACCTGTACGCCAGTAATAAGATTTGTACACAATTTGGTAAGGCCATCCTTAAAAAATTTATTTTTTGCGGTAACGAGCCTCATCATTTTAGGTGTGAGTAGGTAGGTAGGGCTTTTTTTTTTTTTTTTGAGACAAAATGTCAGAAATAAATTTCGATGATATAGAGGTATTAACTATGTCTCAATTTTCACCTTACTTATCAAACAGGAAAATTAAAGCATTCTAAATGAATTCAATCTTTTATTGCTCAAATATCAGAACACATCTGTTCTTTTAAGGCAAACTTTTTCTTAAGAAGTGACTCTCATCAGCCACGTACCTCAAATAACTGACTCCATACTAATCTAGTGTTTCGAGGGTGTGATATTTACGAGGTTTAAGATTTTGATAGTTTATTAATTAGCTGTAAATCAGTAATCATCCCACGTGGAATTTTGTCTGCAACCAATTTTGTGGCGATCTCGTAAACATACCATGTATCTGTAAGGTGGAACTGACGTACTATTTTTTTTTGCCTAGTAATTAAGATGTTTTTCCTTTATAATTTACTGTAACTGACAGAACTATAGATATGGCAATACCCGCAACCTTATATACGCCATCTCTAAATTTGAGGATCACAAAAACGTTTTAATAGTACTTGGGGGAAAGATAAAGCGTCGGTGTAACCGAGACGTAAAAAAAAAATCAATCGGATAAAAACGGAAAATGGATACGTAAAAAAAAAAAAAAAGATTTTTGAACCGATGAACAAAAATCCAGTCGGGTGGATTTTGGTGAGTTCTTCTACCGCAAAAAAACAATTTTTTAAGGATGGCCTAACAATGGAAGATTTAAAGGAAAGAGCAATTAATTTTAAAGTATACTTAACTCTGTGTTTAGTTAATAATGACAGATTTTGATGTACCTTTGAAGCAGATAGGACAGCTGAAAGGCATGCCATTTTTGTGGATGAGCTTGTGACGTTTTAAGGTCTTGCTTTCTTTGAATGCCTTATCACACTCGTCACACTCGAATGGTTTTTCGCCGGTATGTGTTCGCTGATGTGCAATCAGATGAGCATTCTGTGTGAAGGCACGTCCACATTCCTGACAGCTAAAAGTATACCACATAGTGATGATTACATAAAATTCCACATCACAGTTTAACACCTTGCAGTAAGAGCAAACCACTGCAATGATATTTTACACTTAAACTGATATCATATGGAACAAATGAAGAACAATAACATGTAGTAAATCTTGCAAAGAGAGATCCATGACATCAACATGATTTAAATTCATCTTCAGTCTGTATTACAGATGATCGTGGTTTTTCCTGTACCAACCTATAGGGTCTTTCTCCACTGTGTGTCCTGTGATGTTTTTCTAAGTGAGGCTTAGTGCGGAAACTCTTGTTACACACTGTACACTGGTATGGCTTCTCTCCTAGAACGACAAAAATCAAGTTTCACACTAATACTCAACCTTACTAAAGTCACTTTTCATCTTAAAAAATTACTGAATAAAAATTACATAATGAAAATCTAAGACTTAACTCATTTTTCAAATAAAGAGTGCCAAGAAGAGAACAGATGTATTAGACCTGTTTATGTTTGTAATGGAAAGCTGATTTTTTACCGTGAGGCCACACCAATAAAATTTTTTGTTCGTCGGACCCACGCACTTGTATTTAAACATAACTATACAAATAATATTAATTTAAAATTCCTGCACCATGGGAATTCTGTGCTGATTTCTGATCCATTTCCGCTCTATTTATCGTACTTTAAATCTAGTTACTCTGCAAATCACAAAAAATATAATTGTCCGCTCAAATTTTTTCACGCCCCGCCTAAATATTTTGCCTACAAAAAAGTTATAATATTATTATTTAACCACTAGCCCCCTCGTACCTTTTTCATCAAATGTCTGACGAACAAGAAATTAAATTGGTGTGGCCTGAACGGTTTCCACAAATTTACATTTATATACTGTACCTGTATGAGTACGCTTGTGTTTGGGGAGCTGATTCTGTGTCGTAAAACACTTTCCACAAATGTCACATTTATATGGACGTTCGCCAGTATGGGTTCGCATGTGGATCTGAAAAAAAAGAAACAAAATATAAATAAAAGCTAAATAAAACATACAGACAAACAAGCATGAGGCAGACAAAAACAGACAGATTTTTTAGATCAAAGCCTAAGAAGTTTCAACGGAATCCAATGCATATTTAAAAAAACAAGAGGCCCATGGGCCACATCGCTCACCTGAGAAGCTTTGACCATTCTGTTCTTTACCAGATTTCCCCCTTGTAATACATAAAGCATCCCCACCCTACCCCACTGATCATAATTTAGACATTTTGAAATCTACACTACCCCATGATCCTTCCATGGGCACATATGTTTCAGAATATATGGCCCAGTGGTTCCTGAGAAGAAGATTTTCAAAGATTTTTCCTATATATTTCTATGTAAAACTTTGATTCCCTATAATGGCCCGCCCTTCCCCCGGGGGTCATGATTCCTATAATTTAGAATTAACACTACCCCAGAATGCTTCCACATAAGCTTCACTTTTTCTGCCCCAATGGTTCTTGAGAAAAAGATTTTCAAAGATTTTTCCTATATATTTCTATATAAAACTTTGATTCCCCATTGTGGCCCCGCCCTTCCCCCGGGGGTCATTATTTGAACAATTTAGAATCTACATTATACCAGGATGCTTCCACATAAGTTTCAGCTTTTCTGGCCCAGTGGTTCTTGAGAAGAAGATTTTCAAAGATTTTTCCTATATATTTCTATATAAAACTTTGATTCCCCATTGTGGCCCCGCCCTTCCCCGGGGGTCATTATTTGAACAATTTAGAATCTACATTATACCAGGATGCTTCCACATAAGTTTCAGCTTTTCTGGCCCAGTGGTTCTTGAGAAGAAGATTTTCAAAGATTTTTCCTATATATTTCTATATTAAACTTTGATTCCCCATTGTGGCCCCGCCCTTCCCCCGGGAGTCATGATGTGAACAATTTACAATCTACATTATACCAGGATGCTTCCACATAAGTTTCAGCTTTTCTGGCCCAGTGGTTCTTGAGAAGAAGATTTTCAAAGATTTTTCCTATATATTTCTATGTAAAACTTTGATTCCCCATTGTGGCCCCGCCCTTCCCCCGGGGGTCATGATGTGAACAATTTAGAATCTACATTATACCAGGATGCTTCCACATAAGTTTCAGCTTTTCTGGCCCAGTGGTTCTTGAGAAGAAGATTTTCAAAGATTTTTCCTATATATTTCTATGTAAAACTTTGATTCCCCATTGTGGCCCCGCCCTTCCCCCGGGGGTCATGATGTGAACAATTTAGAATCTACATTATACCAGGATGCTTCCACATAAGTTTCAGCTTTTCTGGCCCAGTGGTTCTTGAGAAGAAGATTTTCAAAGATTTTTCCTATATATTTCTATGTAAAACTTTAATTCCCCATTGTTTCCCCCGGGGGTCATGATGTGAACAATTTAGAATCTACATTATACCAGGATGCTTCCACATAAGTTTCAGCTTTTCTGGCCCAGTGGTTCTTGAGAAGAAGATTTTCAAAGATTTTTCCTATATATTTCTATATTAAACTTTGATTCCCCATTGTGGGAATGCCCTTCCCCCGGGGGTCATTATTTGAACAATTTAGAATCTACACTATACCAGGATGCTTCCACATAAGTTTCAGCTTTTCTGGCCCAGTGGTTCTTGAGAAGAAGATTTTCAAAGATTTTTCCTATATATTTCTATATAAAACTTTGATTCCCCATTGTGGCCCCGCCCAACCCCGGGGGTCATGATTTGAACAATTTAGAATCTACATTATACCAGGATGCTTCCACATAAGTTTCAGCTTTACTGGCCCAGTGGTTCTTGAGAAGAAGATTTTTTAATGACCCCACCCTATTTTTGTCTTTTCTTGATTATCTCCCCTTGCGAGGGGATATGTCCCTTCATTTTAACAATTTAAATTCCCCTTCACCCAAGGATGCTTTGTACCAAGTTTGGTCAAAATTGGCCCAGTGGTTCTTGAGAAAAAGTCGAAAATGTGAAAAGTTTACAGACGGACAGACAGTCATTTAATATACAGACGGACGGACGACGGACAAAATGTGATCAGAAAAGCTCACTTGAGCCTTCGGCTCAGGTGAGCTAAAAAAACATTTTCAAATGTTCATTGGAATAAAATGTTAAGTTATCCCTTGTGAACATTTTACATGAATCACAATTGAAAAACAATTGTATTTTTGAGGTCCTATGCCATGGTCGTAAGTGAACAGGATCTGAATTACTGTTAACCATTATTTGCATGCAAGAATAATTGGAATATATGCAAGTTACACAATTATCTTTTCCTTGCATATAAGATGCTGGGAATAAAAATTGGTTAATAGTATCAGATGAAAGCAAACAAACATGGACATCTATTACTGTTGTAGAATGTTTAACTCATCCCTTTTCTGTCAACTAAAAATAGGATGGATTCTTCCTTAGCATTGCTTTTTAGTCGTTTTATCCTGTGTAAGTGATTGCATGTAAATTACATATTATCATTCAGACCCATCATGAGCACTCTTCATTCTACATTGTATCATGTCACATTCATCTCCTACGTACCTGTAAATCGTCTTTGCGTCGGAAGTTTTTGGGACACGCATTACACTGGTAAGGCCTCTCCCCACTGTGAATGGAGGCATGGGAAATCAGATTGTGTTTGTAAAGAAACTCCTTTCCTGAAACAAACAAACAATCATTTCATAACATGTAACTAAATAAGGAATAATCATGCCTACAAAAAGTATTATTTATAATGAACAAAAATCTAAAATATCTAAGAAAACTTTTTTTAAAAGATACCTCTGACTGGATACTTCATCTTTCTTTGATAAAATTTTAAGAAGACTAAGACTGCGGTTTTTTAAAAGACATCTAAGATTATCATAAATATTTACTTTTAAGACATAAACTTGTTTCGTCAATTTGACAAATGTAACATCATTTGACTATCTGAACATGAGAAGAATCAGAATGTAGTGTCCCCTCACCACAGACATCACATTTGGGCAGCGTCTCTCCGTTGTGGTACTTCATGTGAGCTAAGACATGCGTCTTCTTCCGGAAATGCTTCCCACAATCCTCGCACTTGTAGGGTCGGTTCTCAGCACTGTTGTTCATGTTGTAGATTTTAGGGGGGACTGCCTCCACGTCCCCCTTCTGTAGCGTTACTCCCAGGGCCCTCTCAACATCGGCCTTCTGTTGCTGATTTGCTTCCAGTATACGTTCTATGATGATTGTTTCATTGTTGTTTGACTGTTGAAAAAATCAGTTCTTTTTCAAATCCATTACTCTTCAACTTTTTTCATGTGCATATCTGCATATCCTTCACATTTTTTTTTCAGTGGATACATGGAAAAATTGAGAACTTGCTTTTGACAAGCAACTTACAAGGGAGTAAGGTCTAAATTTTGGAAGTAACACATTTAAATGCCCAGATGAGTTAATGAAGTAAGGCTTGCATATGTACATTGCCACTTCAAGGTATCAAGGGTAATTTACAATAGATTATGCAGTCTTAGAGGAACTGAACTTTCACTTCTGAGTTTAATGGTTTTGCAAGATTGAGAGTTTGAGAGATCAAGAGAAAATTTGCTAAGTTATGTAAGGAGAAAAATTGGGACTATAGGTTCACTTTGAATAATCAAGCTACTCCAAGAGATTAATTTTGAGCCATCAAGAGTTATCTACATTTCATCTCATTGTGATACACATGTTTTTCAAGATTTTTTTCCCAAAAAGTGAAGAAGACATCTGGTACCTACTGCTAACATTTTCTGATCAACTTTTTTGCAAAGAGTTAAGACTAACAATTCTTGAACCATGTCCCAGTTTATAACCTTAAACTCAGTTGCCCTTACAGTTACAGTGTTCAACTTGTAACAAGAAAACTTAAAATTAATAAATTATTTCATTTGTGTAAAAGTTTGACTTCAACCATGTACACAGAGAAAAAGTTCAAAATGTTGTATAGAGATTACAGCACATGTACTTTAGATCCCTCTGAGTTAAGGGTATCCTAAAGGATATGATAACTTTATGTTATCCTTATTCACCTGTGGTAATGCCTGGATCTTCTGATTTGTCATTGTCATTGTGTTTCCTACCACTACTACTTTCCTCCCCATCTGATCCTGCAGCGCTATGACGGAGCCCTGCTGTGTATGATTAGGCTGCTGAGCTATCTGCTGAATTACCGCTGGCTGGTCCTGAGTTTCAGTTTCTGTTTGCTTGGACTCCACTTCTATGACTTTCTGACATTTCTGGCAATGTGTTGGTTCGGGTGTCTCCCCATTTATTGCTTTCTGGCATATTTCACACTGCTTCGGTACCTCTGTTTAACATTATATTTTCTAATGATATTAAGAGCAAGAAAAAATTTTTCTTAACATTCAGAATATCATAACCTTTTTCCATGTAAATAATGCTTTCCCATTATCTTAGCCAATTTTTTTTCTACATTTATGAAACAATAACATCTTCAGATCAAAGCTTATCTTAATATTTCTTATTTCAGTGAATCAATTTCTACCTTCAGTTATGATTGTCCATCCATTGATTTGAAAGAATGCATAGATAGCAATTTCTTGTTCTGGTGTGACCCTCAGAGACAATAGACGATTCTCCCCTCCTGGGGTGGCTGTAAGCTCTAGCGTTGCCATCCCTTATCATCTGAATGACCTTGAAAAATCAAAACATCATTGAGTATATAGGTTTTGGATACTCCTTTTCAATGTTTCAACAACAAATTCTAAAGAATTTTTTCCATCTTATGATAGATTGAGTACAACCCAACTCTTAGGAGTTCTACACTGTGTTTGAAATTACTTTGCATTTTCTAAGATTTCAAAAATTATGCAAAAACTAAATGCATGAAAACCTTATGCAAAAATAACCACGCACACTCAAAATAGTTGTCATTACTGTATATGCGAGTCAATCTGTGACAGTAACTTCCTACTTGCTCACATTTCTTGAAACCTAGTCCTGTGTCTAAGAAAAAGTGGAATTTCTCGGGGAAAAAATAATATATATCACAGATTAATGAAAATGAAAGTAGAAACTTTGTTTGAAAACTTCAGCCGAAACGTGGATATCCAGTACCTTAGAAGCGGGAAAACATGTATCATACGCAGCCACCATTTTGAATCGACAATAAATTATAAATTGTGTACGTTTTGCTTCTAATCTTTAAGAAATATGTTTTAAATCAATCTTTTCATTATCACGAAGTCGTCTCAACATTCGACAGTTTCTCTCGGAATACCTTTTTGGAGTGTATCCGAAGGTCTTCTAGAAGTTCGAGATGCCCTTCTTCTCGACTTGGCGTCCCTTCTAGAACGGAAAGAGCCGAGGTAATCCGTGAAAAAAGGTGCTTTTTACGCTTTACACAATGGAATTTTTAAAGCGTCTGAATGATTAAGATTATTTTGATTGGGGCTACTTATGGGGTTTCTTCAGTGTATAATAAAAAAAAATTGGCTTATTTATCTGTATATATACAAATATTATGTTCTATAAAACAACAACAACAAACATTTAAAATTAATTATGAATTAATAAAAAATGAATTATTTTATCATTCCAGATTTTTGCATATCATGTGCAAATCTGGAAAAAAGGGAAAATTTAAGGGATCGAAGCGGGCCCAGACCAAAATTGACAAACAATTTGACAAACTACATTTTATTTAAAAATATATATATAAAGACTTTCTTTACATTTCTAAATGGTCTGAATTTCTTAAAAATGAGGAGAGGTCATTGTTTGATTAATCTTATTAGGATTTTAATAACTTTGTGGAAATATGGTCTAACCCCCCCCCCCCCCCTTCTCAGATCCGCTTAACAATGTATCATGATGCTTCGTGAATATAATAGTATTTGGTCTCCACTTGTCTCAGTTTAGTAGAAATATTAAGAATTAGCCCTTGCAACTTAATTGATTAAAATGTTGATATCTCTCCTGGCATCTTCGCTAGCCAAGGGACTATGAGAAACACTTGGCTTTCGAAGATATGCTCTCTAGGAGATCGCTATATATACATTGTACATATAATGGGTTCCCCAAATATTTCCCTACATAGACATTTTTATGATAATTAAGAGAAACAGACAAATTACCAATCTTTTCATACTGGGGTTCTTTTATTTTATATCACTTATTTCTTTGCATTACGTTATTATCAAAGTAACTTTTTTCCATGCACTAGAACAATTCTTGATTTAAATTATTCAGTTTGAGGGGGAGGGTAAGCACTTCCCACACAAAATCCGACAAGCAAACACAGGAACAAAAAAAGCCTGTAATTTGTTAGTGCTCGATCGGTCTTACCAGCCTGCTTACAGCAGCAGCAATAAAAGGCGTGTGTGAGGGAGAAGGAAGTTGAAGAAGCTTTAAAGTTAAATTTGAAGTAGTAAGCAAATAACATCTCATTTAAAATAAGAAATTTTATAAAGGGACGTTAAACAAAAAGGCAAACATACAAAGCTAGCCTGGCCTCCCTTTTTAAACTCCAAAAATAACTTTAACATTTAGAATGAAATATATGGAGATAACAAACAGTATTCAAGCTCAAAAGTCCATTAAACAATACGAAATAGAACTCTTAGCAGAGCAAATACGGAGCTCCAAAACATCTGACTGAGATGGCCATGGGATCAGGTGCCATGGCGGAGTGAGCATCCCCTGTCGACCGGTCACACCCGCCGTGTGCTCCTTGTCACAATCGAGAAATAATGGAAAAATCTGTGGTCGATTCAGTGTGTAAATAATAGACTAACAGTAGAATGAAAACCGTCAATCAGCGTTTGACCCATGGAATGATAGGACCATGACTTACCAAATAATGACTGATTTTAAACGAGACTGCTGACATTCTTGTTTCATCAACTTGTTTGTCAATATCAATAATTGACCTCCTTTTAGAAATTGGCATAGTAAAGCCAATCACTCAGGGATATAAACACCGTATGCAGGTCGGGGAAAACGTATATTGCTGCATAGGCCTAAGTAAGGGAAGTTGACAATTGAAAAGTTAAAGTCATCTTATTTTTATCTTATTATACTTTCATGTAAATTAGTTGAATCTGATTGTTCGAAAAACATTTGTTAAAAAACACTATACATTACCCGCTGAATAATGAAGCCACACCCTCCAGTGTAGCAACAGTCAACAGTGCTTGACGACGGGTGATATTCCAAAAAATAGCGACTGCGCAGAATTTATGCGCGCACGGTTCACTGTTATAATTATGTATTTGTATAAAACATTCATTATAATATGATAAATATTGCATGTTGTTGAGTGTAACATTGAACATTAATTTTCACCCCAAGAAAACCATTGTCAACCGAGGCTGAGGCTGCGCCTGGGTTGACAATGGTTTTCTTGGGGTGAAAATGTTCAATGTTACACTCAACTGCATGCATGCAATATCCGTATAAGTCGAGTGGAACATAAGGCATGCACAGCAGGTGTTTTCTCCTTCAGTTTCACTGAAAAGATTTTGGACAAATTCCGCTTCATATAAATACAAAAATAGGTCTGCTAATAATGGGGCGCAATTGGTACTCATGGGAATTCAAACAAATTGTTAAAAGACCTGGTCTCCAAAAACTACATAGATGTTGTCAATCAGAAATTCAAACATCTTTTTGATGTCAACTTCAGAGTACGATCAGACCAGAAACATTGTGCTTTCATTAACTTAACCCTCTTTCTCCTACGAAAAAGTTTTAGGCGTTTGGGCACTTTTTTTTTTATTTCGGTCGCATCCGTTAGAATTAATGTGGACCCCCCCCCCCAATACACACAATGTCATGTCCGTAACTGTGTAAAAAAGGGTACGTCGTACGTACTGTACGTGCATATGCATGCATTTACAATTTTTTTTTGTCAAATCACAGTGTTTGTTATATTCTGTATGTTTGTTCCACAGGCATTTGTTTCTGTAATAGTTTTTTAGTATAATAATAATATGGTGCCATGGGTTAAAAATAATTTCAGAAACCTGTGGGTTAAAATGCATAGGTACACTGGAAACACCCTCGATCCTCTCCTTTCAAAATAATATTGTCGGATCCACTGAATGTAAGCATGGTAAACTGGTAAAGAAAAAAATATTTAAAGAGCATTATATTTCTACAATAATGTAAAATATAGAATATAAAATTAACATAATTATTCAAAATACACGGTACCGAATATCAATAATATTGATTAAACAACAACAACAACAACAACATTAATCAGCTGTTAACATTGGTTAATAGTCAGAACCCATTTTACTTGTTGACCTTTTGTGTACCTCATGAATCTAAAAATAGTTTAGTCGTCCCGATGCTATCTTTAGACCAAAGGGGCCTGTGATGCCGTGTATTATAAAAAAAATATATATTGTATTAAATAAAAAACAAAAACAAGTCTTAAGTCATTAAAATTGATAACCTAAATGAAGAATAAGTGTACTTTTATGATTGATTTTAATGACAAACTCTCAATATATGTACATACTAGCTTACCCAAAGGGAGCCTCGCTGTGTTATTTTAATGTTCGTTGACGTGTGACGTATGATACTATCTACAATTTATTTTACCTCGTTCTCACGGATCGAGGTCAAGAAGTTGGGATCTAAGCTGGATAGTGTATATGTGTAGTAACAGAGACAGATTTTCTTTGAGAGTTTCGTCTTTTTTACAGTAGTTGGATCCCAATGACGGAATATAAATTGGTTGTTGTCGGTGGTAAGTTCAGAACATTTTGAAATTTTTATGAGGTCGCGCCCAACTGGCATACAATAACGATGTTTTTTTATGCTTTGGATTCTAGCTAATATATTGAGATATCTAATTCTTACGTGATTTTTTCAAATTTAAAAGCTAGTTTGTCGAAGACAATAAAAGTTGAAAATGAATATGTCAAAGGGATCACAGTTACTTTTTGATTAAATAATCAACAAATGTTTGTCCCGAATTTCCTTCAGGGGCACCTGCTAAGCTGTATTAAAATAATAGCGGTCAATACAACGATATCCAGCTCTCTTTGACTAACTTAAGCTTCTGGATACAAATATTTAAGAGATAATTAAGTTTGGGAACAAAGTTGGATGAAGTCAAACAAAGATGTATGGTAAATAGAATATATTATTGTGATTCCTTAAAAAAAGTCACATATAATGAACAATAGGATTATAATAAATTGAAACGTATCGAAATTATTTTCATTTCACGGGACTTTAAAATACATGTATATTGACTTACATTTGCATAAATGAAACAAAATTGTTCATTCTATGCTATAAATGTGTTTTCCTGCATGTCGTTTGATGTGAAACCTTAACTAAGGTGATCATCTGTGAAATGATGCATAGCATCCAATATTTATAGTAGTTTTCTCAACTTAGAGGCCTAGCCTTACCTACCATTTGAGACCTTAGCTCTATACTCACAAATATGAAGCAAGTATTAATAGACTAAGTTTGCTGATTGTTCATTTTATGTGAATTTGAAATGATTTGTTCTTTTACCTTTACAGCTGGTGGCGTTGGGAAGAGCGCCTTAACCATTCAATTAATTCAGAACCAGTAAGCATTTTTTAACTTCCTAAAATATTTATGAAACATTCTGTGTAAATCAATATTATCAGATATGTGAGCTAATGACCAGAGAGAAGCAGTATTTATTGTGCATAAAAAAGTTTGCATGTTTGAATGTGACAGTATGCTTTGAACTGTCAGAACACATATTCTTTAACTATGACAAAAACAAAGGAATTCTAACTGGTTTTAATAAATCTCCTGCACTGAAACTGGTACCATTGAAAATTTTTGCCCAATTTTACTGGCATGTTGGATGGCTTAAAATTTAATTTTGAAATTGAAAGCAATTAATTCATTTGTTCTTGACATATTGGATTAGTGTTGACTTGCAGGAAGTATAAATTCAGTGTTACTTTGGTGTAGCTTCCAGTAAGCTGTAGCACACAAAAATCATGGCTACTGGAATTTTTCTGAATACTGTAGGTCACTTTATTTTTGCGACACCTTATTTTTGTGAGAAAGCCATCGGGTATTTATAAGTGAGATATAATTTTTGCGAGCTGTTGTTTCTGTTGTATATATTCTATAATAATACAAATGTTTGCAATAATAATGTTTTTTTGAGCAAGCAGGCATGCATAATTATGCAAAAATTAAGTTCTCATGAATAAAAAGTGATATATAGTAGTCTCCAAAGTAATTCACAGTAGGCACACACTTCTATTTAACTGATTATTTAACATTTACAATAATATGTCAATGTGACTGACTAGATCATGAAGATGTTGGCCTTTTTTTCTAAACAGAGGCTAAGTCAGAAAAATAGAAAATGAGGAAATAGGGGATCTTGTGTTTGAATTCAGTTTGTCTGTCTCTTACATATAAATGAAGCTTGTCTGATGACATCATGTGTATTATTATAACCAGTAGTTAAGAATGAATTCTACAATACAGTAAGGAGCTGATATTTTACCAGGATGCAGCATTCACATAAAGCTTGCTGACTGACCAAAATCCTTTGTAAGGAGTATTAGAGAAGAAATATAATTGAATTAATAAATGATGGTGTCAAACATTGCTGAAGTATTGGTGGGCCTGCCGAGTGCTTTATTAGTTTAACCTAGATGTAAGAGGTGTCCGTGTTTTCCTGTATATTGATCAGTGGTGAACAGTTTGTCTATCTCTGTCCCTCCTGACTTCTGATAGAACTGCCGTGAGCAGAACCACTGATCTCTGGTATAGTTTGCTATGGTAATAAAATTACCAGGGCAGTGGAGTAGATGATTAAGACAAAAAACATTTGAATCTACTCCTGGTTGATGGAGGGTTTGCAGGGCTCACATACAATACCGGTACGTGAAGTACAGTGTAGATATGATAAATTGTGGTTATGGTCAAGTGGTATGGTCAGAAACACACCAGGTTTTGTCTAGTTGTCAATGTGTTAGCATATTAAGAGGAAAATAATATCGTAGAATAAGAGTTATTTTAAGTAAATTTAGAATGATTTTATCGTAATCTTTTTCTAAATCAGTTTGAAATTAAGAGTTTTGTCCTTTGAAGCAAATTTACAAATTTCATTTGTATGTATAGTACAAAAAGAATTGAATATAATGCTATATTGAGCTAGAATCAGGGGTCACAAGAGGATAATAAAATCAGATTTATACAGTGCTACACTTTGAGATATATATCCAATTTGGCAGAATATTGATTAAATTCATTTTCTTTGACAGCAACAGAATTCAATATTTTCATAGCCTTCACCACAGGAGACTACCATTTATCTAGAAAATTAAATTTTATTTGTATTGGTAATTTGATAGGGAAATCAATGAGTAAGTAGGTTAGCAGTGAAATTTCACAGGCTCCTGGTGTTTTTATAAAATATCTGAGTCAGCCGTGATCTCGGTATGCTCGAGCATGTTGGGTAGGCCGAGCTGAGTAATGTTATTTCTGTTGGTTTACTCCTATTAGATTAACACTATCACAGGCACATGCCACAGAAGCTGATACCCCCTACACAGAAAACAGGCTCCTGTTTCTTGTCTAAGATTTCTAATGATTTTCATCTGATTATTTTGTTGTTTTCTTTTTTTTCAGTTTTGTTGAAGAATATGATCCCACAATAGGTAAGTTGTTAGAGTTAAGGCTCTGAAAGAAAAAAAAGTTTGTATAAATAAATTTACCTATAAATTTAAAGATAAAACAGTTTAATCATTGATAATGAAATGACATGTTAGAAAAACTATGTAGATAAATAGATTTCTGCAAATAAATTGTTGTTCAGCAGTTTAGGAGGCAATAATTGTCTAGGCTTCAAAAGAAGTAAATTGTAATCAGGTAAATAAATAATTCAATTAGTTTAAATGACAAATAAAATTTCAATAAATATATAGAGAAAGTGTATTTTAATTAATATGAAGAAAAAATGAACTTAAAGCATGCATTTAACACCAGGAAGGAAGAGAAATTTCAGAAAAATCATTTAAATGCTTCATTACAAAGTGAACTGGATGAAATTATAGATCATGCTTATATAACATTAAATATAGGAGGCCAAGTTTGAATTTAACAAGGCTCTTTTTCAAATAAGTTTAAAATGTTGATATTAGAATTTGTACTAGGATGTGACGAGCAGCTTATGTAAAGCTATGTGCTACATTTAGTAGAAAGCTGTGGAATCTCTTCCTGATTGGGGGCATGCTATTACTATCAACTATGAAGGCAAGTTACTGGGAAAAGTAAAATATGATAACCGTAACACTGAAACATCTGTGTAACAGTAGCTCTGTTTTATCTTTCATTCTGGTGACTTTCAGGAAGTCTGATTGGGTCAAGAGTCAAGTTCCAATTTATGGAAACATTAATCTGTTGAAGAAAAGCTAAATTTTAAGTGGGCAGTTATTTACATAAGTAAGATATATATCATGCATATAAAGCTATAATTTTGTGCATCTTTTGTAGAGGATTCCTACAGAAAACAGGTGGTGATAGACGGAGAAACATGTCTGTTAGACATTCTAGACACAGCAGGTCAAGAGGAGTACAGGTTAGTGTATAGACATTATAGACACATTAGCAGCATTAGACATTCTAGACACAACAGCAGTGTTAGACTTTCTAGACACAGCAGGTCAAGAGGAGTACAGGTTAGTGTTAGATATACTAGACACAGCAGCAGTGCTAGACATTCTAGACACAGCAGGTCAAGAGGAGTAACGGTTAGTGTTAGACATTCTAGAGACATCAGCAGTGCTAGACATTCTAGACACAGCAGGTCAAGAGGAGGGCAGGTAAGTGTAGACATTCTAGACACATCAGCAGTGCTAGACATTCTAGACAGCAGGTCAAGAGGAGTACACTCCGGAAAGTGTAGACATTCTAGACACAGCAGGTCAAGAAGAGTAACGGTTAGTGTTTGATATACTAGGAGTATACTCGGGTAAGTGTAGACATTCTAGACACATCAGCAGTGCTAGACATTCTAGACAGCAGGTCAAGAGGAGTACACTCAGGTAAGTGTAGACATTCTAGACACATCAGCAATGCTAGACATTCTAGCCACATCAGCAGTGCTAGACATTCTAGACACAGCAGGTTAAGATAAATACAGGTTAGTGTTACACATTCTAGACACAGCAAGAAGCTAGACAGGTGTGTGTAGTTGAAATTATTCTGTGTGTAATACACATCTAAAACAGTGCTAGACATTCTAGACAGCAGGTATTGTTAAAGTGTTTGTATCATTTATATCGAGGGGTTGAAAGTTTGAACCTTTTATAAAGATACATGTATTTCACAAGTGGAAAATTTGACTATCATGTAATATCCATTTTTTATTGAACAGAAAATGAGAAATGGAAAACTTTGTTTTTTTATTATACATTTGTCAAATTTTCATCTACACCAGGGATCTAGACTAGCAAAGCTTAAAATAACAAATTGTTTTTAAGTTTTCTTCAAACTTTAGGGGTTGATTTCAACAAAATTGAATTTCAAAGGTAAAATTTCAAAAAACATTAGTAAAAAGTGCTTAAAGATTCACTTTTATTTCCATGTGGCAGGCAGTAATAAAATTAAATTCAGAAATGATGACACAGAAAAAGGTCTAGAGGAGGGCAGATTACATGTAATGACATTTAAGACACAGCAGGTTTAGATAAATACAGGTCATTTTTACACATTCTCACACCACACACCAGGAAAAAAGCTATCCTTAGGTGTGTGTACTATATAGTGTGTAAGAAAACAATACCTGTATTTATTATGCATTGTCATGAGAAATTTTAGGAAAGGTAAATAGTGCCATTTTAGTAGCAGGTGGTATGTTAAAGTGGGCGCATTTGGTGTGTTATCTGCAGGAATTATTTTGAACCTTTTTTAAATGTCCATGATATTTCACAAGCTGGAAAATTTGACTATCATGTAATTTCCATTTTTTATTGAAAGAAAATGAGATATTGGAAAACTTTGTTTTTTTAGGATACATTTGTCAAATTTTAATGTTTCACAAAAAATAAACAGCTTAAAATAACAAATTGTCATTAAGTTTTCTTCAAACTTTAGGGGTTGATTTCAACAAAATTGAATTTCAACGGTAAAATTTCAAAAAATTATTAAGTAAAAATATCAAACTTAAAAATTCACTTTTATTTCCTATGTGGCAGGTTTAGTAATAAAATTAAATTCAGAAATGATGAACAATGAAAAATCTCTAGCTTCAGGAAGCTCCCATTGATAGTACATGTAATGACTTATCATAAGTGGAGATTTCCATCTAAAACAGGCTTTACCTCTTATCTCATGGTCATTTTATGGGAGAATATTCTCACACCACACACACCAGGAAAAAATCTTATCCTTAATTCCTTGTACTATATATTCCTGTCGAATAAGAAAACAATACCTGTATTTATTATGCATTGTCATGAGAAATTTTCGTAAGGTAAATATTTTGCTCATTTTACCCTCAGCAGGTGGTATGTTAATTTCTATTTATTGACCCTCTACTGGAAAAAGTTGCGTATAAACGAGATTGCTTGATATTTAAAACAAATTAATCTACATATACTTTTAATAAATAAACAAAATGATTCTGAACCAGTGTTTGCTGTTTGAGAGAGTGGGTTCCTGGCAAATATATTTAATCTTGTTCAAACTTTTAAGTGTGGAGAAGAGGGAACCTGAAAATGAATACATGTATTCATATATATATATATTCTACTTGATTTAGTTTGCAGAGTTATTGCACATTGTTCAGAAATTAAATTTCTCTTCAACATACATGATAATTTTTTAAGAGGAAACCACTGTACTTCATTAACCACTGGAACCATGATTGTGATGTTTTGGCAAAATTTCTTGTTTTAATGTATTGTGTTTAAACTGAGATAAAATTAAGTAGATTTGATTACAAAGTCAGGAGATAGTAAGAATCAAAATAAAACTGAGTAGCTTTGATTACAGTTTCATTTAAGATAGTATAGGTTGAGTTAAAAGTGAGATGCTTTAATTACAGTGTCACATGAGATAGTATGATTGGGATAAAAAGTGAATTTCTTTAATTAAAGTGCCATGTGAGATAGCTTGACTGAGATAAAAGTGAGTTGCTTTCATTACAGTGCCATGCGAGACCAGTACATGAGGACAGGAGAGGGCTTTCTATGTGTGTTTGCTGTTAACAGTACCAAGTCATTTGAGGACATCAACCAGTATAGAGAACAGGTGTGTTACTAATTACCTGACATTGATTTATAATTACAATAGGTGTGTTACTAATTACCTGACATTGATTCATAATAAGAATAGGAGTAAATGAATTCAATGCTTCATTGCTTGTTTATTCCAATGTTTTTATGTAAAGAGTTATATGCATAATTTTTTTTGTTCACAGATTAAGCGAGTTAAAGATGCAGATGAAGTTCCCATGGTGTGTAAGTAGAGATGTTATTCAGTCTATCCCACTTAAAACTCAGTCTTACACTGACCAGGAGGGCTACAACTTAGATTGTCAATCTTGTGACCATTCATTGCTTGTAAATATATTGGCTAGGCTGTCTCCTGCCACAAAGTATCATTAGATGAAGGAAATTCAATTTATTAGCTCACCTGAGCTGAAGGCTCAAGTGAGTTTTTCTGATCAAAATTTGTCCGTTGCCTGTCGTTGTCATTGTTGTAAACTTTTCACATTTTCATCTTCTTCTCAAGAACCACTGGGCCAATTTCAACCAAACTTGCTATAAAGTATCCTTGGGTAAAGGGGATTCAAGTTTGTACAAGTTTGTCCAAGGGGAGATAATTATGAATTAGAGAAAAATTAATGGCATTTTTAAAAAATCTTCTTCTCAAGAAAAATCTTTTAAAATCTCCTTCTCAAGAACCACTGGACCAGGAAAGATGAAACTCATGTGGAATCATCCTCAGGTAGTGTAGATTCAAGTTTGTTCAAATCATGACCCCTGGGGGTAGGGTGGGGCCAATATGGCCGATCAAAGTTTTACATAGGAATATATAGGAAAAATCTCTAAAAGTCTTCTTCTCAAGAACCATTGAGACAGGAAAGATGAAACTCATGTGATATTATTCTCAGGTAGTGTAGATTCAAGTTTGTTCAAACCATGACCCCCGGGGCTAGGGTGGGGCCAAATGGCCGACCAAAGTTTTACATAGGAATATATAGGGAAACCTTTAAAAATCTTCTTTTCAAGTACATGAAAGCCATGATTAGTAATATTTATATGGAATCATCCTCAGGTAGTGAAGATTCTAGTTCATTCAAATCATGATCCCCTGCCAGCCCCCCCCCCCCCCCCAACCTCAGTAAACTTCTTTCAGTTCTGATCTGATGTGTACTTTTTCCTAGCGGATATGCACAGGTGAGCGCTGTGGCCCCTGGGCCTCTTGTTTTCAAATGAAGGACCACATCCTCTTCCAAGGAGAGAAACTGTTCATGGTAGCTCAGTCAGAAGAGTGCTCACTCTGTGATCAAGAGGTCGTGAGTTCGAATCTCGGCTGCGGCTGACCTAAGTCGATAAAAAAATGCGTAGAACTGTTTCTTCGCCATGCACTCGGCACTTGAAGTGAAAGTTGAGGGTCCTTTGGTTGAGACCTTAAAAACTGAGGTCCTGTGTCACAGCAGGTGTTGGCATGAAAAAAACCCCTCACTGTTCAATGTCTACGAGTGCCAAGTAAAGGTCAAAATTTGAAGCCCTTCACCGGTATATGGTAACTTCTCTATACGAGTGGGAAATGCTTGAATAGGACATAAAACAACTTACAATCAAACAATCCAAGGAGAGATAATTATGGAATAGTAAAAATTTATTGGCAGCATCTGAAAATCTTCTTAAAAAACACTGGGCAAGAAAATATGTGGAAGCATACATGAACCTCATGTTTGATCTCAGTTTTACTTTAACAAAGATCCTTTATACTTAAAGTGTGAGACTGAGATCAAGAGTAAGCTCATAGTGTCTCAAGAGCAGGGGCACTTAACATTAAATGTACCTGTCTGGATATACATCATTTTGTATTACCTGTGTTGTTGATGTAATTCTATAATTATTACAGTGGTCGGTAACAAGGTCGACCTTCAGTCAAGGTCAGTGGAGGGTAAACAAGCCAAGCAGGTGGCAGACAGCTACAACATCCCCTACGTAGAAACCTCAGCCAAGACAAGGCAGGGAGTGGACGATGCTTTCTACACCCTCGTCAGAGAAATCAGGAAATTTGTACGTATAACTCTATATATGATGACTCAATACTACAAGTAAAAGCACTGCATTAGTGTGTCTTTGATTCAAATTAAAATATTTCAACTGTAAAAAACAAGTTTTGATCTGTATTAGTCAAAAAATGCATACTTGAACTCAAAAGTTTGTTATTGATTATATAGATCTCTAAGCTCATAAACCTTTGTTGTGGAGTGATAAAATTAAAAACAAGCAGAGTTTATGATTACAGAGTTTTATATAGCTATTGTTTTGTCTACAGAGTTTATATGGCTGTGTTTTGTTTACAGAGTTTTTAGCTCACCTGAGCCGAAGGCTCAAGTGAGCTTTTCTGATCAAAATTTGTCCGTCGTCTGTCGTTGTCGTCGTTGTTGTTGTAAACTTTTCACATTTTCATCTTCTTAAAAAAACCACTGGGCCAATTTCAACCAAACTTGGCACAAAGTTTTTGGGTGAAGGGGATTCAAGTTTGTTCAAATGAACACGCCCTTTTCCAGATAATCATGAATTTGTTAAAAATTAATGGCATTTTTAAAAAACTTCTTCTCCAGAACCGCTGGGCCAGGAAAGATGAAACTCATGTGGAAGCATCCTTGTGTTCAAGTTTGTGTTGACCCCCAGGGCAAGGGTGGGGTAATTCTATAATTTTTACATAGGAATATATATGAAAAATCTTTAAAAATCTTCTTCTCAAGAACCACTGGGCCAGGAAAGATGAAATTCATGTGGAATCATCCTCAGGTAGTGTAGATTCAAGTTTGTTCAAATCATGACCCCCGGGGCAAGGGTGGGGCCAAAATGGCCAACCCAAGTTTTACATAGGAATATATGGGAAAAATCTTTAAAAATCCTCTTCTCCAGAACCACTGGGCCAGGAAAGATGAAATTCTTGTGGAATCATCCTCAGGTAGTGTAGATTCAAGTTTGTTCAAATCATGACCCCCGGGGCAAGGGTGGGGCCAAAATGGCCGACCCAAGTTTTACATAGGAATATATAGGAAAAATCTTTAAACATCTTCTTCTCCAGAACCACTGGGCCAGGAAAGATGAAACTTATGTGGAGTCATCCTCAGGTAGTGTAGATTCAAGTTTTTTCAAATCATGACCCCCGGGGCAAGGGTTAGTGTGTTTTACATTCAATATATAAGAAAAATCTTTAAAAATCTTCTTCTCAAGAACCAATAGGACAGAAAAGATGAAACTCATGTGGATTCATCCTCAGGTAGTGTAGATTCAAGTTTGTTCAAATCATGACCCCCGGGGCAAGGGTGGGGCCAAAATGGCCGACCCAAGTTTTACATAGGAATATATAGGAAAAATCTTTAAAAATCTTCTCCAGAACCACTGGGCCAGGAAAGATGAAACTCATGTGGAATCATCCTCAGGTATTGTTGATTCAAGTTTTTCAAATCATGACCCCCGGCCCTGGGGATACGGTGGGGCCAAAATGGCCGACCCAAGTTTTACATAGGGATATATAGGGAAACCTTTTAAAATCTTCTTTTCAAGTACTTTATGATAGTGATACCCGGGGTATTTTGAATCATCCTCAGGTAGTGTAGATTCTAGTTAGTTCAAATGATGAACGCCTGTGTTTTGTTTCAAGCCCGATGTGCTCAGGTGAGCGCTGTGGCCCCTGGGCCTCTTGTTATAGCTGTTGTTTTGTTTACAGAAAGAGAAGAAGGGAAACATTAAGAATAGGAAGAGGAAGCTATGTCGATTGTTTTGAGTTCTGTGATTTCAACCTTCCATTTCTTTGTCTGCAGTTTGTGATGCAATATACAGCTCACTCCAAAATCACTTCCAGCACTGGTCAGGAAAATTCACTTCCATTGTCAGCTTGTAGAAAATCAAACAAAATCACCCCAATCCTCTACATTTATTGGTACAAGCTGTAACAAACTTAAAATTTTATAAACAGCATATTGATTTGATAATAAATTATATGTGGACAGTTAATTTTATTTTACCTATAAGGCTATTTTTTGTGATACTTGCATTTCACAGTGTATTTCCTGTTTTTTTAAAGACTGATTAGTGTATTTGTAGTTAACTTCATTTGTAGTGGCATTGGTTTTTAGGAATTTACATATGCCTCATTAATGCCAAGCAAATGTTATTTTGTTAATTTATAAAACTGCTTCTATACATAGCTCTGATATGAATGTGATTGGATTTATAAGCAGTGGCTATGTTTTATTCTCATTTTATTATTTGGGTGTTTTTTCTTGACTTATACATGTAACTGCATTTAAAAGTCATGTAAAACAATTTATTTATCATTGTATTGGAACATTATAGCAATTTTTATGTTCATGACTGTGGTCTGATTTTTTCTTGATAAATAGTGTACTCACTATAAAAAAATTCAATGAAAAGGTTATTTAAACTGTAATAATTTCATTTAATGTTGGTAACCGCATATGTATTAAATATAAGTATAAATTGTGAAGATTCAATGTTTGAATAAACATGTTATCTAAATCTGTGTAATAGAGAATCCAAAGAAAGAAAGAATTATGTGATAGTTAATTTGGATTAGGGAATGAATCCTGTGATTATTTACATAATTAGACCATATTTGTAAGATTTGTGACTGTTTCTCCTAATTGTTAACATGAATATAAAATGATTTAGATTCAAAATTCCTCCGCTCACTCTTATAAAATTTTGCTTTAAAACTAAAAATTTTTAATAATATATTTTTTTTAAATGCTTATAATTTCAGCATACCTTATGGCTTTGACAGGCATGGGTAAAAATTCTAAAGCTCTATATAAAGGAATATTAACCATTTATCCCAGTAAGAGTTATGGCTCTTATTTTAGGGCTAGTGATCCTTAAGACCTGATATACTGACTCTGTGTCAATGAAGTAAATAAAAAATATGAAGTATATAAAATGCTTATGTAAGTGTAATGCTAATCTGTATGTTAATTATGAATATAAATTTTTAACATTAATATTTTTAGAGGTGGCTGTTTAAGGAACCTAAGCTGTAAAATTTATTTTTGTCTGCTATGAAAAAACATTTCCATTTTAAAGTTCAATAAGCAGCTACAAGTTTAACCTGATTTTTTTTTTGGTGTAGAATAAATAACAAAAACTGCACATGTTTCATTTAAATGAAATAACATTTTTATATAGGTTGTAGTCACAAACTTAAAATGAAGGAAATTCTTTGACCAAAAACTGCACATGTGGACAACTTTTTTTTCAAAAAGTTCCACCATTTAAATGAAATAACATTTCCTCAATAGTTCGAGTTGCATGATTGGTCTGTATATGACTTCCAGTGATGAACAATGCTTAGCTTATAAGACATTACCTAATGAGTAAGTGGAGAATGTACCGCATGGTTCTCTACATTTAGCTAGTGCATGGGTCATGTCACAGAACAGTAGCCAAGCTTCTGCTATAGTAGATGTGCTGCTATTTATGATCAATGGAGGTAAATAGAAAGTGAAGTATTAAATTTAATTCACTGTTTTCTAAGGGAGTTAGTTTACAATAGATGTGGACAGTTGTGTTGTTATTTATTGAGCTTGAGCTCAGTTAATGAGGAGGCTTGATGCACTGACGGTAGCTTAAGAAAACTTGCAATTAAGTTTCTATTTTTCTTTACATTTAGTTAAATTAATTGGTACTTAATGAACACAAGAAAAAGATAGGCTCCATATTGATGAGTGTGACAATAACTTGTATGTTTTGTTAATGTAAAAATAATCTTTGCTTGGGACTGGAAAAATAAATCAGGTAACAGCAAAGTGTATTAAAGTTGTGGTTGACTTTTTGTATGGTTAATGTTAAAACAGGACTGCAGCAGGGTTACCCTGTATAACGGTTATTATCTATAATGATTTAATCTTATTAAAAATTGTATAAGTGTCATTGTTTCTACTTTATTAAAATGTAGTAAAAGATTTGTATTGTTTATGAATTATGCACTTTGAGTTTCGTTTTCGTATTACGCAGCTTGAATGACTGCGTCTCAAACTCTGCAATAGTCCGGTAGAAGAGGAGCGTAAAGGAACCTACGTATCTGACAACAAACGCTCACATAGAGGTTCAACTGCACATGGTAGCATAGGCAAAGTTGGCAAATATTATGTCAGACACTAAGTCAATGGCTACATTGATAATATGACCCTAAATGCACCACAGGACAGAGACTGTGCAGTTGGTTTTCATCATTGCTTTAATTATTGCAATCCCCGTTTTATGCAATGGAAGCGGAGGTATAAAAGAAACAAGGGTTCTTTTGGTAAACAACGCCTCATTTGTTCGAGGAACTGTGAAAGCACTTGTAGTCAACATTGTAGTCTGCATTCGATTATCGTATTGCAAAAGTCTATAGGTGAGAGCGTTCTAATTTATGCCTTGGTCACATTTCCCGGCCGGTGGCCGTAGACCAGTGGTAATCCGTGGTGTGAGCGATGCCCTAACATCGGTCCACAGCGGCCTAGTAGTCCTTAAAGTATCGGTCACATTATCCAGCGATGGGGTATACGATGGACAACCAATGCGTTTTATATAAAATGGCGTGGTTGCCGACCGGACTTACAAAGGTCCAGCGATGCATTGCTAATCATAAAACGATGTTTATTACATCGCTCATACATTGGTGAACATCGTTCGTACGTCGGTCGGCTAAGGACCAATGTTTGGTCGAACATCGACCGATAATCGGCCGATGTCTGTTGCCCACCACTCAACCCAACGATGACCTCAGATTCAACGGTCTCTTGATGGTCGGCCATACATCGGTCAATCCTTGAAAGATGTGTTAATGATGGGTTGCCGATGAGGAGCGATGTGGGCCATCGGTGGAGACATCGCTGATTTTTAACTACAACTTATTTTCTACCGATGACCCCACCGATTCGCCAATTGGCCTCAGTCACCGTCCGATTACTATAGGTGTCCGGTCGGCAACCACGCCATTTTTATATATAAAAAAAAAAAACCATCGGTTTCTCATCGTATTGTCCTTTCTGACATAATTTATTTTATCAAATAAACTCTGCAATATATTGCAGAGTTTATTTGATAAAATAAATTATGTCAAAAAGGACAATATACCCCATCGCTGGATAATGTGACTGATACTTTAGTAGACATCCGCGTACTCTGCCTTCCTCTCATAAAAAGGACCTCTTTACGCATATGACACTACCAATGAGAGATTTTCTATAAAATTTAGTTGGAATCAAATGTAATCCACGACCAAAAAAAAAAAAAAACTGGTCGTTTTGTTTGGTCGTAACTAGTCTTTTCGTTCTCAAAATTATCCCCCCTCCACATATGAAATTTTGGATCCACCCTGATATAATCTTAACTACTTGCATACCTGTTTATCTATTATTTAGTGTAATATATTGATAAAGAAAGATTTATTATCAGAGGTATATGTGTACTGTTACAATTATCTTTATCAAATACAAATATTTCAAAGAATAAACATCATAAACCTAATTACCATTATAGCTGTACCTTCCATCTGATTTTCATAAACCCTATCACACAGATCTTGTATATAGCTTAGAAGGTTTATATAAAATGAGTTTCTCTTTATAGACAAATATGAGAAGTATAAGTTAAAGATGCTTTTATTTATATTTATTTATATACAGTTAAAAGTAATGAAGATGGGAAGTTAATTCAAGTTGATGTTTTATTACTACTTTAAGGAGTATAAACTGGGAAATTAACGTGACACATTTAAGTTAAGACATCCCTTGTTTAATAAATGATCTTTGTTATTATAATTAATATTTAAAGATTTTTTTTTTCATGTTATGAAAGCTTAGGAATGTAGGTAACGAAAAAAATGTTCCGTTAAGTTGACGTTATTTTCGTGCTGTACTATACATAAGAAAATGGTTAATAATTTATTGTTGTCATGATACTTTGTATTAGATAAATCAAAGCTAAATTTATTACGCAAAATACTGTGCCAAACTGGCACAAGAATAAAACCCTTACCAAAATACTCACCTTCTAGCAACACTTTCTTGCATTATTGCAGCAATATTGCAGCAACATTCTAGCAATACATTGCAGCAATAGCAATATCGTTATTCATGCTAGGTCGGGACATTTAAAATCAATAATAGGATATAAAAATAGTTGCAGGTTCCTTGAAAATAAACCGAAAGAAGAAACAAAATACACTTAATTATGTTTTGATATGGCGGCGTACAGGTAGCATAAATTTACCTTCTGTAATTAAAAAAATCTATTCTTTTTTTTTTAGTAATTTCAAAGTAGTGCTTTTAAAGAGGTAATCAAATACTGTTTCGTACACAGAAATTCTACTGCTGTATTTTCTAAGACTCTTTCAGTAGCTCCTCAATCGATTAATTTTTATTGGCCCAGTTCATACAATTTCATGATACACTGTATTAGATAAATCAAAGCTAACTTTATTACGAAAATACTGTGCCAAACTGGCACATTTTCTTGGAGAATAAAACCTTCAAACGTTTAATAATCAATTTGAAATCGATTTTTGAAACTCTTAGTATACATGCATCACAAGCACTAGTTGAAATACATATAATTTTTCTTATTTTATCTCCATAGAATCATTTATTTAAAAAAGAATATGGATTTGACTTACCAAGTTTGATATATATACCATGAAAACAGAGTTAGACATTCCTATAATTCTTTCAAAAGGCCATGCCACTGGAAACTGCTAAATTTCTGGCTATTCCACGTTATTCAGTCTTACTAGTCATCATGTCTAATCCTACTGTATTGTTTGCTTCACTCTGTCTTAATTTATCTTTTCTCTTAATTAATATATATTTTGAAAAATTCTATTTCAAACAATGCCAAAGAACTAGCAATTATTCACTTCAATTCATGTAAAAAAAAAAACAACAACAAAAAACCCCTATTATATACACTTATTTCAATAACAGCGCTTCGTAGATCGCCCGGAAGATTTTCTGAAAACATTTATACACTGTCACTGACTGAGTTTTTAAGAAGGATGGGTTCAAGTAGCAGTAAGTAATACTTTCTCTCTCTCTCTTTCTTTCTCTCTCGATTCTTAATTTTCAAACGGATTCTAGTATAAATTAAAACGAAGCCTTCAAAATAGAGGAAAGCAAAACAGAAAAACCTAATATTAAACAGTTCAATGTATTTCTTGTCAAATATATTTTGAAAAAATTCTATGCCAAAGAACTAGCAATTATTTCAAACAACAAAAAACCCCTGTTATATGCCAATAAGAACTAGCAATTATTTACTGTCACTGAAAAAATATACAAAAAACTTTCTCTCTCTCTCTCTTATATACTTTCTCTCTCGATTCTTAATTTCAATAACTGAATTAAAACGAAGCCTTTGATTGTGTGTATAAAAAATGATATATATATATTTTTTTAACACCTTAAATTTTTTTCTAGGCGAAGGCTAAAATCCAAAACAGAAAAGCCGAATATTAAACAGTTCAATGTATTTCTTGTCAAAAGTTTGATAAAATCCACAGGCCTTTGGATCGCCTAAAATAAACGGTACGGGTTGGGAATTTCATATTTTTACAATTTTTTATTTTGGATAATTTGAAACTCGAAATTTATTTCTTAATTTTGGCTAAAAGTATTTCTAAAAATATACAGAAATTTTTCCAAAAAAGAAAAAAAGAATACAGATTTGATCCGAAGGGGGGTCATGTCTACAGCACTCACCAAGAAAGAAACGTGCCTCTGAAAGAAAAAAAAAACCCTGAAAAACTAGCTGTTATATAAGGATAGAATAAGTTTTAGACCTAAGATCTAAACCTTCCACAGTGTTCAAACAACAAACACTTGAGTTTTTGTTAAAACATTCTGGTAATTTAAAGGACATGAAAAAAGTATTTTATGTGTGACTAAGATCAATACGATATGCATCTTTCAGAAAATGGATGACTCTGTGAGGGGATTCAGGGGGAGGGGAAGAGGAGGACGAAGGCCGAGAAGAAATAGATCCCACACTCCACACAGAACCACAGAAAACACTTTATCATCAAATCTAGTCCATGTCTACGACGATGACAACGATGGGGAAGAGGAAGAGGAGCGGATGCACACCTTGCCAATCTATGACTCGTCAGAATTCGACGACAACCAAGGAGGATCACAGCGAAGAAGAGGTGGAAGAGGGAGACCGAACTTTAGATGGAGGGGAAGAGGCGGTGATTCATATCAGGGTAGAGGATCAGCTTCTGATTCTAGTCGAGGAAGAGGCAGTGGACGTGGTAACCCCAGAGGTCAACGATCAAACTATGGTCACGGTGGTGGTGGTCAATCCAGAACAAGAACGATGGGATACAAAAGACTGGAAGAACTCGATCTCGAAGACGATCCCGATGATGTCCTCCTTCAGTTAGTTACAACCAGAAATGGATTTGAGGATTTACTCGAAAGAAAGTTACAAAAGGATTGGATGGTTCTACTTGTTTCAATCTTGGTAAAAGCATATAAATCAAACAAAGAACAAAGTTGCATGGAGCTCACAAAGATTTTAAGTGCAAAAAATCTTATAGCAAACCACGTAATACCTTTTGTATGTAATGTCGAAGTTGGTGTGATTGAATTTGCAGATGACATCATGGTGAAGATTCTGTGGGACATGACCCAGTTGACTTTCATTTTGTTGCACCGTATGCAGAGCAGTGTGTTTTTGCTTAACACAGTCTTGGATACACTAGAAAGACTGATATCCAGTAAATACAAAAACATCTGCGCCTTATCATGTCCAGACATATTTAAGCAGCTTGATGAACTGAGGGAGGCAAAAGAAGCCATACAAAGAGAGTACATTAAACGTCAAGAAGAAGAAGTGAAGCCAAAAAGACGTCCTCAGCCTTTAGAGCAAGAGCCACCAGATGATTTCCGAGAATTATCTGTTCTTCCAACTCTTCAAGACCTACAGTTTGACAGAAAACCCTTTTTACGATGTAACAAAACTAAAGGTGGCTATGCTAATCTGCAACAGTATCTAGACATACAATTTCGCCTATTAAGAGAGGATTACTTGCATCCTTTGAGAGAGGGAATTCTTGATTACCGCAGAGATTTTGAGAGGTTCAAGAACGTGAAAGGTAAACGACAGACAGACATCAGAATGTACGAGAATGTGGAGGTTCTTCGTCCGCTGTGTTCTAAACACGGAGTCAGGCACGTCATTAAATTTGATAACAGTAAACTGACTCACGTACGCTGGGAATCATCGAGAAGATTGCTATATGGGTCATTACTTTGTCTGTCATCGGATGCATTCCAGACAATGCTATTTGCCACAGTGACTGAAAGGAAGATCACAGATTTACAAAATGGAATTGTGGAAGTTCAATTCACAGAGGAGACAGAAGCAAGTGCCCTCTCCTCTACACAGACATATGTCATGGCGGAAACAACAGCCTATTTCGAAGCTTATAAATATATACTTCAAGGATTACAAGAAGTTGGAGATGAAATGCCACTACAGTCCTGTATTGTTCATTGCAAGCCAAATGCAAAACCCCCAAAGTATTTGATAAAAGGTGGAACTGTACTACCATATGATTTCAGTCCACTGCTAAAGACCCAAAGGAGACCCAAAGTGTACAACTGTCCTGTACTTAGCACCAATAGATGGCCTTCAGCTAGAGATATTGGAATGGACGATTCACAACACAAGGCCTTACAAATGGCCATCACAAGGGAAATTGCAATCATTCAAGGACCTCCAGGTACAGGCAAGACATACGTTGGCCTAAAAATCGTTCATCTTTTACTGCATAATAAAGAAATGTGGACTGAAAACGTAAAAATGGATCCCATTTTAGTGGTATGTTATACCAATCATGCCTTAGATCAGTTTCTTGTTGGGATCTCCAAGCACTCGGATAAATTAGTGCGAATTGGTGGACGATGCAAAACGCAAGATTTAGAAGAATTTACTCTTCAAAGCTACCGGAAAAAAGCTCGTGAAGACAAGTCGATTTCGAGAACGATCCACGAAAAAAAGTCCGATTGTCTGAAAAACATGTGGAATTGCAGAGACCAAATAGAACGTGTCAGTCAGAAATTGAAATGTGCAAAGCAAGGTATTCTACATCTTAATGAATTAAGCCGTTTTATGGACGATGATCATGTGCAATGTTTCCAAAATAATGCATTTGAAAATGAAATGTTTATGACCTCAATTCCAAGTAATCGATTGGACGAATGGCTTGGTTTTAATGCCGACATTACATTTGATCCAGATGACATTGAAAATCAGCGTAAAAATATGTTGATGACAGAATGGGAGGAGGAACTAACGAATGGATCTAAAATAGAGAGATTTACAAAAGACGAGGCAAGACAAGTAAAGCAACCGTGGCAACTACCTTTACAGGAAAGAGGATCTTTATATAAGTATCTTTTGGTGGAATTCCAGGATTTTTTAAGTAATGAGATTATGGTTCTTGAAAACCAAACAGGAAAAACAAAAGTTTCAAAAAAGCAACAAAAGCTACCCACAAATAAGCAAATAGAGGAACTTACGAAACTTCGAACAAAAAGTGAAAAGGTTGTCTTACAAATCGATACCTTGGTTGACCATATTCCCAAATATCTGAGGAGAATACCAAAGATGATTCAAGATCAGGGTGACATTTTGGACTGGTTGTGTCTTGATGGCTCACCAGAAAGCTGCAGCCGAATTGCAGAAGTTCTTAAGGAAGAGTGTGTAAATGCTAAAGAGGAGGCAGAGTTCGAAGATGAAGAAAGAAGATTGGAGGACGAAGAGGATGAAAACGACGATGAACTTCGATTCTTTTCTGGATATAGCAGTGAAACTGAAGCAAACCCCTCACAGAATTTAAGTCAAACATCCATTGAAATTCTTTACAAAAGAAACGAACGATCGTCAAATACCGAAGGCTGGGTTTATCAAATCAATCGCAATAAATTGCGTCGAAATCTTAAAAAGATTATTGACAGCAGCGACATTATGAGTGAAAGAGAAGTTCAGCAGGTGGGAAATGTATGGAAACTTGATTCTGCTAAACGAGAGAAGCTTTATCGTTATTGGTTGAAGTGCTATACCACCCATATGAAAGAATCCATAAAAGAAGCAGAAAAACAGTATGATGATCTATGCAAAGGTTATAGAGAAGTTTTAGATGCTGAGGATGTAGATATAATGAGAGGAGCTGACGTCATAGGAATGACTACCACAGGTGCAGCAAAATACAGGAATATTCTTCAATCTATCAAACCAAAAATAATTATTGTTGAGGAAGCTGCCGAAGTGTTGGAGTCACACATCGTCACTACAATTAATTCAAACTGTCAACACCTCATTCTGATTGGCGATCACAAGCAACTGCGTCCTACCCCTACCGTTTATCACCTTGCAAAGAATTTCAATCTGGATATTTCCTTATTTGAAAGAATGGTTAACAATGAATTGAATTATGTGACATTAGGCATACAACACAGAATGAGACCGGAAATATCAATGTTAATGAAATACAAAGATCTCTATCCAAATCTTGATGACCATGAAGACGTGAAAAAGTACGAACATATCAAGGGTGTAATTTCTGATGTTTATTTCATTAACCACAACGAACCAGAGTTGGAACAAAGGGAGACGAAAAGCAAATCAAATATCCACGAAGCAAAGTTAGTCAAAAGACTTTGTAGATATTTTATTCAGCAAGAATATGAGCGAAGCCAAATAACGATTCTTACAGCATACACAGGTCAAATTCTTGCATTAAAGAAAGAAATGCCAAAACATGAATTTGAAGGCATTCGCATCACATCGGTAGACAACTTCCAGGGCGAAGAAAATGACATCATCATACTTTCACTTGTGCGTAGCAACAACTTAGGAAGCACGGGATTTCTAAAAATAGACAATAGAATTTGTGTTGCGTTATCAAGAGCTAGAAAAGGGATGTTTGTTATTGGCAATTTTGATCTCTTATGCTCAGAGAGTGAATTTTGGAAGTACATAGTAGAGACGATGGACGGAAAGGGGAATTACGGAAGAAGTCTTGTACTACGGTGCGGAAACCATCCTAGAAATAGTGTTCATGTCAGTCGAGATACTGACTTTGATCAGGTACCAAATGGAGGCTGTTCTCTCCCTTGTAATTTCGACCTGAATTGCTCTCATAAATGTGGCCAAATCTGTCACATTTCTGATCCAAAGCATGAGCATTACAAGTGCCTTCAACCATGTTTGAAGAAATGCATAAAAGGACACAATTGTCCACGAAAATGTTTTCAAGACTGTGGAGACTGTCCTGTGAAAGTCCCAAAAATAATTCCTTCCTGTGGACATACTGAAAACGTCCCATGCTCTGTGGACGAAAATATGTGGAATTGCAAATCTCAGTGTGGACAAATTCTTCCTTGTTTACATAAATGTAAAGGAGAATGTGGTAATTGTAGATTAAAAAATGCGCATAAGGAATGTCAAGAACTATGTGAGAAACGCCTCCCTTGTGGTCACTTTATTATTACAAAGTGCTGTGAAGATGTAGAAACCGTTATTTGCGAAAGAGAGTGCGTCATTGAGCTTGAGTGTGGTCATATTTGCAGCGGAACTTGTGGTTACTGTCAACAAAGTCGATTACACATTCCATGTCAATTAAAATGTGGACGTAAACTTGTATGTGGACACACATGTGCAAGACTTTGTGTTGAAGGCTGTCCACCTTGCAACCAAAAATGTCGAACCATGTGCACCCATAGACAATGTAAGGCAAAATGTGTAGACCCCTGTCACGAGTGCGACAAGCCTTGTACGCGATCCTGTGAACATCAGGAATGTCTAAATAGGTGTGATGAAAAGTGCAGTTCACTACCGTGTTCGAAAAACTGCTCGAAGAAGCTTCGATGTGAACACGAATGCTTAGGGGTTTGTGGTGGAAAATGTCCACCAGTGTGCCAAACATGCCATCGTATAACATTCGAAGGTTCCATAGACACTATAGACAACGACATACGCTTCGTATCACTGAATTGTAATCACACATTCAGTCTTAATTCTATGGACTCGTACATGTTTAACCCTGGAAGGATTCAGAGTTCATCAGTGCCTGTAGGTATTAGGCAGTGTCCTGCATGTCCACGGCAAATAACAAAAAGTGTGAGATACAAGTCAGTAGTCGAAGAAATCAGAAAAGATATAGAAGTTATTAAGAAGAAAATAACAACTGACGATATGTCATCTCTTAAAAGGGGAGTAGACTATATCAAAGAAAAATCAGTCTTTTTGCGAAAAAAAGATTCAGAGGCCGTTGATCGAATCATCAAGCAACTTGAAGAGAAAGATATGCTGCCAATTGAAAAAGTAACTTTAGCTCACTTACAGACAGTTATCCTAGAAATAATTTATCACATTTTTCAAACAATTCTTCAATCTGACATTGAAGAAACTAGAGAGGAAAAAATAATCGGATCACAGTTAACGAGGATTCGTCAATGGTTGTTTGAAAATATCTACATTGTTACAGAAAATAAGAAAAAGATACAAAAGGCAAGAAAACGAACATGTTTTTCAAAACAGGAACTTCTCGATGTTCGTATGGAATTGCTACGACTTGCATACCAGGTCCAGTTCCTGAAATTAACGAACAGGTCAAGTACGGACAGAGATGATATCAGAAGCAAATATGGTCCTATTGTTGATTTACTATTAACGGAAAAATTGCCACTTTTGGATAAAAAGTATCAGAGAGTCCGTTTATTGGCGAGGGCATACGGTGTAGGACTGGACGACAAAATATTTGATGAGTTGCTGAATCTTGCAGATTTGGGAAGTCGTAGAATATGGCAATATGGAACCTGGTACAAATGTAAAAATGGTAAGATTATATCTTTTGACAGAAGAATTCGATTTATATTTTTCTTAATAAAATCATTTTCTTTCATAGTGAGATGTATTTTGTCTATTTTAGGGCATGTTTCCAGTACCTACAAAGAAGAAGAGCAGTGTCCATCTTGTATTCTATTTATTGGAAAAAAAACCTACGATGAGATAGTACCTCCGAGACGAGTTCTATCAGAACCAATACCAGAGGATCAGAGGAAGAAATCAACGCAGTTTTCTGACAATAAAGCAAATTTAGAAAGCAAGACTCGAACAAGTCAGGAAAACTTCGAATTTTTAACAGATGCTTCGAAATTAGCTTCTCGTGAAATTGTTTTTAAAAATGAATTCAAAAGACCAATCAGCACGCCAGAATATACAGCGTCAGGATATACTCCAAACATAAAACCAAAAACTATGTCTCGATTGGAAACTGTTACTCCACTACAGGAAATGGATAACGAAGGCATAATATGGAGTCCATCCGTGGTGTCTGGATATTCTTCGAAGGCAAAATATTATGACAGACCCTCATCCGTTGGGGCAGTTCCAAAAGATACCAGACAAAGCACTAGCAAAACCGAACAAAAGGCTAAGCAATATGCTTCTTTAAACACGCAGCCAGAAACAAAGTATGCATGGCAGAAAACTAACCTTGTCCCAAAAGACGAAAATGATGTTTATAAACCAACGTTTCCTCAACCAACTCTCTCATCACCCTCGGCTAGCGATAAGAAACAAACCGATAGGAAAAGTGTCTACACCTCAAAAGAACTTTATACACCTACCCACATTAAGAGCGCTGAACCAAATGGTGCAGATGTGGGACTTGATAAAGGAAAAGTGAGTTATGAGACCGAAAAACACTCTGAAATTTTATCTACGTCACAGGTATTCGAAAGACAATTGAAGCCCATGAGAAGTCCCATAGATATCGATATCAGCTTTGACCTTGCCAAAGAAAAGGAAGCTCAAGTACCGGTTACAAAGACGACCCGCAAAGAAGCAACGTCGTCCAATCTGGAGAAAAGATCAACAGGGGATGAACATAAGAGACCTTCACTTTCCAAATGTCCAAATGGTAAGATTCAACATTAAGGGCATGTTAAATTATGTGGTTATACTTAAAAGTTTGCTAAAACACAATGCATTTGCTGTCACACGTTTGAGGTGATTCTTCAAATAATTTCAATTGTAGCTTGAATAGGTATACCAATGAGTAGTAGCTGATTTTAACTAGAGAGAGATTTCATAAATTCAGATTTGATAGAAACATTTTTTAATGTCAAGGGATAGTATGTAACAACAACAATATTGGGTCTAGATCGATATTATCTCTGGAAAAATTTATATTGGCATGTCGTATTAACTTGCTGCACAATGTAATCGGAATCAGCTAGAACTTGTCAATGGAATTGCCATTACTTCCTGGCGGAGGGTTGCAAATTTAAATTTATACTTACACTGTATACTCAGCACTGAGGACCATTGAACAGTGAGGGATCTTTTTCGTGCCAGCACTTACTGCGACACAGGTTAATAAGAGGACTGCCTGATCAGCGGGTTTTCTCAAAAAGTAAACTTAGGACAAAGGACCAAAATATTCAGTGATATGCGTTTTTGACATTATATCATAAATCAAATACAGGTCATTTTTATATCAGTATTATTATGATTATACATGAAGTTTGATATGATGAGAAGTTTCTGTTATATGCTTTTGTTACAGGTCATCTAATGCTAAGAAACGAGATCCAGTGTCGCTGGTGCAGCAGAAGTTATGACAGTGAGGTGTAATGCTAAATAATACAAATTAAGTAGACAAACAGGCCAATTAAGCTTTGGTTAAATACATTTTATACAGTTTTAGAAAATAATTACTTTCTAGATTTTAGCAAAGAAATGATGTATTGTACATATTTTGGTTTCGAATACCCTTCAGCTCTTTGTACTTTTAAATGTATCATGGTTACAGAGGGTCTGTTTTATTTTATTACAAATTTTAATCTTCGAGGTAAAGTAAATGCTATATGTTATCTATAAAATAAAGTATGGAAAAGGGAAACAAAAAAAAAAAAATAGATGCAGTTATATCCGCATACACGGTATGTGTCACGAGTAAATATGTGTAATCAGCAATTTCATATCTTAGGAAATTTCTTAAATTCCTTTTCTATATTTTCTGGAAGGAAATGCTGCATACAGTAAAACTTGTCTTATCCGGATGTTGTAAATTCCGAAATCTTGTCTAATGCGATGGAATTTTTTTTTTTTTTTTTTTTTGTATATAAAATCCCTTTCAGTATATTCAATTATTAAAGATGTTGTCTTACCCCATCGTCGCAAACCACTGCCAAAATGTAGGACCCTCTCCCATTCAGGAGATAGTGGACTCTGAACCGTGGCTTCAGACGATGGGCTTATCCGGAATACTGTGTTATCCGGTCAATTTGTTTGGAACCAGTGGAGAATTTAGTTTCACTTGTATATTTACTGAATTTTCTATTACTTTATAAACAATGAGGGAGTCATTTTTTGTGTGTCAGAAAAATGTATGTCGTATTCCATTTTCTACCCCAATCGCCACCATGATCGAAATAAAATGTAACAATTTGATACATAACTACAGGATACCGAATAGAAACAAACAAAATACATCAAACTTTATAAAGTTTTTTTTCCGAATCGGTCACCCCAAATTTAACTACAAAATCTATTGAAATTTGGTAGTTAAACCTATGTGTTGTTTTGAGATGTGTAGTAATAGCTACCAGCAATTTCAAAATTTTTGTACCCTATTTTTTTGTATCGTATATTACTGTAACATGATTGAGTTGTAGATTTCAGATTTAATAGTAATGCTGCTGGAAATTGAAGTCTGTACACTTGAAGTTTGTACACCTATAGAATTCCAATTCTAACAAAATAAATACATTGTAAATAAACAAAACCAAAACAAATAAAAAAAAAGAGAAGAAAAAACAAAAAAAGAGAGAAAAAAACAAAACGAACACAAAACAAAACAATAAAAAAAACTAACAACATTTAAAAATGATTAATTTATCAACTAGAATATATTCTTTCGATCATTGACATATACTTGAGGTTTCGCACATGATGATATTAGATGTAAATGAATGGCTATCAATCAATATTATAATTTATCAATACTTTCAAAGAAAAAAATTGTAATATCTATAATTACATCGGGTATTTATAAATATTTCATTAATATTTCATTAATATGTATATCAGAACAGGATAGTGTTTCTAGGAATTCCTTAATGACAATGCTAAATCGTGATAGATTCAAAAAGATATCAAAGCGATAAGTAACGCCTCATGTAACAGGTAGATAAAGGAGATACACGAAAAGAAAGGCTATATCGCATAAACTCATGCATGCTCGGTATAAAAAAGAACAAGAGCAATGTAGTTGAGAAAAAAACGAGTAGAGAATACTGTATATATTCGTACAGTGTACCGACTACTGTGAGTGAGAAACAATGAATAAGGCTTTTCTAGATCCTAGCATGTAGAAAAGTTAAAATGGAGTAATTGCAAAACACCAAGTGTTTGCAAATTAAATCATATACAAGCGTTTAAAATTGAATTTGAAGATTTGTAAAGTGAATGAATCCCCCCGTTTGGGGGATAGTTTGTTAAACCCCGCCACGCGGGTGCCGAACTGTAATCATTTTGTCTAACGTCTTTCGATCCTTTCCGTAGGGTGCTTCGACTTTTTTTTGGTTATACCTTTAAAAATTTGTTCCTGTACATATCTTTACGAAAAAATCTAACATTTCTAATGTTTTGATGAGCGGGTGTAAAAAATCGATGTTGGACCGGTCGATGAGATGTTGGACCGCTTACGTCACAGAATGGGCGGAGCTTAATCTCTTTTTCATTCGTTGGTGTTCAACAGTGACGGACCTGAGGTTACATCACGGAAGACAGTACAAAATATATATTACAAAAAAATGAAAATGAAAGGTATAACAAAACATTTATTGACTAATGTATGTTCTAGGGCAAAATGCGTTTTGTCGACCCTCGAACCAAACTGTCTGCGTTCGGCCTAAAGGTCTCAGACAGACAGTTTGGTTCTTGGGTTCGACAAAACGCATATTGCCCTCGAAATCAGTCAATAATTGTATATTTTAAAATATCCAAAAATATATGCATTTCTAATTGTTTTTTTTTCTGTGATAACTCTTTGAAAGATAGGTAAGTTGATTTCTTGATAATCAAACCTGAATATAAATTTTGCAAGTGAAATGCCAAGAGACTGAAATGCATGTCGATCTCGTGTGGCTGTCTTTGCTACAGGTACTTGTGGACAGACTTATAGTAGGGTATTTTTTGTTGAGCGAATATTTTGGGGTTTTTACGATTTATTCCAGTTGTACACGTAATGAATACTATAGTAAGTGTATTAAATATAATTTGTGAAAAAAATGTCCAGTAAGCCCCGGGATTAAATATGGGGGGGGGGGGGGTCCTGTCCACAAGTACCTGTGGTCTTTGCCAGACGTCAGTTGGTGGGGACTATTGACATGGGGGGGAGGGGGGGGGGGCTCGTGTATTTTTTTGTTAAAAAATCCATCAGACAGGTTTCTCCTTATAACTTTAGATTGAGAAGAGATAGGGCTTTCATATTTGACATGTGTATTACCTGTGACAAGATACCTCCGAGCATGCAACTGACCCCTTGTCCTTTACGATTGGCCTAATATTTTTTTTTTAAAAACTTCAACTTTGGTGATAACTTCTGAATGACATATGAAAGGGCGTCCATATTTCACACAATATCATGAATATGCCGTAAACATGACATTTTCCCACAAAGACACCGAAAGCGAGGGAACGACATTTCTTTGAATTTGCTTGTTCTCTTTCAATTAGCCAATGCCCCTCCTTTCAATTTACTTCCGACGCCAATGCCTTACATCAGAAAATTCTGACGCCTGTATTATGATTGAAAGATATTATCGATGGTTTATCACAGTCTTGTCAAAAAAAAAAATGTTCTCTTGGATAAGAAAATAGAAAATTCATTTTCAATTCTATCTAATATGACTGATGAGTATACAATATAATAATTTGTTATACCTTTAAAAATTTGTTCCTATACAAATCCATACGAAAAAAAGTCTAACATTTCTAATGTTTTGCTGAGCGGGCATAAAAAATCGATGTTGGATCGCTGAATGTAGTGAATGAGATGTTGGACCGCTTACGTCACAGAATGGGCGGAGCTTAATCTCATGTCATTCGTTGGTGTTTAAAAGTGACGGTCTTGTTGTTACATCACGAAAGACAGTACAAAGTACATTTAAAAACAATAATAAAATGAAAGGTATAACAAAACATGTATTGACTGATTTCTCGAGCAAAATGCGTTTTGTCGACCCTCGAACCAAACTATCTGCCTTCGGCCTAACGGCCTCAGGCAGACAGTTTGGTTCTTGGGTCCGACAAAACGCATGTTGTCCTCGAACTCAGTCAATAAATGTATAATATTATACTTTCATGTAGTTGAATCTGATTGATCGAGAAACATTTGTTAAAAAACACTATTACCCGCTGAATAATGAAGCCACGCCCTCCAGCATAGCAACAGTCAACAGTGCTTGACGACGGGTGATATTCCAAACAAAATAGCGACTGCGCAGAATTTATGCGCGCACGGTTCACTGTTATATGTATTTGTATAAAACATTCAGTATAATAAAATAAATATTGCATGTAGTTGAGTGTAACATTGAAAATTTTCACCCCAAGAAAACCATTGTCAACCTCGGCTTACGGTATATAATGTTCTTTGGTTTGCAATATAGATGCCCTCCCTTGCTGACATTGTCTCTATTTTTGCAAAGGCGGGTGCGGCCAGATAACAGGATGTTTGCTTCTGCAAGGCATCTGATCCAACCTCTCGAATGTTTGGAGGTCTGTACGTGTTGTAGCCCCCTCCCCTTTGTATCATTCTGTATTGTTTGTAAATGTTTTTTTCTTAGATCACTCGCTATTCGTTATCTTAAGTTTTTCATTGAAATGTGTTGCTTTTTTCAGTGCTATAATATAGTTAATATTCACCTTCAATTCTTTAAAGTAAATATGATTTTTATCTAGAACCATGTTGAATTTCTATAGTTTAAACAATTCTGTACATCGTTATGCTTCTATACTAAAGTTAAATTGATAATAAAATTATTAAAGGCATGCGATTAATATACGGCATATGCCTTAAACTATTGACAAAGGCTAAACATGTAGTATTTAAACAGACACTGTTTTAAAAAGCTTCAAAGGAATTGTTTTAAGTGAAAAAAATATTTAAAATAACCATTTAAAAGTTGAAATTCCCCAGCAACCTAAATGTTCATTGCATCAGTTTATGTTTGTGAAAAATGTATTACTTAACGTTGCATTTTTTAAAAGCTGTCTTTATGAATATTTTTAGAATACTAGTCAACTACTCAAGAATAAAATAAAATTGTTTGCATTGAGACCTGTGTTTACTTTCGCTCTTATGTTGTTTTAAAATAGTGTTAATAAATAAACTTTGTGAGTTACATTCGTTTATTTTCTTTTTTTTCCATTTTTGTCAACTTGGTCGACTTACGTCTTAGGACACCTAAATCTATCTATTTTTGTCCGTCATCATCCGTCGGGTAAGGGTGTTAAAATCATCAAAATCTTTAAAATATCTTTACGACGTACTGGCCATCAAGAAGTTGAACTTTATTCTTGCTTTTAATAAGCATTGAACACTCTATCCAGACTAATAAATTCTTGGGTAAAAGATTCTACAGCCAAATTTAATGTCCATGTTGCATAAATTCCTTATTCCATATAAAACATTTCCCTTTTAATTAAGCAGATAAACGAGGCGCATGTTAACACAAGCAAGTGTGTCCGTCTCAAAATTGTAAACATTATGGCCCCCGGATTAAGAAACGGAAGGGGGGAAGTTGGTTGGATTCAGGTGTTCCAGACTCTTTTGATTCTGTGGAAATCTTCTCTACTCGGGCTGCTTTCTCAGCAGATAAAATAAGTGTACTGTTAAAAGAGCAAGTGTACCGTATGGTGTCTGAATAAAACTAAAGCACTGATTTCTTAGTCTATAAGGTAAAGTTTACTTCTCCATGCGCGGATCTGGGGGGGGGGGGGGGGGGGTCAGGACCCCCCACCTGTAATTTGCAAGATTATTAAATTCATATACTAAAGCAAGATAAAAGTTACCTTGGACCCCCCCCCCCCCTCGGAAAACTCAGACCCCCCTGATAAACGCATATTTGTGTTAAATCGGTATGAAAAGTCAAAGATTTGAAGTATTAGAAGTCATCGACTCCCCCCCCCCCCCCCCCCCACGAAATAGGAGTTTGGAGTTGTTAAGGTTTTTTTTTTTTGCTTGTCAAGAAATTTGTGGGTTGGATTTTTTTTGGACAGGGGTGGACCCCCCTGGAAAAAATTTATGGATCCGCACCTGTTCTCTATAGTATTCCTAAAACTGAATCAGGGTTTGGCATAAATTACCTAGAGAGCATATCTTTTGACTTTTGTGGTCTTAGAATGCAAAATATCCAGAACATATCTAAAGGACACCACTATGATGCTTTTTAAAACAACATTCACAAATACAATATTCAGAACATATCTTTTTAATGTCAACGATATTTTCTACGAAGCATACACTGTAGTTAAAAAGTATTGGGTTTTATTTGTGAGCAATTCACACATGTAATGCAATAAAAGATATAAATGTCACTGAGAAAAAAATGGAGGAATTGAAGGTATTATTAGGCAAGAAATGACTTAATGATACAAAAAATCTTTTAAAAGATTAATTGCGAATAATTTCCTTTTTTAAAACGCTTGCTTACTTTAATCATATTTGAAAATACATGAGAACGCAATGATTTTAAACCATTATGAAGCTGACCCTAATAGCGACCTTAGCTGAGAGACACTCGGTTTGTTGGTCCTCTATGAATGGGCGGAATCGAGGCGGGGACTGAATCTGTCCTCTTTGGTTTCCATGGAGACCTGGGACTGTACGTGTAGCACTTGGGTATGCTCACGTGACGTTCAGCGAGATTTTGATTGGAGTCAGGTAGGACATACGTCACTCCGAGATCTTTTACCGCAAATTTCTGAATTGGAGGAATGTTGACTGTGTTCCCTGTAGTCGTCTCCTTCTTTGTTAAGCAAGCTTTAAAGCCGTTTCGCCGATAGAGAAAGTCAATTCTACTTGGATTTCTCTCGGGGGCCCATCGAACCGGTGGAATATTTGGTGCACACTTTTCGTGAATAAACTTTGACCTTTGAAGATAAAAACCCTCTGTAAATTCAATGTTAGGAGTATCTTTTGGGGATACATAATTTGTCAAAGACTTCTCTCTTAACATTTTTTGTGGAGAAGACTTTGTCATTTTACAAGGTGACACGATATTAGAGTACCGTCTAGGGACTGGAGATACGGGGGTGGATCCTACAGAAGAGGTTGGCGGAACGGGAGGAGGAGACCTGTGTTTAAAGATCATTTCTTCCTCTGCGACAGGCGTAGAGGACGAAGCGGTATTTCGAGATTGCCGAGAAAATCTTTCATAGAAATCATGGCTGTAATTTATCGTATCGATATCCTTGAATAACGGTTTAGGTGTAACTTGCTGAATGTCACACAGAATACATTCATCATTATTAACATCTGAAGCAAAGCCTTTCCTCCACTTAATTATTCGGCGATAATATTCCTCCCTGGCGTGCGAGCCGAGCTGAGGATAGTGACAGAGTGTATTCCACACTTTTTTACCAAACCACTTCTCTGGCACATCGTCTTCCGTGGCGTTACCGAGCGGTACTTTATGTACTTTACATTTCTTTTTCTTCTTCAGTTTTTCCAGACGTTTCCCCTCTTGTTTATTACATACGTGCAATCGAAATATTCCACCAAAAATAGTTTCCCCATCCTGTTTCAGGGTTCCTAGTTCTTTGATTGGTAACTTTTTCATTTTTACCTTCTTGTTTATCGGGCGAAGTAAATCCTTTCCCCTTTTCCTCATTCTCTGTTTGGATACTTTTGGTACCACGTTTTCTTCTTCGTCTCTGACAGAAGCGAACTCCTGTAAAACATCGGGAGCAGTAGGGGAGTTGGTGTGTTCTTGTTTTGCTTCTTCTCGGTATTCATTTTTCTCCTGTTTTCTACAATTAATTTGGTTTTCTGAAGATTCTTTTAACGCATCAGCAGAGCTACTGTTATTGTGTTTCCCCTCTAGACCATCATATTCATTAATAAGAAGTTCTGCATTTTCCAAAGAATGTAAAGAATTTTTTTGTGTCGAATAATTTTTCTCCATAGAGCAAGATATTATGGCAGCATTTCCTTTTTCATCTCTAAGTCGTGAACAAGTTTCATATTCAAATTTTGTATTTATTTCCTTTCGGTTTCCCGAGTTCTTTGGCTTTTCTGGCCTCGGTGTATTTTTTGGAGGTTCACATCCTTGGCAAGGGTAATTACTTTCACCATCTACTTCCTTTTTTGTCGTGAGATTGGAAAAAGACATACTTTCTAGATCTAACCCATGACACTATGTTGCTAATGACTCAGATACATAGATGACGTCATAGACAAAATCGATAGAAAAAGTGTTACGTCACAATAGTAACGTCATAATACAACAATGAAGGTAAATAATGAAAGACATCAAATCATTATCTCACACCCTTTTCAGTGTAAATGAAAGAAAGCACAGACATGTGTCTAGACAGTACGTAGAAATGCATTATCTATCTTTTTTGGCCGCTGTTGACATCCTATTAACGACTTTGTTAATTTGTTCGGGTGTGGGGTCCAAAAATATATTGTCTTTGTTTGAAGGTTCTTGTTTACTTGGCACTTTATCATTACTTTCTATCGTATATGGCTTTCGGGCAAGTGGATCGACTTTCTGTATTAACACAATACCATCCGGTGGATTAGCCCAGGGCTGCTCCTCACCTGTCAAAGTACAGGGGGTCTTACGTCACAAAATATTTAAGAAAATCTAGAATATTGACATTTGCCACAAACCGAAGTAATTTAACACAAAATATAAAATCCAATACAATACCTGATCCAAAAACTAAAAACACCAAGGCAGCAAATAGTACTATTGCCCCTGTGACGTAAAAAGTGAAGTTCCATCCCCTCAAACTCTACAAAAATATATAGCTGTTTAAAATGAAATAATATCTTTAGGTGGTATCATGTAACTTGATCAAATGAAACAATTTATCTTTTACTTTTGAAATTTACAACTGATATGTACTCACATTTGGAGACAAAAATTCTCCGGCAACAAGTGGAGTGATCACTCCCGCCAAAGCAGCGAAGGATGACGACACACTCACTATGATGTTGGCATAGCGACTGGAAAGGTCGTAATAGTTTACCTGCCACCCTTAACAGAAAGTCAAAATGTCAATTTAGGGAAAAAGTGTTTTCAATGTTTTAAAATTCTGTAGTTTTAAATTTTATGGTTAGCAAAGCAACTGGATAGGTCGTAATACTGTACTTGCCATCTGAGAGGTGAAACCATTTCAATACCAATGTGGGAGAGAAACAAAACCAGTTGACATTAAATGCTTTGTATAATTATCATTTTTAATATTATAATGAGTCAGTCTTAACAAAATAGTAAGTACCGGAGACAGAAAGGCCAAAGAAGCCCATGGCTAACGAAAGAACAACAAGAACGGATGCCCCTGTCTGAAGGAGGGTCAACACGAAAAAGCAGGCGCCTTGTAATATAAAACCTGCAAAAAATAGATAAATAAATAAAAAATAAAAAAAAAATAAAAAAAGGAAATAAAATTTTATATTCTCTTGTGTTTACAATGCATAATTATGAAATCATTAAATATTTCGTTAGAGTTTTGGACATACCTATCCCTGTCAGCAGTTTCCGGATAAAGGTGGTGGAATACTTGGGATTCAGCTGAAGGAAGTCCGCAATGTACCCGCTGGTGAACGTGCATAGAACCAGAAGCACGTGTGGGATCGAGGAATACACGCCATTCTAGTAATTAAATAATAAAATAAATTATATTACAAGTTTTTAACAATTTCATCTTTTCAAAAAAAATGTAAGTATCAAAGAGTTCTCTAATTTGCTTCTAATTTGTTTCTTATCAATTAAATAATTTAAATTCATAAATTATAAAATCATGATAATTCACATTAGATTAAACCTTATTTTACCTAAAAGACTGATTTAAAAAATACTTACTTCGGCAACGCTAAAACCAAACATACTGAGATAATACGGCTCATTGGTCAGGAGTAAAATAATGACCCAATTTCTGGCAAAATGGCACAAACATATAGAGACTACGGGTAATGACGTCAGAATCTGCCGGTATGGTACTTTTAAATTCTGCAAAGAACGCCGTAAAATTACCAGTGACTTGTATTGATTGACGATCGAAATACATGAATTTGTGATAGCCAATTTTAAAATACTCACCTCGTATTCTACAGTATATTCCCCTTGGTTCTTTAAAATATAATCGAATTCCGATTGGCTAATTGATGTGTCATGTGATGGTTTCTCAAAGACAAAACATAACCACGCAAAATACCACAGAATGCACATACCGCCTGTTGTAGAACAAAACGTGATACAGACAGACAAACCGACAAATTATATTAGTACACACGCCTCTCAGAAGATGACTCTTACTTACTCGACACATAGTAGACGTATTCCCATGAAATGTAGTGAGTAATAAATCCACTTATGGGGAATCCTACGATGGCACCGGTATATGTCCCTAAAACAAACAGATGTACTTTGGAAAATAATACATGATTATGAGACTGAATATTTATTCAAATTGACTGGGTTTATGGGCAACAATATACATTTATTGTCTGTATTCGAGGGCAACATGCGTTTTGTTGGACCAAAGAACCAATTTAACAGTCTTTCTGGGGCTGTTAGGGCATTTTAGGCGAAAAGTTTCGTACGAGGAGTCGACAAAACGCTTTCGCTCTAGAACCCAGTCAAAAATGTTCTCCCTCCAACTTTCTAGCGATCAATATATATCTACATTGCTCATATCTCGCTATCTAAACCATCCAACATCGATTTTTAAGTATGAAATTATCATGATTATATCGGAAACAACTAATGAAAGGCATACGAATTTACTTTAAACTGATTTGCATTTAAATATTCATATATATACTGTCGACACTGCGTTAAATCATTCACAGACAATAATGACTAGAAAAAACTCAACCTTGTTTTCTGCCCTTCGTGCATGTTTTGTAATATGATTTGTAGACCATTGTGACATACATTCTGCTGAACCCACCTGTCAGAACGGCTGCCACAAGACGCCCCCTTTCATTGGCTGTCGTCCAGTGACGTAGTACGCCATAGACTGCTGGATAAAGAAAGCCCTGGGAAACAAAGAAAATGATTGAAATCGTTCATATAATCATAAACAGTAATGGGATGTTATTTATTAGATTTTCAACAGTGATATATTGTTATTTTGTATGCTGTATTTTTTCATCGCAACTGGACGTTTTGTCAAAGTGTTAAAACATATATGACAAGTGCGATAAAACTCGAGAATTTCCTTCCTTGGCTTGTTATAAGAAAGAGAAAATAAACGACCCTGACAGTTTCTCCAAATCTGTATAAAATGTTTTCAATCTCACAACTGTCGTCCATTTGGTTTAGAGGGCTCTAGAATTCGTATTGATTCTTTTATATGTTGCGGGTTCAAAACCGATTGCCTTACGTGGTGGCTGGTCAATCTATGAGAACACGTATACTTTAAAAAAAGGTCTCGTGTCGCAGTAGTGCAAGATAAAAGATCTCTCACTGCTCAAAGACCCTAAGTGCCGAACAAAGGTCTGAATTTGCAGCCCTCTACCGGCACACACACTATGACGTCATAGTCTACAACACCGCGTTTCAAAAATCAAAGAAAATGTGATAAACACTTTTTGTAGATGATTGAATATGGAATTTATCTACTTATATAAGAGGATTTTATATTCTGTTATACTCGCAGTGCTTCGCGAAATAACTTTCACATTCAACTACAAAGCATTGAATATTTTCATTTATCTATATAATTTATCTAATATCATGACTTGTTTTTTATTTACAGGAATAAATAATGCAATCCGTCGACCTCATGACAAGTCCTATTGACAACTACTTTTGCATGCTTTGATTAAATCAGCAAAAATATCGATCACTGATAAAGTTTGTTTTATTCTTTATAAAGTCTTGTTAAAATAACAATTGTAGCAGATGGTATAATAACGATCCGTGAAACATTTGTATATAAAGGTAAACGTAAAAATCCTATCTGAAGCGAGATAGATAATAAACTGTCACTTAATAAAGAGAGAAGACTTTTTTTCTTTACTTCCCCGGCTCCCTGGAAAAATCTGATGACGCAGCTGATCGTGTATCCCAAATGTTCTATACTGACCGGAAGTAGAACGTTCAGACAGGCCGAAAATAGTATACAGGCACCAAATGTTCTAAAAGAAATTTAGAAAGACCATGCAGAAGTTACGTTAAGTCATGTGGTCATGAAGGGTTCAGTCTCCGAAAACAAATATTAGTAATTTCAGTAAAGTGTGAAGTTTTGCATTACGTCACGATCTTTTTTGACAGATGCATCCAGCATAAACAATTCAGTCGCCGCTATCTGATTGGTCAATTCATATTATCAACATTGACACGGAAATAGTCTGTTGCATGAGCAACCAATGGGGATTAGAAGAAACTTCCAGTCGTAAAGCTTGCGGTTTGGAGGCGTGTACTATTTACCTTGAGCGCAGCTGACATCATAGGTTGTGACGTAATGCAAAACTTCACACTTAACTGAAATTACTAATACTTCTTTTCAAAAAGTTATTGGAAGTCGTTGGCATTTTATTCATGTATTACATGTGTAAGAAACTTGATCAGTATTTTATACTTGTGACATGGCCACTTTGTGGTGAGGTACCCAGAGGGTAACTGAGACAGGAAGAAACCGATATAGAACAAACTGTGGAGAAGCTCAGCCATTCTTGTGTTCCATTCTACAGTAGGGAGCTAAAACAAAGAGGGGTCAAATTAGTAGAGCTAAAGATTGATTTTGAGAGAATTTTGCAAATAATACGCGTACAGCGTACCATTTATTACAAAATCCAGAGACTGCTATATTATAAGAAGATACACGTAAATGTAATTTATGAACCTAGTGACCAATTGCAGCTTGAAATTCAAAAGCGGGTAGATTTTTTGAGTCGTGAGACCTTTCTAAACACACAGATAACTGAGGGGAAATGGCGAAGCACTATTTCCATACTGGACAAGACATTCTTTTTTTCCACAGAAAAATGCTTAATGTTATTTATATGATTCCGAAACATGCAATATTATGGGACCCAATATTTTCAAGAATTGATGTATTCATCAAACATGCATGCAAAAATTCGCCTTTTTTCAATTTCCGCGTTTTTGAGTCACTTTGCTCTTTTGTTTGTTTGTTGCAAATAGTAAAGTTCTAAACGTTTTCATACGAACTAAAATCAGACTAGCTCTGTTTACATAAGGCCCTTGAGTGCTTGAATTTGTGGTGCTAGTGTTTGGAGTGGGAGTTAATTTCAACTATGGTTTTGTCAATCACTTCTCTAACAGTTCAGAAAAAGTTGCAAAACGTGTCCTTAAGTACCATTCAGAAGGCCCATCCAATATATTAATATGGCTTCTGATGATTTGAAATGAGCGGGTCTAGTATGAGCGTGCACAGACACTTAACATTTTTTTTTAAAAGACTTTATTCGTTGCTTGAATATGATCGAACAGCAGGCTTGAGCTCTGACCATAAACTCCAAAGCTCAACAGACTGTGAGTAAGTAACATTTGAGTACTGTATTTGAATAATGTAGCATTGCATTTGGTAAAGAAACTAAGAATATCTAATACTCTAAAAATAATTTAATGACATTGTCAAAAAACTGAACATTGTCACCTGACTTTTGTTGAAAGAACTAATTTCTACCAATTTTTCATTTTTTAACTTACATTCCATTTAGCTTGTTGTGTTCCGACTTTCATATGAGCTTCTTCATCCAAAATAGTTATCATGGTAATTCCAACGTTTGTTCTCATACAATATACAACAACCATTCCAAGCGTCGCTAAGATCGTCACAATGTACCTTCTGGGGAAATAAAAATCCGAGCAGCAACAAACGGAAGCTGTCAAACTGTCACTTTCTGTAGGACTTTGAGGTTCACTCTTCTGTGTGAGTTCAACATCACCCTCCATTTTCTGATTATGTCCGCCAAGATCCCCTTTATCTGAAGCTTGTAACGACATTGTCTAGTTTAAAAATGGCATCTTTTCTCCAGCCTTGTGTCCATCTACCTCGGAAACTGCTGAAATTTCATGAACCTAGGAGAAAAAGCGACCAATTTTTTTTAGTAAAATTCAGATCTTTTATTATTTTGCTATATAAAAAATTATTTTAAAATACTTTTCATTTCAATATATTGAATAGATGATCGAATCATCGATACAAGAATAATAGTACAATTCTCAGTTAACCTTGGACTTTCAGTAAGGCATGGCATTTCCGACGTTACATAATTAGGGTCTAAAACTTACACGGATTTCATTCACTGTTGAAATATATATGGGATAGAAATTCGGCGAATGTCAACGAGTGTAGCATTTATCCAATACAGTGTCTCGTACGGCAAAGAGGTGGGGAATAAGTCGTCTCATCGTTGTCAACAACAATTTAAAGTACCTGATGTTATTATATTTTTTACCAATGAGAATCTATTCGCCATTTGACAGACGCTTATGACGTAGCACTGAGAATGCCATGTCTTACTGAAATTCCAAGGTTTACTGAGAACTGTACTATGTTGACGGACACTTCTATTGTTTTAATTGAGATCTGGTTCGTCAAACCGAACGTGACATTGGTGTGTCTAGACGTCGTGCGTAAGTTGCGCTACCAAAAAGAAACAGTGCTGAAAGTACATGAAGACCGTTCGGTTTACTTTTTATCTTCAAAAAATATCCATTAATTTAATCAAGGCGAGTTAACTGTTGAACTTTTGCCTTTTTTGGCGAGAGCGTATCTCAAACAAGTGATGCATTAAGTGGGTCTAGAGCACAGGCGCTTGACCTTTTTAACCTTTCTTATCATAAATAAAAATAGTGGATATAGATTTTTATTTATGAAAAGAAAGGTTAAAAATGTCAAGCGCCTGTGTATCCGTTGTATTTTTAGAGACCGTCTTTTATCCAAATCAAACACTAGATGAGGTTAACAGTCATCATTGGGTCTAGGACTGCAGTAAGATTTGAACCACGAGCCTCCGGAAAAAATTATGCAGATATTTCCCAAAACATTACATATATATTACCTATATACGTTTGGTTTATTTATAATTAAAACCTTTAATTATTTTTTGAAAGTTTAGGTAACTATTACAATACTGCTTTCATACATTTGAAGAACTATACCAAGCCACTACCAACCTCCTTCCAATTTAAGTCCTTGGCTCGCTGTGATCTTGTTAATTTTCCAAGTGAATCATTCGTTACATTGCAAACAACGCTTCAAGAACCGCCCAACAAAACTGTTATTCGTGACTATTTAAAAAAAAAAAATAGACAAACACTTTAAAATCGATAACCACAAATAGAAGGTAAATGTGCCATTTTGCTCTTCCTCCGTCAAGATTTAACTGCAGGAACACCAATCTAGCAACAGGTCGGCTGAAAAGCCTTGTTACAGGTTAAAACAAACCTCGGAGATAATAAAAAAATATTTCAATACAAAACAACACGAAGTTTAACATCTGTTGACAGAAAGATCGAAGTAGATGTATCAGCTGTTAGGTTTGTTATAATGATACAGAGAGAGACCATTACATACAGTCACATGCCAGGGTTTACATGTGTTTATCTCTCACTACAAATTGTTACATGTATTTGTAATTTGCTGTGTTTTTTTATGAATCCATTTACTTGCAGGCATGCAATTATTTGTGACAATAGTTTGGCAATAATTTGTAAATACATATATACTGTTAAATATATTTTATTTACTTTTCTGTACTTCATGATGGTACTTGTTTGACGTGTGTGTTTATATAAGTACTACTAGAAGGTTTGATTCACCATTGAAAAACCTTTCCTATTTTGGAATGTAGATAAAAGATACCAGTATTTATAAAAGTATAACAGTACTAAATCTAGAGTATAATCATATAAATCAATAGTGAGGATCATTTAGATACGGAAAACAAAGTATGCTGGCTTCTCCAAAACAGACCATTACTTGGTGTTGGAAATAATATTCGAACTTAATGCTAAGACATTTTTATGCCCTATATCGAAAGATACCGGGGGTGTATTGTTTTTGTCCTGTCTGTCTGTTTGTCTCTCTGTCTGTTTGTTGTCAACTTTAACCTAGCCCATAACTATTGAGTGGGTGGGGCTATATGGCTTTCATATTTCACACGTGTATTCCTTGTGACAAGACCTGTCCATTGGTACCACCATATTTGACCTCTTGACCTTTGAGTTTGACCTACTTTTACAAAAAAAAAATTACCACACTTTAACCTTGGCCATAAATTTTGAACAGTTGGAGCTAGGGCTTTCATCATCCACATGTGTATTAATTGTAACAAGACCTTTCAGCTGGTTTAAATATTTTTGACCTTGACGTAATAGTTTGACCCATTTTTTAAAAAAAATTAACCTTGGTCATAACTTTTGAACAGTTAGAAATATGGCTTTCATATTTCACAGGTGTATTCCCTGTAACAAGACCTTTCTTTGGGTACCAACACTTTTGACCTTTTGAGTTTGACATGCATTTAAGAGAATTCAACCTTCGCCATAAGCTGCCATAAGGGGGCATCAGTGTTTCACAACACACCTTATTATGTTTTAATAGTGGATCTCTCCTTGTCAATAATGTCCCGGCGGGAGTTAAAGATATTTGTTTATTTCGGCCTAATTTTACAACAGAAACCTAGATTATCTATGTGATTTCACTAAGATCTATTCTTAAGAATTTGTCGAAAAATCAGTACTGTACTACAGATGTATTATCTAATTCAAATAAAATCTTTGTTTGAAAAACATCATAATATTTGTGCATTCGGTAGATAATGAACGTCTTTTAAACAATTGAATAGACACTTGAAATTTTTAGTTTTTGTCAAAAGGTTACTTTTCCTTGTAAAAAAAACCAAAAATTGAAATTGTCCTTCTTTTGAACACTAATAAATTGAAATTCAAAGCGTACACAAATTATAACACAATTCAGAGAAAGATCATAATATGTATAACATGTATAACATCAATCTGATAAAACAGTCTGATATTTCTTCAGTCCAGATGAGCCACTACTTTTGTCTGGATATTAGCTGTAGGCCTACCGTCTCAAAACTGATTTTGCATATAACCACCATGTAATATTTACTTTACGTTACTTGACTTACCTTACTCTTGTTTTTGCAGTATAACTTACGTAAGAAATTACGTCACTCTCTGAACATGTCGATGACGTCATAAAGGATTCTTTTTCAGAAAAAAATGAAGGAACATATTTTTGCGCTTTGTATGATCTATTCGGCTTTAATCACATTGGCTGATTTTAGGAAGAGTGAAAATCATGGAACATTTAGCTGGCTTCATTCTATTCCACGAGATGACCCACGAGTTCAAGACGTCATCATGAATCCAATGAGGGAGAAACTGAGAATTGTAGGACCGTTCCTAGCCGCTCATAAGTATTTCGCAGTAGATCCACGATCCATAAACGGACGTGTCGAAAGAAAAGGCGGATTACATAGAAGTTTTCCTAACCCAAGAATAGTACAGTGGGACCCTAGTATTACCAAGGCTTGCGAGGATGGTGAAGTGTCTTGTATAAACGAAATCTACAGGAAAGCCATCATGGCGAATTCTGTATGGAAACTTCACGATTCCGATAAATACTCTAAACATTCAATATTCTCGCCATTCAAAACCGAATTGGAGATGTTTCGATATCGGGCCACAGCAGTTTATTACATGTGTTGGTATACAGAACTGAAATGTGCATTGTTAGCGTATGTTGAAAACCACGAAAAGGGGTGTCTGGATTCTTTGTCAAACACTGTTGAAGCAAATGGTAGACACATTGTTGATTTTAGATCCGACTATGGCGGAAATCAGTCAGATCCTATTTCCCTGTGGACCTGTGCCTATTTATGGTTTTGTCCAGACCCCTGTTACGGAAGAAGTTCAAATGGAAATGTGAAAGACGAAACATCGGCCAAAGCTGACCCACAAAACCCTTGCACCAAACTAAAGGACAAAACCTGTACGTGGATTACTGGGAAAAACATTGACTTCCAAGATCTGACCAAAAACAGGTTTAATTATTCCTGTGTCTGTGATAAGCAGGGCTATATATGGAGCCCTAGGTACCGACTTTGCTTTGACCAGGACGAGTGCTTTGACCAAGTGGCACAATGTCCCGACGATAAAATCTGCAGGAATACCATTGGTTCCTATGATTGTAGTTGCAGGCGGGGATTCTTTCAACACGAGATGACTGGGAATTGTGTTCGTAGTCCTATTTTTAAGGGATCACTTGACAGAATTCGCCAAAGAGCAAAGAAGAAGGATAAAAATGTACCATTTTGGATCAAAATAATGGAAAAAATACTTGGGAAATAACATTGTATTTACCTTAAATAGAACATGTTGAAGCAAAAAGTTATTTTTATAATTCATAATACCGAATGTATGCAACTTTAGTTTATATTTTTATAAAACAATCATGAATCATTTTCCAAAGGCTCACAGATTATACAATGTAAATTTATTTTGTGCTTATCTGTTATTTTCCTATACATTGCATAACGACCACTAAACTTTCTAAAAGGTAACGTTACCTTGACTGGTGTGCAATTGTGTATTCAGCAGCTGTAAACATTTTTAATTACATTTTGCCTGAAAAAATATATATTCTATGCCTTACAGCCAGGAACAATGGTCATTAATTAAATTGAAAATAATGAAAGAATTGTTGAAAAAAGGTTAGATTTGTAAACCTATCAGTTTATTTACAATTGCGAAATGTAACCACTATATACAATGTATGGTATTTTATAAAGTGACAACTCCAACCTGTCACTCAGTTGATGTTTTATGCACGGACCATATATAGTTCTGCTTTAGTCCTAGGAATTAATTATCATATTTTGCAATTCATAAAGTGCATAATGTTCAAAATTAAGAAAACTTTTGCATTTGAACAAAAATGTGATGTGAAAAATCCAACAACATTCATATCAGCATGTAGATTTAATTTAAAAAAGAGAAAAAAGTTTGAAATTGTTCTAGTGTCATGTCTTTATGTACAAATACAATGTAGGTTTCATGATGTAGTGTGTACAGTTTGCTTCGTGTTTTTGTGCCATTACTTATAATGACCCCGTGTGATTAGATACAACCACAGCATATATATTAACAATTTCCATAGAAAAAAGGAGTAATTCATCGTGTAATGCTTCTCTCAATATAAATACGGCCAGCGCGTGAATTTTAAATAGGTAAAACTAATTTTGACGTTGAATATGTTTACTGGATATAATGTTAATTCTTAATGCCCACGTCAGACATAAAGAATATATTTTTGCTTCACGTATTTTCTATGCAAATAAATCATGTGTACACCAATTAATTACTTTGAGTGATTAAGACTTCTCTGCAAAACATGCTTCACTAATGCGAGTCAGGACAATTTTTGGTTCGAGATCTGATGATGCGCGCACTGGTTCTTCTAAGTTTACACCTACTGACAGACATCTGGGGATGGCCCTCCTTTAACGACTACATACCAAACGGTGACAAGGTCCCCAATCCGTGCAACCCCTCCCTAATATGGTACGGGGTGGGGCACCTTGGTGCCCATGGATCAGGACCTAGAAATCAATTTGGAAAAGATTTTCTGAAAGCCAATAAGGTAAGTTGATTTGAAGTTTTCCTTCGTATAAATAGGTAACAATGAGTACTTTCGTTTGATCTGTACACACTAAGCGCTAGAAGACCCTGGAAGTAAGGTGACATTGTGGTCAGTATGGACAGGTCATTTACCTATAAGTCATACCTTTATTTACACTTGTGTCCCATGCCCAGTAATTAGTGACTTGATATACACAGCTGACTAAATCTGACCAGTCCATGACAATTGAGTAGCGCATGATTTTATGCATCATTTCCAAAATTAAGACGATAAACATATCTTCACTTGTCTTTTACCAAAAAGAATAAAATCTGCAATAAACTGGTTTGCATCGTTTGTCACTGATATGTGATTTTTTTTCTCTTCAGAACCAAGCCATAGTAACCAAAGTATTTTAAAGTTCAATAATGAATAATAGGATATTTACAGTTACAAATTCATATTTCACATTGTAGGAACATTATATCCACTGTGTACTCATTACTTTCTCTCTCTCTCACTCTCATTTTTTTTTAAATCCTGGACCCTACCTATTTCATCACACCTGAACTGACAACTCAAGTGAACTTTTCTGATCACCCATTCTCTGTCGTCCGTCCGTCTGTAAACTTTTCACATTTTCAACTTCTCCTCAAGAACCACTGGACCAATTTTAACCAAACTTGGTACAAAGCATCCCTGGGTGAAGGAGAGTTTAAATTTTTTAATAAAGCACCAAGCCCTCAGGTACCTGTGGACAGGACCCTCACCCCCCATACCCAACATATTCAAAAACCGGGACTTGTTGGACATTTTTTTCGCAAATTATATGTACTCGTATTACACTTAATTATCATGTTTACAATAGGGAAAAAATTGTAAAAACCTCAAAATAATCGCTCCACAAAAAAAACCCCTCCACTCCACAGTATAGTGGAGTATTTTTTGTGGAGCGATTATTTTGGGGGTTTTACGATTTTTCCTCTTGTACACATGATGAATACGTGTAATAAATATAATTTGTGAAAAGAAATTGTCCAACAAGCTCCGGGGTTCCTGGGGCCAGGGGTAGAACCAATGGACCAGGAAAGCTGATATTTATGTGAAAGCATCCTGGGGCCAGGGGTAGTGTAGATTCTAAATTGTTCAAACATGACCCAAGGGGGAAAAGCGAGGCGACAATAGGGAATCCAAGTTTTTAATTGAAATATACAGGAAAAATCTTCTTCTCAAGAAACACAAGGCCAGGAAGGCTGAAACTTATGTGGAAGCATTATAAGGGAGGGGGTTGGTCTGGTGAAAAACGGCATGGCTAATGTATTCAGCCATCAGGTGAGCGTTGTGGCCCATGGGCCTTTTTGGTATAGTAGAACGAATTACTATAGTATAACATGTGCAATAGTTATTCATATGTTCAAATCCAACTTAATACCAATAAAGAGAGACTGGTTCTTTGGTTTCCCTCCAGAAATGGGAGGACATTTGTCGTCTGGATTCGGACGGGGACGGTCAGTACAATGGGCTGGAGCTAGGGGACCCAAACTGTGAGTGGTCCACCACCAACAGGAACCTGACCCTCCCGGCCTTTTCACATCCAGGTAAGGCACGGGGATATATTGGAAGTTAAACTGTTGTATTCAATATCTTAAAATTAAAGGAAAGTTTTAATGGTGGGTGGGAATATGTGCCGAAATGTGTTCTCCTATTCTCCACCCAAAGTTGTCCCGCTTGGCTCCCAACACCTCAGGTGTCTGTGGGAGCGTATTGGAACGGCATACAGAATAATCTCTTGCTCGCTTTGTTTCTTAGATTTTATGCTTTCCTCATTTTTAATAACATTTAGATTCAAAATCCTCTAGGTATTTCAACTTAATCGAAGAATTCAAAGGTTTCATTTTTTGCCTAATATGATACACTGGAAGAAAATGGCCATGATTCATAAAACCGACAGACAGCGTAGGTTTGAAAAAAGTGTATTTTTGGATTAACATTCTGAGCGCCATTTGTGTTTAGCATATTTGCTAATTTCTGAAAGTTGTCTGAAGATATATTTCACACTGAATGCAAAATCAAATGCAGGAACAATTTCATTACTAGTATATCCTTAGTCTCCCTCTTCTATACCTGATTTATACAATATTCCAACCTTTGAAAGTGTATTTCAATTTTGTCATAATTTTGCAAACCTTTTGGCAAACAATCTCGAAATCCATTTCTTTGGCGTAACAGATGTGGAAAATCAGCATCTGTACTTATTTTAAAATAGCATATCTGCATGTAAAATAACACCAGTAGGATTTCCTTAACAATACCATCTCTTTACTAATTTGATATTAGGTATCTGTGAACCCTGGGACAGCCCGAGATGTCTTGCTATGAATGGCTCTTTGGACTGCGATGCCGACAAAGTCTCCACTAAATGTGAACAAATTGATGAACCAGGTCATTAGAGGATTTTATTTTTTATTGCAATTTTGGCATTATTTTACACAATTTGACATACTGAATATAATTAAATAACTTTTTATTTCCCCATTTCATTGTAGGTGTAAAGAAGTATGACATGTTCCTTAACAACTATTCCATTCCATTAAAAGAGTGGAGCTTTGTTTGCCGAATATTCAATTTGCCGACGAATAAAGACTATCACGTGATAGCATCTAAACCAATCAACCACCAGCATAAACTTCTGAAAAAAGTAGCAGTCTATGGATGCAGTTAGTATCAATGTATTCTTGGATTGTACATGAGTGTATATTCATTTTTATTCATTAATTTTTTTTATTTTAGATTGAATATAAGACAGTATTTATATATGTAACATTTTAGTCTAAGGATGTAGAGAACAATTTCAAATTTTCTAACAAGGAGCAGAAAAAAGGTCAAACATGAAAATCCATTTATAGGGGGGTAGGATATATTTTTTTTGAGGGGGGGGGGTAAATTTTCCCTATAGACCAGGCAAGCACTCATTTCATTTTACTACTCATTTAACTCATGAAGATTGAAATGCCGTTATCATGATTGTAGATCCAAACATGGAACGGATTACACGACTGGGGGTTTTTGAATGCTCCTCGATAATCGCCAAACCTTGTCAAGATCTCATTGCAATAATGACCACCGACCAAATGGACCAGGGCAACTGTTTTCCACGTGACGTGGGGCTACAGATTGGCAAAACAGGATACAAGCAAATTCTTATGAAGGTTCGTACATCTCATTTGTTAGTGAACTTTTCATTCGAGTTGTTCCGATATAACAATATACTATTCTTTACAGTGGACATTTGTCAATCCAAGGAAAGAACAATCCGTGACACAGGCGGGAATGTCACTGTTCATCACCCCAAATCTGAAGAAATATAACGCCGGGGTGGCCATTCTGGAGGAGACGCACTTCAGCGTGCCGGGAAACCTCCCTAGTTACTCGGTGTCGTCTGCTTGTCCTAGTTCCTGTACACAGCTCCAAATGAGATCACCAGTTACCATCGTGGCGGGAGTTAACGTCATGAGGCATTATGGTAATTATAGCTATAACTACCTCCTTGTTAACACCATCTTTCCCGGAAGTCAACGGTTTCTGATCCACTCCTCTCTGCATTAATGCGGAGCAGAATAGGTCAGAAAGTTTCGACTTGGGAAGATGGAATATCATGCTATTTAGTAAAATTGATCACTGGAGAATTGATTCAAATTGACTGTAAAGATAGTTTGAATCCCTTGTAGGTGTTAAACAGCGAGTGGATGTTGAAAGAAATGACAGGATCTACAACTCTATTACAAATGACACTAGCTATGACGTTTTCGACCCAACTGTTTTCTGGTATAGTGTTATTCAAAATAATGTCTATGCATTGCACAGAGACCTCAGAGTTAAATTGTTCTAATAAGCAAAATAATTTTTTTTTACATATACTAGGTACACAACCCCTGTGCCAGTCCTTCCCGGTGATATGTTGAAGCTGACTTGTGAGTACAACACAATGAATGTGCGCAGTGATGTTAACTGGGGAATGGGGCCAAATCAGGAGCTGTGTAAAACCATCCTCATCTTTTACCCAAAGGAAAACTGGGACGACCATCACTGTGAAAGCTTTAAAAATATCCCCCTTTGTGCCTTGGAGATCGGTGATTCTGTGTTTGGGTGTACCTACGGTGGATTTATGACGGCCTTAAATTCAAATCCTCTCTACGACCTCACAAAATGTTCAATTTTGTCCACATGTACAGACGAATGCCTGCAACGCGTAACGGCTGTCCGAGGGACGCCTTGTCTCTCAGGAGATATGTACGAATTGTGGAAACTCATGGCGAGGTCACTGAGAAATAACAAATTAATTACTTTGTTTAAAGCACTTGTAACCTGCGAGGAAAGATATACCACCACTTTGTTAGGAACAAGGTCTCAAAGCCATGGTAGAGGATAGCATTTAAACCTATGCTACCCGTAATCAAATATAGTATATCCTCACTAAGGCTATTCAAAGACTGACAGGAAATTGTATGTTTGTTTGTTAACTTTATATTAACATGTTACCCCATGCCATATTTTTTTAATGTGAAATGAAGTGTTTCATTGCATTTATGTTTTAAGTGTGCATTACAAAGAATTTGATTTTTCACCTAACCAGCTTCTTTGACAATTTAACCAAACATCTCTGAAGAGACTGTAACTCTCCTGGTTCTTACTTAGTAAGCAAAGGTAGAGAAAAGGTGCACTTTGAATTGAACCTATGGCAACAGCAATACATTAAAAAAGTGGAAAACTGTCACTATGACAGCAATCCAGAGGCCTGTTCAACAGTGAGAATATTTGCAAACTCTTGCCAAAATTCCTAATACCTCCAACAAAGGTGTTTGCAAGCACTTGCTCTGTTGAACTGGGCCCTGGTTTTGGTTTTCATTGTGTGAACAATTTAATTATACACTATCCAAGAAAATCTATTTTAAATGTAGTAGAATGAAAAGTGTGTAGGTTGTCCCAAGATTGGCTCTAGATGGAAAATAACTCTTGTAAATATGGACATTGTATATTAAAAAAAAAATATATCCTAAAAATTCACTGGTTTGAGATAAAACCGATGCACAGAATTAATCTTAGTGTATCTACTTGTGTGATGAGTTATATTGAAATCAGACCAAAACTGTAGAAGGAGTAGCATTTTAAAGGAATTTCTCAGAAAATTCTATTTTTAGTAACCATGATCAAATGTTTAAATCAAAAACCGATGCACTATTTTATGTATCTTATAGTCTAATGTCAAGTGATATTGAAATGAGACCAAAACTTTAGAAGGAGTTAGCATTTTAAAGGAATTTCTGAGAAAATTCTATTTTTAGTAACCATTGCAACACTGCTCATCGAAATCAAAAACCGATGCACTATTTTATGCATCTTAGTGTAGTCTACTTGTGTGCCAAGTGATACTGAAATGAGACTAAAACTGTAGAAAGAGACAGAGTAGCGTTTTAAAGGAATTTCACAGAAAATTCTATTTTTAGTAACCATGGCAACATCGTTCATCGAAATCAAAAACCGATGCACTATTTTATGTATCTTAGTGTAGTCTACTTGTGTGCCATGTGATATTTAAATGAGACTCAAACTGTAGAAGGAGTAGCATTTTAAAGGAATTTCACAGAAAATTCTATTTTTAGTAACCATGGCAACATCGTTCATCAAAATCAAAAACTGATGCACTATTTTATGTATCTTAGTGTAGTCTACTTGTTTGCCAAGTGATATTGAAATGAGACTAAAACTGTAGAAGGAGTAGCGTTTTAAAGGAATTTCACAGAAAATTCTATTTTTAGTAACCATGGCAACACTGTTCATCGAAATAAAAAACAGATGCACTATTTTACGTATCTTAGTATAGTTTACTTGTGTGCCAAGTGATATTTAAATGAGACTAAAACTGTAGAAGGAGTAGAGTTTTAAAGGAATTTCTCAGAAAATTCTATTTTTAGTAACCATGGCCACATCGTTCATCGAAATCAAAAACCGATGCACTATTTTATGTATCTTTGTGTAGTCTACTTGTGTGTCAAGTGATATTGAAATGAGACCAAAACTTTAGAAGGAGTTAGCATTTTAAAGGAATTTCTCAGAAAATTCTATTTTTAGTAACCATTGCAACACTGCTCATCGAAATCAAAAACCGATGCACTATTTTATGCATCTTAGTGTAGTCTACTTGTGTGCCAAGTGATACTGAAATGAGACTAAAACTGTAGAAAGAGACAGAGTAGCGTTTTAAAGGAATTTCACAGAAAATTCTATTTTTAGTAACCATGACAACATCGTTCATCGAAATCAAAAACCTATGCACTATTTTATGTATCTTAGTGTAGTCTACTTGTGTGCCATGTGACAGTGAAATGAGACCAAAACTGTAGAAGGAGTAGCATTTTAAAGGAATTTCACAGAAAATTCTATTTTTAGTAACCATGGCAACATCGTTCAACAAAATCAAAAACCGACAAACTAATTTATGTATCTTAGTGTAGTCTACTTGTGTGTTAAGTAATATTGAAATCAGACCAAAACTGTAGAAGGAGTAGCGTTTTAAAGGATTTCTCAGAAAATCCTATTTTTAGTAACCATGGCATCACCATTCATCGAAATCAAAAACCGGTGCACTAACTTATGTATCTTAGTGTAGTCTACTTGTGTGCCAAGTTATATTGAAATCGGACCAAAACTGTAGAAAGAATAGCGTTTTAAAGGAATTTTTCAGAAAATTCTATTTTTAGTAACCATGGCAACACCGTTCATCAAAATCAAAAACCGACATATTATTTATGTACCTTAGTGTAGTCTACTTGTGTGCCAAGTTATATTGAAATCAGACTAAAATTGTAGGAGGAGTAGCGTTTTGAAAAATTGTTTACAGACAGACGCCGGACGCATTACTATCGCATAAGTTCTTCTGGTCTCTGACCAGTAGAGCAAAAAAAATTTTATTCTAAAAACTCAAGGAGATAACACTCCTTCCAACAAAATCAATGTACCATATTAGGATATTTTGCGTAGAAATAACTACGTTCAACAGCTGGTACTTTCATAATGATCAAATGTTTAAATCCAAGTAATATGCATACCTTTGATAAATGTCCAATTGATCTTAACAAGCAAATTCAAAGAATTGTGGTCCCCCACTTTCGGTGTCATTGTGGTTGAGATGCTATTTTTTATGACATATGGTGTCTAATATGAACACCCTATCATATGTCATTTATTTAGAAATTATCATTGAAGTTGATTTTTTTTAAAGACAAGGTCAATCATGAAGGTCAAAGGGTAAGAAATCATGGCATGCTCGGAATTATCTTGTCACAGGTAATGCACATGTCAAGTATGAAAGCCCTATTTCTTCTCAATATAAGGAACAAGATGTGTTTGTGAAGCACTGATGACCCCGTATGGCAACATAACAAACTTTTCTTAAATGCAAATTAAATATATTATTATATTACCCAAAGTAGGGTTTTTCTCACAAGAAATATGATTGTGAAATACAAAATCCCTAGCACCACCTGTTCAAAAGTTAAAGTCGAGTATAAATTTTTGAAAGATAGGTTAAACTCCAAGATGAAAGGGTCTGAGTTGTTGGTTTCCTAAGAAAGGTCTTATCACAAGTAATACATATGTGAAGGATGAAAACCCTAACCATTCCAAAGTTATGGCCAAGGTTAAAGTTTTTTAAAAGTAGGTCAACTCCAAAGTCAAGGTCAAAGGGTTAAAGTTCTTGGTATCCAATGAAAGGTCTTCTCACAAGGATTACATATGTGAAGTACAAAAGCCCTAGCCCTTACCGTTCAAAAGTTATGGTCAAGATTAAATTTTTTTCATAAGTACAGAAATCTCCAAGGTCAAAGTTGTTGGTATCCAATGAAAGATCTTGTCACAAAGAAAACATATGTCATATGTGAAATATGATATGTCATATGTGAAATATGAAAGTCCTAGTACCTACCATTCAAAAGTTATGGTCAAAGTAAAAGTTTAGAATTTTTGTGTAAAAGTGGGTCAAACTCCAAGGTCAAGGTCAAAAGGTCACATTTGGTGGTGCCCAAAGAAAGGTATTGTCATAAGGAATACACACGTGAAATATGAAAATCGTAGCTCCACTAAATCAAAAGTTATGGGCAAGGTTTAAGTTTTTGTGACGGACAGACAGACTGACAGACAAGACGATTGAGATTTAATGTCCCCTCGCTTTCGCAAAAGGGGGGGACAACTTGTGTGCCAAGTTATACCGTATAAGTAGAAATTTTAGAAAGATGCAAATTAAGCTATTTGACCTTTAAATCTGGTATTTAATTTTAGCGAGAAGTAATTTAAGCGATTTTAAAATGTTCAACTAAGAAGCAATTGCAAATAAAACGCAATTAATTTTTAGCAATATTCAATTTTAGCGATCTAAGCACCCTCGCCAATAATGCCAAAATTAAATCCTTGCCAAAAATTCTTGCTTATACGGTATTAAAATCAGTAGGAGTAGAAATTTGAACTACTGAGTAGAAATTTGAATTTCTAGACAGATGGACAAAGGACACCTTACTATTGCATAAGTTCTTCTGGTCTTTAACCAGCAGAGCTTAAAATAAAATAACACAATCCCATCTGGAAGTAGCAATTTATTGCATGATAGATGTGAACCTTATTAAATAACAAACACCTGGGACAAAAAAATATATGAGTTATGAAAAATATCCTGCACATAAACTGGGAAATCACAGACAAATGCCTTGATTGTCCACAATGGGATTATGCTTCCAGAATCGGATGGACTGACCTTTCACCTCTTGGCTGTGGACTTCCTGGACTGCCACATATCAAACTTCCTGTTAGCTGTGGCCAGTAGTTCCTCCATATGACCAGTCAGCTGTGGAACAAAATTATCATTGTAATCTGTTACTGTCATTACAACAGAAAAAAGTTGAGAAGTTTGAATTAGGAAATAAAAACATAAGCTTGGTGTTTAGTGATGTTCCTTTTAGAAGAATTGTGTTTCCCCTAGATAGGAAAATGACATCTTTATGGTGAATAGTACAAATTAATCACAGGTAGTGTTGGATAATATTCATGAATGAATGCCTTTTCACAAGATTAGGACCTTTACTGAGTGTTCCATGATTATACTGTACTAAAAAAAAAGTAATACACGGGCCTTATAGGTCACCTGAGCATTATGCAACAACTATCCAGTTACAGTGTATTGAATTTGATTCATGTTTTAAGCCAGATGCTATATGGCATTACAATTTTAAAAATTGATCATCATAACAATAAACTTAGCAGTTGTAGCTTGGTTATTGAATACCCATAAGCAGGGTAGTGGAATAAGAACTCCAACTAATCAGTAATATTAATCAATCTCTAGTGCCCCTAACACTCTCACATAAACCCCTGACCCTAGGTTGCACAAATTTTTAAAAGGCACCCTTAAAATTGCCTATCAAAAAGTAAATAAATGTTTTATAAATACAAAGGATAATTTCAAACAATTAATTCATTTTCAGTATATAAAAAGCCCCCACCCCAAACCTGGGGCCTTGAAATTACAATTCTGAGAAAAATTGTTCATCATAACTATATAGGTAGTCATCTTTCATAAAGACATAAATTTGATTTAATGTACAATGTATTTTCATAAAATTCAATACAGCCCCACCCTGTGCATATACAGACCCTGGGGTAAATTCATAATTTTAGAAGAGGCATTCTTGCTCATCATAACTATGCACTTACTGTATTTAATACCTAGGAGCAGAGAAGAAGATTTTCAAAGAATTCATGTATTTTCACTATATAATCAATAAACCCCCCCCCCCCCTACCAGAACCACTGACGCTGGGGCCATAAAATTCACAATTTTTGTAGAGGCACTCTTACTCATCATAACTATGTACTTAGTTTATTTAATACTCAGAAGCAGAGAAGAAGATTTTCAAAGAATTCATGTATTTTCACCATATGAGAAAATACTGATCCCCCCCCCCCCCCCCCCAACACCATAACCCTTGACCCTGGGGCCATAAAATTCACAATTTTGGTAGAGGCACTCTTGCTCATCATAATTATTTACTTACTTGGTTTATTTAATACACAGGGGCAGAGAAGAAGATTTTCAAAGAAATCATGTATTTTTACTATATAATCAATAGAGCCCCACCCTAACACCAGAACCCCTGACCCTGGGGCCATAAAATTCATAATTTTGTAAGGCAATCTTGCTCATTATAACCATGTACTTAGTTGGTTTATTTAATACACAGGAGCAGAGAAGAAGATTTTCAAAGAAATAATGCATTTTCACTATATACTTATTTAGCCCTGCCCTAGCACTAGAACCCCTGACCCCAGGGCCATGAATTTCACAATTTTGGTAGAGGACTCAATGCTGATTACAATCATGCAAATAGTTTGACTGCTTGATGTCCAGGAGTAAAGAAGAAGATTTTTAAAGATTGCATTAATTTTAGTGGTTTTGGCCCCACCCCTCACCCCAGGGGGGCAGGGATCATGAAATTCACAATTTTTGTTCCCCTTCACCCATAGATGCTTTGTGCCAAATTTGGTTGAATTGGTTCAGTGGTTGCAGAGAAGAAGCTGAAAATGTTCAAATGTTAACACACGACACACGACACACAACACACGACACACGACGGACGACGACGGACGAAAACGGATAGCAATAGGTCACCTGAGTTTACTCAGGTGACCTAAAAAAGTAATACATCTATAAGTAGGAAACAAGAAGACCTATCAGTACTTGGAATGTGTAATGATCTTCCTGAATGGGAAATACATATTAGAAAGTTAGACTTACATTGAGTGTGTAGTGGTACTCCTGAAGTCGTTCCTTTAGGGGAATAAGCTTTGCCATTTGAAACCTCTCTAGTGTAGACTTCATTCGTATAACCTTCAGCGCAAAGAAAAATAAATTTATGTATTTATTTTAAAAATAATTTCATAAGGACATGGCAAAAAAAAAACCTAGGTAGATTTACAGATAGAGAAAAATTGTGAATGTCTTTTATAAATCATATACTTGATTTCGAACAAATATAAAATTCAATACATTTATGTGCATATAAATTGTAAATGCTTGGGATTTCTCTTAATTTCTGTGTGTAATGGATGGCTAGATCTTTATGCAATGATTATACCTAATGTATCTCAGAAGTCTGATAAGCACATACATGTACATATACTGGTACATACAGAATAGGAAACCATGTAATGTGCCATTTTTACCAAAGAAAATACTGATCATCCAGCAGTTTGAAGAGGTACAAAACAAAGTGGAAAATTTATATTGATGAAATACATGTACACAGTTCAATATATTCATGGCAGAAAATGCACCATTTTAAAACTCAAAACACTTGTAAAACTTTACCGGTAATAAGATTTCTACTGAAATATGCAATGAAAATCTTCTGACCATCCTTGGGTAAGCTCTGTAGAAGAGGCACACTTAGCATTTAGTGTGCTTGGATAAATGGCCTATGTATCCCCTACCTTTTCCTCCAGTGATTTAGATGACACAGGAAAACAGGTCCAGAAATGTCGGAGTAGCTCCAGCAGAGCGCTGTAGTTAGCCTTCACTTCCTCCTGAACATCTTGTGGGACTATCTCTGTCGACAATCGGGATCAGAATGAGTCAGAAGAAAATGATACTTTTATTTGATTAGCGACCTGCGCCCATCACCATGTGCAGTTAAGAATTGAGCAAAATTTTACATCACTTCATTTAAACGTTTTTTGATTGGGAAAAAGCTACATGACCAATCATGCCTCAATATTCCAAAATAGGATCAAGACTTTGATACTCACGATTAAGCTGTTGATGACTTGTTCCTTTCATTAATGCCCCTCCTGGTGACAATTCACTGAGTATTACAATGGCCCGGGACCCCTGAAGTACCTGAATAATAAATAACACCTCATCTTCAGATAGTCACAATGTAAGGGCTTGATATGTACTATTTCACAAAGCAATGAAATAATGAGTACATGCCAAATTTTAAAATGACCATAAAAGATCTCCATCTATATACAATGTTAGCATCCACAATCATATCACTAATTAAAAACATCATATCACTTTCATTTTAAATTTTCACAAAAAATTTAAATATCTAATTAAACATTCAGTCAATCATTTGCATTGATGATTGACTTTTCCTACAATTACATACAGTGACCTACATTTGAGAGATCAGGTGACCAGTATTCAACGTCACGCATCACTGACTCTGATGCTTGAACAAGATCTTCACTAGTTGTATATCGGGACAGAGTGACGGGTGTCGGCCCATGTAAATAGCCCTCCATCTTGTGTAACTGGAGATTCACATTCTTTTTACTGTTTGTATCTCTCAGATCATCCATGTGAATTTTTTCCTGAAGTCTTTGTTTTTTCACAGCTGGTTCCCAGTAGTCTTTACTGGTACCTGGCTCGGAGTCTTCTCTGGCCACCCCATTCACCTTGGGAGCATCACTGCCATTTTGAGTATTGCTCTGCTGTGAAGCATGGTCTTTCTGATTAGAGTTCAGAGCGCTTTGTGAGACTTTTGTACAAGCCTTTAGCACCATTGTTGAGTGATGATTAAATCTACGAATCATGGTTCCGTTCGTTACATTACTACTGATCCGTGTGTCTTCTGTTTGTCCTCGATAATCCTGGAATTATAAAACTCAATAAAAGATCTTACTAGTAAGACAAGCCCAATAAAAGTCACTGTGCAGAATTACAATGGCACCTTACGTACCTCGTGAACAGAGGAGTCTGAGATTTTAGTGAGATCCAGGAAGGGGTCGGACATTTTCACAGAAATCTCTTCTTTCATGTCTGAAATAAAAACAAATTTTCAAACGTGGACACCATGAGATATCAAAATGTTATAAACATTATGCATGACATAAGTTTCATGTTAACATTTTCTCAGCAAAATTCATACATTTTTGATAATTTTATCACCAACCTTTTTCATCACTTTTGGCACAATCTGAGAATACATCTTTTGTTCCCATCACGGTCCGATCTCTGTGGAAGTAATGGGACTGGAAAAACCTCGTCCAGAACTCACTCTCCGTCATGTCATGTGGAACATGCTCTGCATGCTTCTTCTTCACTGTTGAAAAACATAAAATAAGTATATAAATTCAGATTTTTCAGCTTTGCATTACTTTTATTTCGTTTACATGTATCTTACCCATGGGATAGGTTCAGGAAATAGACTAGACAATGTTTGTTATCTTACCCATGGGATAGGTTCAGGAAATAGACTAGACAATGTTTGTTTGTTATCTTACCCATGGGATAGGTTCGAAATAGACTAGACAATGTTTGTTATCTTACCCATGGGATAGGTTAAGGAAATAGACTAGACAATGTTTGTTTGTTATCTTACCCATGGGATAGGTTCAGGAAATAGACTAGACAACGTTTGTTTGTTATCTTACCCATGGGATAGGTTCAGGAAATAGACTAGACAATGTTTGTTTGTTATCTTACCCATGGGATAGGTTCAGGAAATAGACTAGACAATGTTTGTTATCTTACCCATGGGATAGGTTCGAAATAGACTAGACAATGTTTGTTTGTTATCTTACCCATGGGATAGGTTAAGGAAATAGACTAGACAATGTTTGTTTGTTATCTTACCCATGGGATAGGTTCCAGAAATAGACTAGACAATGTTTGTTTGTTATCTTACCCATGGGATAGGTTCAGGAAATAGACTAGACAATGTTTGTTTGTTATCTTACCCATGGGATAGGTTCGGAAAATAGACTCAATGATGTCTGCTGTCAGGTTGTATTTTAATCCATTACATCCATCTGTCTGAGGCTTTATATCAGCCTATACAAGTAAACAAAGGGTTAAAGTTATATTTCAAACAAAATTAAACTATTCATATTATACTTGTAATATTACCATTTTCCTCCTTCTTTTGTCAAATCTGGAACTAAACTAGGATACATGTATTTATGTACCAGGTATTTAGATAAAAGAACAGATGTCTTTACATATTAATCAAAGTGAACAAATCAGATCAGAATAATCATATCTAAGATAAATTCATCTGCATTCTAGATCTATATCAAAGCTGCAATATTCCGAATTTAAGTCAGACTGATAAAATAAATCTGAAAATTGATGTAAGATGGTATACATTCTTAGTGGCAATTAAAAAATCTGAGTCAGAATAATGTGCCTATTTAAGAAACTGATGTAAAATTTCTACCAAGAAAGCTGCTGATACTCCAACGCTCTGTGACTTCTCTGGTTTTGTATTGCTTTGGTTTTTCTAAAATGAGACAAGATGAACATGAAGGATAACACAGGACTCTCAAAGGAAGTATTCAGAGTCAAACTGGATTCATATGCTGCTGGTTTTGGCACAGATTGTAATTAGCCAATATAAGACCAATCAGAGTAAAGATAATATAATTATAAAGATAGGGCTTAACAATAGCAGAGTAAAATGTTGAATAAAAACTCTTCTGTTAAAATATCACAAAACAAGATCTAGAATTCTTATAGAAGTTTTTAAATCATTTATCACTGAGGACATAAAGTTAATTTAAAAAATTATACTGCTTACAACATACCTGTCAACTCTCCCGAATTTATCGGGAGTCTACCGATTTTTAAGCATCCCTACCGACTGTCTACCGATTTTTTTTTAAACTGCCGTTTCTACCGATTTTGAAAAAATCCGGATTTTTTACCTACTTGGGTTCGTAAAATACCGATTAGTCAACACAAAAATGGAGGACATGCAGTGTTTACCGATAGCTAATCTGTTTATTGCCACTGATAACAGGTAATCAACAAGGTGTCAACTGTGCTAGCAGATGTAATTGCAGTTGTAATTGCTCCTTGTTCTCATTAAAAGTGTATATTATCAAAGACAGAGATGCCAATGTGAAAATTTTTACAGAACATGATGGTAAATAACATACTTGACACTTTGCTGCAAATAAGTTTACAAGTGTCTAAGACAAAACTATTTCTCCATAAACAATACAGTGATCAGGAAAGATGTAGCTACAGTACTCTATTATTAATTTAACAAGGAGAGGGAAACAATTTCATGGAAGCTAATATAAATGAAGAGTCTGAAGATTTCCCCACAGATTTTGAGATTCAATCTCTTAGTAAATCCTGCATCAACATCAGCATATAACAGCCCCTGGAACTACAGAGCAACAAGACAGTCAGTGTCTTTAGAAGACTTCTTTAAAGCTAAACAGGGTAATACATTTCTGAATTAAAATATAAAATTAGCACATTAGAACATTACTAATTAAAAAAGTTTTATATTTAAAAATTCTGATATATGTTATGAGATTAAAAGGAAAAAAAAATACAGGGTCAATTATTTCATTCATACTAGATTACACATTATTTTAAGAATATAAGCATGAAATTTTGACATTTATTTCAATTTCAGATCTTTAAATCCAGGACACAACTCATGTAGACTTAATGAGAAAATCCATTCATCCATCTATTAAAAGCTGAAAACTTGGACTGTCTGCAGAACCTTATTAATTTTTCTAATTGCCAAGTTGAACTATGACACTTGCCATGAATATTATATAAATGATGGTCTTATGGACAGACAGAATATATAGCATGTATAGTGAACATAAATTTTTATGATTTCAAAATTAAATCACATTGCACAAGTTTCTAAACAATGTATGAATAAACAGTAAATTTTATGAATTATTGATAATGTTAATATTAATAATAAAGTTTTATCTTGTAAGTTGTTTATTTTTTTCTATTAAACAGTAAAATGAACGACTTTTTGTATTTGCAAAAGGTCGTCGCGCGTTTTCTCCCCCGAAAAATTTTGGCCATGTTGACAGGTATGTTACAAGGCTTTAGCCTTAACGATATCATGTAGTAGAGTTTAACTCTTAATTTTAAAGTCTCAACCCTTAAAGTTTTTAATTTATGAGAAAAAAAATTTACCCTTGAGGCCCAGAATTCATCAGCTGTGATGACTCCAGTTACTACCAGGTCTTTGTACAACTGGAATAACTCAGGGTTATCCTGCAGCATCCTGTGTAAACAAGATTCAAGACAAGTTGTACAAATTGAACTTTGTTCTTGAACAAGATCTTACATTTCATACATTTTGTTTGCTATTAACCTTTACTGGAATGAATTAACCATCAGTTTTCAATTGTTACAGATCATAAGACAAAAGTTTGGCTAGCATGTATCAGAAGATGCTTCCTGCTGCAGAATCTAATTCCAGTTTTTCTTTTAAGATGTGACTGTATGTTTTGGTTGTGCAAAATTGAAAATTTAACTTTTTAAAGCCTTGAACAAAAATAATATTTCATGATAAAAGTGCTGGCGGGTGATAAAAATATTCTGGACTTTCTTAAGTTTATTTTCCATAAATAAATAGTTATGGATTCTATAAACTTAAGAGAACCATTGAGATCCAATTTTAATTTAAGATCTACTCGTTTATATTGACCTGTTTTTCTCCTCCAATTCACTGCTGAGTTTCCGTCGGAATTTTGGTATCAGCTGTTGTAGGAGGTCCTTTACACTGTCTCGGTCAGCAATAGCTGCTGCCCGTCCCTTAGGGTTGATGAAGTGAAATGTGTTGGCCCCTCCATCATGTAGAACCAACTGTAACTGAACCTTCTCTTTAGAGTCGGGAGAAATTTTCTGGGCTAAAATGACAATTTCACAATAAAATACATGATTATTATAAGGCTTTTCTATACAAAAAAAAATTAGGATCTTCCTCCCAGGTCTCTTCTGATGATTTTCTGATTTTAACTTGATTTTTTCCCCCAAAAATAAACGCAAATATGTATCATTACTTTCAAATGTATCTGCTATTGTTATTTTTGATGAAAATATAACATTTCGAACCTTTTAATCATTTTTCCTCCTTTAATAGACAATCAGCAGGTAACATAAAATCTATTGACTAGGGGTGGGACGATACACACATCTTGCCTACGTATCCAGGTCTCTTCTGATATTATGATAAATTATAAAACTATTCCAAATAATAAGTATTTTATAGACATTAAATCAACAAATTATTCTACATCAAATCATGTTAACTTTGCTTTGAAATTAATACTTGAAGTTCATCAATTTCAATAAAACTCTACAAAACATGATACATGTACATACTATTATTACAGAATTTGTTTACAAATAGTTGTGTATTTCTACTAAAATTCATTTAAAAACATCGATCATATTTACATTATTATTAAATCATTGCTGAAAGTGTGTCGCCAAGTTGAGATTACAAAAAAAGTACGAGATAGATTAACAATTTATAATATCAAATGTACTGGAAACGATATTTTCTGTGTATAGAACGCATTTCATACTGAATAGCCTGCTTAAAAGTGAAAACGTTTTACCCTTAATCAACGACTTATTAGTTCTAAAGTGTGTCTTCAATATCAAAATGATCTCTTCACTTCGTAAATCATTTTCAAAGGACAGGTACTTTCATTTTCAATTTTTGGATGGGTCGTTCGTGTATCGTTTCGTACCGATATTTGAATGCTTGTATCGTAAACCGTATCTTGAAGGAAAAATATCGGTATGTATCGGTGTATCGGTATATCGTCCCACCCCTACTATTGACCTTTAATGTCAGCGTACATAGAGCTGTCAGATGGAGTATAAAAGCTACTGACCTTTAATGTCGGCATACATATAGCTGATGGAGAATGTGCTTTTGCTGCCCTGCATCCATCCCATTCTCTCGCCCATCATGTATAACGTCCCATCCGTCTTCTTGTTGCGGACATTGTTAACAATGAGCAGCACTTCCTCTGACCTTGCTGCCATCCTGGTTTATCTGAGATTCCTGCTTAAATAAATGATGGATACTAAACAAATAGAAAGCAATAAAATTGCTACAACCCATATTATTTTTTCTTATGGGCCTATTATTCACAGACACCAAATAAAATAATTAAATAATCCCTGTCTTGCAAACAATACACTAAAAAAAACAAAGGATGTCAAAATATTATATAGTCAACTTAAGATCACTTCGGGAGACTTTCACACACACGAGAGAGACTGAGAGGCACTTACTGCGTTGTGCCTTGTGAAGTCAGAACTTGTTTAATAAATAAAACAACTTACAGCAATTGTTATTGTAGATTTCTCTTGTTAGTTCATCTTCTACATTACCTTCTGACTTCTATGACACGGGTTTCATGGTTTCTGTAAACGTTAGTTCATTTTCCCGTTCTTTTCTTCAGGTGCTCACCTCTTCTACTTTTCCTTCGCCGGTGATTTATCGGATCCGGAAGTTTAACGCTTACGCTTGCGCATAGGTCATAGCAACATCGACGCATACAAGAAAAAAATAGTATTTTTTAGAAAAGTTTGTTAAACATATTTTTGTTGTTGTGAGCACATTTACAACAGGATGGAGGGTGAGTAATTTTCTTGCAAATTATTTATTGTCCGGTATTATATGAGGATAATCATTCTATAGAGCAAGTTAGATGTCCGTAAGATGGCAAGTTTAATGTATCAGTCCGCATTTCCTCTAGCCATTTACACATTACTTCCAGTCATTCATGAGTAAGTTTTTTTTTCTCTGATGTTCTTTTATCTCGTTCATTGACACAACAAAACAAAAAATTACAATCATGCAATTTCTCCCCTCCAAAAAAAAAAAATTACAAAACATTCTGAATATTTTCAAAATGATGAACAAATTTCCCATAAAAACAAAAACATTTCTTTAGATAGTGCAGATTAAAAGAGTAAGCCAAAGTTTTACATTTAAACACTTACTGTCACTTTACACATGGAACTGCAATTGAAATGTTTCTTATAGCAAGTAAATTAAATTTTAACCCAGTAATATGAAGTTTAACCAAACAAAGTTATCTTTATTTTTAATAAATATAGTTTAAATACACCTGCATATGACTTTTGATAATTTTTTGCAGTGGAAAAGAAACAAAAGGTTTCTTTCATGACCACTATGGACAGGGAGCTCTTCCCTGTTAAAATGCCTCCAAACAGATTTGGGAATGAGATAGTACCTTTACGAGGAGCACCACACAGGGGGCCTGGCTGTTATGAAAATGAGGATGTAAGTATCTTACATAGGTGTATTTTTTTCAAATAATAGGTTTTTTTTTAAATCAAATTAGAAAGTTTGGAAAATATCAGTTCATTTCAATCTTGTTCACTGACAGGTGGTTTCAAAATTGATTAATTTTGAAGTGCATGTCTTATGACATTGTATACTGCAGTTAAATGTACATTGAATATGCTTCTGATATCAAAATAAAGCCCCCCTCCCCTCTCCATTACAAGAAAAGGAAATGGTTCATGTCAATACAGAATCTGTATAAATATTCTCAACTGTATATAAATTATTTTGAATATATCAGCTAGCATATTTATTGGTTCAGACAAGATTCTGAAAAAAAATTATTATGATTTATCTTTTCAATCAACATGTAAATGATATACCGTATAAGTAGAATTTTTTGCGAGGATTTAATTTTGGCATTATTAGCGAGGGTGCTGACATCGCTAAAATTGAATATCGCTAAAAATTAATTGTGTTTTATTTGTAATAGCTTCTTTAATTAACATTTTGAAATCACTAAAATTACTTCTCGAGAAAAATAATTAAAATACCAGATTTTAGGTAGAAATCGCTAAATTTGCGTCTCGCTAAAATTTCACTTATATGGAATGTCTTTCTGATTTATTATTAGAAAACCAGCTTCATGTACCAGATTGAGCACAACATTAACAGCACAAAGGGGTATACACTGGGAGCAAGAACTTCACGGAGATTTCCTAGAACAGTAGTGGTGAGTTTCATTGGTAAATTGTGAAATGTCCAAACTCTTCTAGATTCTTTTATGGCCTATGAAGATCAGGACACGAGTCATTGTGTGCAGTTTGCCTCCCTTTTTGTTTTTCAATCTTTCTGTCGACAGGTTAAACTTTGGTAAAAAATTGAAATTTGGCCTCCTTAACAATTGTATATAAAGATAGTGAACAGAGAATTTAAATTCAAAGTTACCATAAATTTCCAAAGGTCACATCAGTGATATATTTTCCTCAATCAAGCCAAAAAAAAAAAAGATTTAGAGAAGCATATGATTGAAATTCCAAAATTTAAAAGTTTAACTTTATCTAAATTACCAATCAATATCAAATAAGAAATTTGGAACTAGTTCCCATGGAATGGATTAACCATAATCCAGTGATAAAATGACTGTATTTTATTTTTCAGTTTGAAACGCCATGTCCTACAGAATATCAGCAGCAGAATTCTAATCTTAAGGAATTTGAGACGGATCAGAAACCATTTCTAGTTGGTGCTGACAGATTCCCCATTTATAAGAGAGACATTGTGGATGTTTTACCGGGGTATGTTAATACATTTTTACAATGTCATTCTGATAAAATACAGTCACTGTCAGACTATGCTTTTGTTGTATAAAAAGACAGGCATACATATATGAAACAATTAGTAGATGAAAATAACCAATTTGTTTCAAATTCAGACCTATGATTACCTGCATATATGCTATTTGATAAAAGATCATCATGCATCTTTATAAAGGCGTGAAACTTACTGGTATAAAAATCATGATTTAACACCATTTGGTTTAGGAAGTTAAAATAATCTTTTTGTCAAACTGTCTTACAAATTAAAATTATTTCGTTTTAGAACAAATGGTAATACTAGACTGACCTACAGTTATTTATTATCACTTTTACATTTTCAAAGTATATGGACCTTGAAGCTTATGTTGAAATATTGGGTCTTTTATTGTAATCTAATGCAAAATCTTTAGATTAATACATGTACTTGTTTTTTTTTTTTCATAAAGATCATGACCAGGTTTTTCTTTTTGTATAGTCCTGGAACATATGAGCATCAAGTTCCACGGAACCGCAAAGTTCAGTGGCACCAATCCTTTGGTGGCTCCCCAGTATATCTCCCTGAAATATCAGTACAAAGTACAATAGGACAGAATACAGAAAAGGTAAGTTATTACTACATCTCTAAGAAATATCAGTACAAGTACAATAGGATAGAATTCAAAGAAGGTTGGTTATTACTAATATCAATACAAAGTACATATATACAATAGAACAGAAAACAGAAAAACATATCAATTATACTATATTAAATTTCTGTTATAAAAATATGCTATTAAGACATTTCAGCTCATTGAATGTTTTGTGTTTTTTTTTTATAGTTATACAGTACAAAAGAAGAAAGGAAATACCACAGAAAGCTTGCCTACCTCAAACTTTACTATAATGACTGACAGATGTGGAGATTTAACACTCTAAGTATATTTTATGATCCACATTCTTACTTTGATGACAACAAGAATATATAAAGAATCAAGATGTCTACTATCTTAACAACCCAGAAAAGCTCATTTCTTCTCCATTCTAATTTTTATATTGGTTGTATTTTGATTTTAATCTGTGCCTAGCTATTTTTATCTCTGCACAGTCTTGCAAAAAATACAGCTGTATTTTTTTTTTACATTTGATGCAACATAAGTACTTGGTACATATAATTACTTATTTGATATTTTTAGCATTTCAAAGAAATCTCCAAGATTTATTGATAAAATGTTCAAATCATGTATATAAAAAGATCACTTTTATTGAACAAAAGCATTATGTTAAATGCTAAAATAAATATAAGGATATAAACTTCTCAAGAGAACACTTTTTTGAGATTTTATTTTATATTTTTTATTTTGAATGTTATATGGTATCACTAGAAATTTTTTTTATTTTTGGTTAAATATGATAATAAAATGATAATAAATTAACATGTTTAGCCTTGAGGAAAATCAAGATAACATTACTGTCTGTTAAAATCTGCATTTAATTGATCAAATTATATATATTTTTAAAAATATGTCCTTGGTTTACCTTTTTGCTTTGTTATTATTTTGTTATGTGTCTACGTAAATACTTTAAATGTTTTGTGACATGGAAAGTATTTAAAAAGGCCTTTGTTTAATGGTAACTTGATATTAAATATGTAGACCATATTATTTTTGTACAGGAAGACAATGTCATGTTATTTTTCATAAGAATGAGAGTGTGAATGTTTCAGTTGGCACAGATCTAATAATTATAAAATTAAAAGAAAGTGTTACCATTAGATTGTTTCTCATACTTCTTCCACCCTTCCTGCTGTCTGTCACAATATGTTTAGGCATTGAGCTCAGTTTCAAAGAAACTGTTAAAGAGATATTTATCCAGTTTTAATCACTGATAAATATTGGTTGAGCTATAATTCAGCTGTAAGAAAATTGACCTTGGAATTCCTATGACCTCATTTTTTTTCATCCAGCATTTAGCTCAGTTTCTAAGAAACTTTTCAACAGTTTTCAAAGTTGGGTCTACATCAAATCCACACAAGCTTTACTCTGTCCCTTTGAAACTTTTAAAAAGTCTTCTTGAAAAGGTCATGGAAAGTCCATTTTTTGATTCCTTCACACCAGAATATAGGCTAGGATCTGTGGATAGTGATATTGCAAATCATAAGCTTTTAAATCCCCATGTTTCACAGAAGAAAATGCAGCTAAAACAATCCTTTTTTTTCTTAAACTTTAATATGCCGACAAAGGAATTGACACTGTTAATATAAATAATATTCTTAATCACAAAAGGGTCCAGTCTAGCTTGTATTCCACCATATTTCAAGTTAAAGACTACACCTTGTATATCCTACAATTGTACAAGGCCGTAACTACCATTGAGGCAAGTGAGGCAAATGCCTCACTAATTTTTTCGAGTTTTTGAAAAGTGAAAAAGTTTTATTGTACTTATGTGTGTCTTCGTGCTCAATTAATATTTTCAACTTTTATTTCCATTTCTGTAAATCGTTTATCTCCCCAGGTGCCTCATTTACATTCTGATTTAATTCTATAAATGGTAATCCAAATTATACTCATAGTCCTCTTTCTAAGGAAAATCATGTGTCAGTTTTGAATACAGTATTTTAAATATCCCAAATAAACAAAATGAATTTGAAATACCATATTTATATTGGATTCCGAAACTTCCTAAGAATCATTACAAACAAAGTTACAAAGCAGGTTCCAGTAATTGTTCAACCAAGCCTCTTTCTTTACTCTTCACTAAGATATTAACAGTAGTGAAGGAGAAACTTCTAGAGTACTGTGCAACAATATATTCAAGAAGTGGTGTAAATCAGATGTGGATACTTAAAAATTCCAATGAGCTTTTGGAAAATTTGAAATCACGAGATTTCACCAAAATCAACAGCTTAAAAACTTACGACTTATCAACTTTATATACACAACCATTATCCAACGATAAATTAAAGTCCAGGCTTTTTGAAATCATTGACAGCTAATTTTATTGACAGCTTTTTAAAATAAAAATGGAACTCTTAAATTTACTTACCTTGTCAATGGTCATTTGCAAAATTGTTTTGTTAAAAACATTCTGATTGTACACACAAGTACTCTGGTTGACATAAAAAAGATGCTTGAGTTTCTGGTAGACAATATCTATGTGGTTTTGGAGACCATGCAGGCCCAAAGACCATACTAGTAAACTGAGAATGTACTTCAGTCAAAATTTTGAGTTTTAATATTTTGAGTTTAATTAAACAATTTTGCTTGATATTGTGCAATTTAAAATAATATTTAACAAATTTGTTTCATTATCAAAATTATTTCACTTAAGTCTGTTCTCAGTTTATGGTCTTGGGGCCAGGTCTTCCAACAATCTATTGGAAATCCCATGGGTATCAATTGCGCCCTGTTGTTAACAGACCTATTTTTGTATTCATATGAAGCAGAATTTGTCCAAAATCTTATGCGTGGAAAGAAGAAAACACTTGCTGTAGCCTTCAACTCATCAATTAGATATATCGACAACGTACATGTAATGTCAATTGACAATGGTAATTTTCATTCTTATGTCGATACGATATATCCTGGCGAGCTTGAGATAAAAGGTATCACAACGTCTGGCACCTCTGTTTCATATTTGGATATTTTACTTGAAAAAGACGCCAATGGTAATCTAACAACCAAGCTCTATGATAAACGTGATTCTTTAACTTTTTTATTATCAATTTCCCTTATTATGCAGCAATATACCTTCATCACCTGCATATTGAATTTGTATATCTTAGTTGATTCAATATGCAAGAGCAAGCAAAAGCACAAACAATTTCTAAAACGAGGTAAATTATTGACAAACAAGTTTATGGAGCAAGAATTTCAACAGTCTCGTTTAAAGTCATGTATGTTGATCACTGCTTTGTCAGCTGGGACAAGTAGGGCTATCTAATTCTTTTTTTACTTTTGAATTACTGAAGACAAAAGGATAGATGGTTTCTTTGGCCCATGGCCGCTTAATTTAAGACTGTAACATGCCACTGATAATTTTATTCCATTCTGACAAGTTGTTGTTTTTTTTCTTGTTTCGTCAATCGCCTTAGGAATTTTCCACAAAATTTATAATATTAATGACTTTTTCAACTTCAAAGATCGTCGTTCCCTTCCTTTTGACCTTTTGAAAACAAGTGATATAAGCTTCCCGTTAAAATGATTAGATAAGTAGATGCTGAAAGGCCGTAAGTGCTTTATATAGGTGTAAATTTGCATCCATCCACATGCATATACATCAATATGACTAAAACCGGTGGCGGGCTGCTAATTTAGTCATAATTGAAAACATTGGAAGGACTGGTCCACACGTCCTGCAACGGGATTTGAACCGTCGACGATAGAATTAACTCCTTACTCCGAACTTCATAGACGTTCAGACTGAACATAAATATATCATATTATATAATTACAACTTGATCTAAAACCAAATTTATTTCCTACATTTCTTGGAATTTATTGAGTACTTTACACGAAATAACTGTCTATTAGTACAAGTATTTCTCTTATACAACACAATTAAGTAAGAATTTGGTTCAGTTGATGTGATACCATGTCCTCAAATTTACCAAAAGAAAATTAACTGTATAGAACTGTTTTAGTATCAATGAGTATGATTTTTTATAAAAGGTAATTAAGTTTTAGCTAAAATTTAGGATTTTTTCAGTTATAATACTTTGTAAATATGTCATAGAAGAATACTAATAATTTATATTAAAAAGGTCAAAGAAGCTTTGGGATACGGAACACAGGGGTGGGGGGCTGGGCGAATTGTCCCGCCCCCAAGCACCTGTGCTTTCTTTGCGGCCAATGAAGCTCTCCAGCCATATTTACAAACCGTTCTTGTTCTATAAAAGGCGTGATTAAGCTTTGTTAAAATGTTAAATTGTTTGTTATTTGATTTTATAAGATAAGGAAAATAATACTTTTTCACTAAGCAATGCTTTCACACTATTGTGAACATTTCGCTTTTTTCTTCTGTGTAATTCAGTAGTTCTCCGGAGTCTTGTATGTTGACAACAGTGCTTCCTGTTCTTTCGTGAACGAGATTACAATCAGTCATATATACAACTTCCTCATTTACATAAGTCACCACTTCCGCTGTTGGTGCTTCTTTCCCAGAAGTTCTGTCTGATTTCAGTGTAGACTCTATCACTGTGATCTGTCCTTGTGCATCATCCAAATTTTCCTCCGAAACAGTTTCTGATTGTATTTCCCTCTCCTCGAGTATCGTGCTTTGTTCATTGTGTCTTTTTGTGTCTATTATTGCTAAGTAATCCGCGGAGCTTCTTTTTTCAAGGTCATCTTCAACACTGACACTTTTATTTTTATCTAATATAAACATGACACCAAGGCTTTGCGAAGACTTGGAACCTAATGTCTTGTTCTCCCGTGGATCACAAGGCCTTTTTCGTCCCATACATCCCGTTTTAGACCTCTGTAATATATATGGATGTTTTTCCTTAAGCCTTTGAATGTACCAAGTTAACTGTGGGGTGAATTCCTCTTTACTGTCATCTGTGTCTGAATCATCGTCACTGCTGATATTCCAACTCCTTGAAGCAGTTACATCTAGAGACATACTTCTAGTAGCTCCACGGTCTCTCGGGATAGGCAAAGAACATCCGATGTTGAGATTGCGCGTGTCCTTTACTACTTTTGTATGACAAGTTCCCCAGTCTAGGTACTCCGTATTTTCCACCTTTTTGGATTTAATTTTCTTTTTTCGTTTAGAACCCGTTTGTGACCGAGGTCTGTGAAGCTTATTTTGAATTGGGTTTGGAGGTATCTTAATCTTTTGATTCCTACAAGGTGTCGGGCATTTCTCTCTGACGGTTCTTCCCCTGTGGTCTAATACTGGAGGTTGCTTTATGTCCTCTGCAGATGAGTTAGGTACGGAAGCTCTATCGAGTCCCTGTACCATAACAGAAGTTGTATAATCATACACCTTTTCAATTTTGTCTTTTGTCGATGGAGTTGATTCTTGGGAATTTGGGACCAACGAATTATTAGAATACACAGTTTCAGTACTCTTCTGTTTGCAATATCCGAGTGCTTTCACATTATTTTCCCAATTATCACTTTTTGTATTTTTTAAATCAGATCGACTGGTATGGATTTGCACTTCAGCGTTAGAGGTGACGCATTTTAACACAGTATCCCCCGCCGAATCTTTCTCGTCTTTTGGGGCCTTGTAGTCTTCTGGTTAGAATTAAAAAGTTTAAGATTACAGAAGACATATATAATTCTATAATAACAGTTAATCAATCTTTCATCAAGAGAAATTAAAGATAAGAGATCAAAATGCACACGATACTTATATAGAATTTTGAAAATTTATTAAGTTGTAGATTTGTTTGTGTAAATACATCTTTTTCTTTTTAAAAAAAATACATTTAATTAAACAATAGTTTTTGTTTCAGTGTCCCGTTTTAAAAAATGTAAAATAAGTATAGAATTCATGAATTACCAGTCTTTGGCATAGATCCAGTTACATCTTGATCCCTTCCCGAGTTTTGAGATTCCATCCGATGTCTTTTCCAGGGGGCTGTCCTATTACAGAGAGAATCAGTTTTAACACAACTTCATGTCTACCATTCTGTATTCTGAAGATAAGGATTGATGCCTTGTGAAATGTAACAGGTATATACCTACCCTATTTTCCACCTCTTTCTAAACATGTAAAGCTGAAACACTTGGAGGATGATGGCAATGCCAAGGAGAATAAAAACTGGAAGAAAATAATAATAACCCAATCCTTTCATATTGAAAACTGGAAAAAGTTTTCAAATAAACATTTTATAACATGTATAAGATAACATAAAGCAATAGATATAAAAAAAAAATATTGAGCCTGAAAAAGCATTGGTCTCAAATAAACACAAACTATTTTCTTAACTTTCTCGCATTTATCAACATGCACAAGAAAGTTATTATAGTAAGTAGATCGCAAATTTAGTAATATTTTTACCGATGACACCTTCTTTAGTTATAGTCCCTGCTCTTATTTCCTCGGCATAAGTGGCACACCTTTCTTTGTCCCCAAAACAGCAGGTCGAGTTCTTGCTATCAAAGCAAAGAATGAAAACATTGACATAGGACAAAATTTTAATCAGCGCCACTACACATTTAATACATTTCACATATAAATTGGAGAGTATAGGTCCGTTGATTAAGTAGATCTAACTTACATTTTATCCATCTTTACATGAAAGACTTCGCTAACTCCGCGTCGTTTGCCAGTCGAAGAGACCTTGCAATGTCATGCTGTTTTTTAATCATTTTGGCATTACCTGAATAATATGATAATTTCTGTAATTCCAAATGCATGTAAAATAACCATCAAATAAAATTCTAAAAAATTCGAACCACTAGATTTGAAAGGGCGTGTGCAGATTGCTGTTACAATATGTTTAAAGTGTTGTTTTTTTTCAAACATCAAAATTCTAATAAAATGATATTGCTTGAAAACAACATATTTATACAACTTCAATACTCATACCAATTTTGTTAGGCCATTATTTACACTATTGTCGACGGATTTTTTCCTTTATTTCACGATTATAACAAGGAACACAAAGCGGGCGTGACCAGTCGGCAGGGGATGCTCACTCCTCCATGGCACCTGATCCCACCTCTGATGTTTTGGAGGTCCGTGTTTGCTCTGTATCGTTTTATGGAGTTTTGAGATTGAATACTGTTCGTTATCTCTATATATTTCATCCTTAGGAAGGATGATACTCAAATACCATTTCCTGAATGAGAATTCAGAATGAAAGTATTTAGCAAGTGCAGTTCAAGTTGCTATTTTCGTTTTCCATTGTGATTTTTATACCTTCTCTTAATGTAGTCAAAATATCATAAATAAGCAACATCAATGGACAAATAAGTTCTTAACCCAATGCCTTAGATTAAAAAAAAAAGAAGAAATCATCAAAGGTATATGCATACTAGTATCTGAAAAAAAGAATATTCAAGTAGAATCTATGAAAAAGAGCATAAGAAATATGTTTTCATAAAAGTAGTTTAACAAAATAGATATCATTGCCTATATCTTTTTTTTCTTTTTTTTTTTTTTTTTGCATTATCTTCTTTCATAAGGTTTGAAAACCTTTCCATTGTGTACATATGAAAAACTCCACTTGAAATTTTGTAAATCAGTACTAGGTGTGCATAAAACTGCAACTAATTTTGCTGTATTGTCTGATTTAGGTAGATTTCCCCTGCACTTTGACATTGTAAGATCAATGATAAGGTACTGGTATAGGCTTGAAAATCTAGGCCATTCTTTCCCAATTTTAAAAGATGCATATTGTGAATCCAAATCATTGTTTGAGAAAAACATCCCTTCTTGGTACAGCTCCATTAATTTTCTTATTACCAATATCGAGGGTATTCGTGATTTAACTTCAGTCAAAATGCACAAATTCAAACGTGAACTTAAAGATTGTTTATTTAGATATTATATACAAGAGTGGAATTCTCAACTTAAATCACACTCTGATAAAAAGCTGAGATGCTATAGCACTTTTAAACAAAATTTTGGTCAAGAAAAGTATCTTTATTTAATTAAGAATTTTGAGCAGAGGAGAAGTTTTACTCGTTTTCGCATATCAGCTCACAGACTTAATATTGAAAGGGGTCGATATATAGGTATTCCTAGAGAAGAAAGACACTGCAATAGATGCAATAACAAAACAGTTGATGATGAGAAACATTTTCTCTTTTCATGTAATCACATTAAGGATGAAAGAAAAGTCTTGTATGAATTAATAAACAATTCCTGTAAGAATTTCCACAACTTGGACAGTGAAAATAAGTTAAATTGGCTCATGACTAATGAGGATGTGCAAATACTGATTCAAGTCAGTAAAATGATTATGAGAGCTGAAGTATGAAAAGTATTAGTAAACCTGGTTTGTTTGTTTGTTTGTTTTTTTTTTTTTTTTTTTTTTTTTTTTGAAATTTAATGTGTCCCCTCATTCCCTTCTTAAATGTACAGAATCAGTCAGAATGGGTGTCTTGAATACTTAGAGTACGGGTTTGCCAGTATAATCGGCTGTGCAGAATCGTCCCCTGGTACCCTCTGTATCCAAGTTACCTTTTCTTTACATTAATTGTATGCTACCTTCAAGATCACAGATTTACATTTATACAGGATAGTACCATTTGTTTATATATATACATATATTTGTGTGTAAATTATTATTTTTGTATGCATGGATATGTGTAACAATAAGTGTATGTTTATAATATATACTATACATACATATATTTGTATATGTAAAATTATTATTTTTGTATGCATGGATTTGTGTAACAGTAAGTGTGTGTTCGTGTATGTGGGTATGCATATGTCAAATATCTATTGAACTAACTCCAAGAGATTAGTTTGCATTAAGTTTCTAATTATATGCTAAGTACTTATTAATTGAAATTACTATTTCTGTTAATACTTAAATGATTTTTTTTTTTTTGAATGACCATCTTCAATACTTAGGGTACAGGTTTGCCAGACTGGCTGTGTAGAGGTATCATCCCCTGGTACCCTTTGTATTCAAGATGCACTAGTATTATATTAGAGTACTGCCATTACTACAAGATTTTTTTTTTTTTTTTTTTTTAATTTACCTTATATCTATCATTTTTATTTAATTGTGTTTTCTTTTATCATTCTATGGTTTCTATGCTTTTGATCCAGTGTGGTGATGCACTTCTCAATGTCAAACTTAATCACAAGTCATGTTACATTATCCTTAATATAGAATTGTAATCAATGTTATCATTTTGTAATAATTGTTCATGCCCCCTGTGGGCCCTTGATTGGTGAATAAACATATATATATATATATTTCCTTTGCTAATTTATGTTCATAACACGAAAGACGCAGACCAATAACAGAATTACAAAACATGCTTACATATTTATATCCTACAGCTGTCTTTAATGTTAAACAAATTCTGCAAAGTGCACATCATATTAACACGTTTTTATGCAATACGACAGGCGTTAATTGCAATTACATACTTTGTTATGATTTTTTAGAAATACATGATTTCGAAAGATAATGCTTTAGTTTAGTCTTTTAAACAATTTAATGTCTTAATTAAGAAAGTAATGCATTATATTAAATAACTTAAAAGAAAATTCACAAATAAATCTTTCATGTTAATTAAAGTATTTGCTCACCAAATCGTGTACGGTGTCAGTTATCCGCTGTTTAACCCGAGTGTAGAAGATTCAGAAGCATACAATTTCTCCTTTGTATAAAAGAATAATCGTTATTTTGTATTTATCATTTTACTTCCTTATACCGTATAAGTGGAAATTTTAGCGAGACGCAAATTTAGCTATTTAATTGACCATAAAAATTGATATTTTATTTTTAGCGAGATGTAATTTTAGCGATTTCAAAATGCTCACTTAATAAGCTATTGCAAATGAAACGCAATTAATTTTTAGCGATATTCAATTTTAGCGATCTCTGTACTCTCGCTAATAATGCCAAAATTAAATCCTCGCTAAAAATTCTGCTTATACGGTATGAGCTCCGTGAATAAACCTTGAATAAAGCTTTTCTTTATATGTATATATTCTTATTTTGAAATATAAGAATACGAATGGGAAATTGTGACGTCTTTAAACCAGAATTGTTCACGACGCAGGCTTTTTTTCATATCTGCAAGCGAAAAAAAAGTCCTGAAAATATGGTTTTATATACTAGTAAATCAAAACAAAAGAAATTGTACAGTGTTCCTTCTTAAAAATACATTTCTTAAAAATCCAAATAATAAACAGAGCAAACACAGACCTCTGAAAAAAGGTAGTTCGGTTGTCACGGAGGAGTAAGCATCCCTTAATGACATTTTTACATTCGCCATATGCTACTGGTAATGATCAAGTTAATGGAAAAATTCATAGTTTATTTAATGTGAAAAAATGGCCTATCAAATTGCAAGACGTCAGTCAACATTCAACATTGTATTTGCAAAATCATTGTATCGACTGTAGAATCTGCGAATTGTTGACTTCAGATATGAAAAACCTTATTTCATCAACTTATCTGCCTTGTAAGCCTGCCTTGGTTAAATTTTTCGAACGTAGAGTATCTTGTATATATCAGATCAGCTGGGAGATATAAACTCCATATGTAGGTGATAGTGATAAATTGCTACATTGAGAAGCAAAGTTGAAATTTATTATTTTTTTTTTCTGCTACTGTTTTATCTTTATTGATCGAGCAAAATTTTTCCATACAAAGTAATTGATTATGCAGAGTGTATTGATTAAATCTCAAGTGAAGGGTATAACAAAACAGTTATAGACTAGAATTCGGACAACATATGATTTGTTCAGTGGACAAACAAATCATATACATATTGCCCTTATAACCAGTCAATAACTGTATAATGTTGACTGTTGCTTGGTTTGTTCACGTTGAAGGAAATGGTTTCATGATTTAGAGGTTGTAGATTTTAAGAACAAACATTTTTTGACGAATCTGAAGTAAGATGGTAATATAATTCATTTAGTACCATTTAGCTGATATCCATTTGAATCACAATCATTATTTGATATTTTTTATATTACAGTAATGCTGACTATATTGTACACCTTCAGTTATTCTTTTAGAATTCGTGTGTACACATTATGATATATGTATGCAAACGATGAATCACTCTGTGTGCAGTACCAGAACAATGAAGTAAAATGAAAAAATTTGTGAGATTTTTTCCTTTAAATTCTTCTAGAAATAAGTGTACAATAAAACTATGCCTTTACCTCAAATTATGAGCAAAACAACTCTCATGTGTACATTAGTTGGTATTTTTTTTAAATAGCATACTTTTTTTTTAATTTTTACAAAATATATAATTTTCTTACCAAAAAAAAAAAACGCAGATGTATGTTAAATAGTGATATCCTATACTGTTCAAGATTGATCTGAATTCTGAGATACAGTTTTAATACATATAATGAGCTTTGATTTACAAGGTGACAGTCATTATCAAATCATCTAAATGAATCGTTTAAGTAAGTGATCGATAAACCCCCTGTCCTTTATTTTTGGTATAGTTTCAGATGTAAAATTCAAGAAAAATAACTCATTCCATTGCATAAAATGTTGATATAATAATAAGTAGTGGAACAAGTTGCCAAAATAAATTTGAGAAATGCACCTTAGCATATACACTATATGGATCTTAACCTAATATTTTCCAACATGCTAACTACTACTAGTATAAAATGCGGAGTTAACGAATAATATTGAAGCTCAAAATTCATTTAAAACATATTGGGAGCAGAAAAAAACAAGGACCACCAAAAATTTCAAAGAGGAGATCAGATGCCATGGAGGAGTAAGCATCCCCTGACGACCACTCACACCCGCATATGCTCCTTGCCATGTTCAGTGAGCGGGAACATCTTAATAAAAAAAATGGCCAAACAGTTAGATCTAGTATGGAAAACTTCAGTCAGCATTTGACCCAATGATAGATTGTGAATGCTGTCAAAGTCATTGTAGCTTGCAAAATGATGATTTTTTTTCATTAAATGTTAATATTTCATCTAACTTGGTAATAACTTGCCTCCTTCTAAAAATAATAGTACGTATAGAACATTCTCTTGCGTTTATGGATCAAATGATAGGAGAATAAGTCCAAAATGAAGGTGGTTAGGGTATGGATATGAAGGTGATCTCCCAGGCATCTCAGTTGATTAAGTTTTTAATCAGATTAATTAATTCTAAATTATCCCTCAACTGCATGCAGTATTATAATGATTCGTCTTTCTTAATTCTTATTTATTTAGACATATTTACATATTTTTCAAATATGATCATTTTCACCCCGGAAAAATCTATACAATAAAACAGGTAAACCTGATTTATGATTATGTCAGACAAAAGTTAAGTTTTCCACGTTCCATGACACATCCATCACAGATTGACATTTTCTATCCTGGATCCTGAATTGTCATCAAACAAAGTAACTTTAAAAACAAACATCAATCGATAATTAAAGGACCTGTCATCAAAATGTTTAGCAATTCGGATAAAAAATCATTATTTCTTTTTTTTTGGTATAAATATAGAATCCGTTCTTGACTTATTATTATGCTATATTACAATAATTTGATAATTTTTGGACATTGGAATCTGTTTTTTTTTTTCTCCATAAAATCAGTATGTGGAAGATGCAGTTAAAATTTACACAAACTTAAAGTTTTGGAAAGAAAGAAAAACGAATTCAACGTTATATATGTTTTTTTATTTTCTTGGAATGCATTATTAATTAATTAGAGTAGCATTTATGATGAACGGGATGTTAAAATCAGAGCAATGTAATTATGAAACATAATTATTTACGTGATAAAAATAATTCACGCTAATTGCATGTGGAACAAAACCTAATTCTTTTCGGATCTGCAACAATCATGAGATGATGGCTAACATGATTTACTTGCTAATTACCTTCTCATTAAAACTTTCAGTTGGCTAGTAAGAGTAATTACAGAGAGACGTGATTTGAAATAATTAGTTTTTCTTAAATTTGTTTTCACGAACATGACAAGGCGCCCAGGATAAAAAAGACACATATTCCCTTAATTTATTCTATGCAAAAACCAAGTCAAGGTTTTTATTTCATGGATTTTTTTTTATCATAATCAGTATACAATAAAAACTGTGAAATCTATACACACCGACTTTATCTATTTTTTTTTAACTGATTATATAAAATATGAATATATCAAAATATACTGGTAGCGCAATATACGGGAATTTTTCCCATGTTTAGACAAGATGCGCGATTGTAAAAAAAAAAAAAAAAAAAAAAAAAAAATCAACGACTAAACCAATATAAAGGCAAATTAACGAAATCATACCTTCTACAACAAACAAACACAAGCACAAAAATGTTGGAAAAAACAATCAATGAAAGAGGTAAAGATAAGAAATATTAATCGTTGAAAGGATATCATATATTTTGGAAATAAAAAGTGTATGTTTTTCAGATTCTACACATAGAACTAACAGTTTTAAAACTAGGATCAGAGTGTTCACAATTCGATAATCATCTAAATGTTCTGCCATAGAGCTTAAGGACAGATGATACAAACACATATTTTCTTTGGAGAAGACTTAATATTATGTCACAGGTTTAGAAAAGTGGATCATAAAAACAAAATGATAAAAAAATCAGAAAATCACACAGGCTAATTTTTACCATTTTGCTCATCCCTATAAAATTCAACTGGCTTGGTATATTTTTCTCAAGTTTATATTACACTCTTAGCAGCAAGCTAACATATGCTGAAATTTGTTTTCATCTGCAAACCTTTACTGAGTGTGCTTTGTCCATAACTGTAATTTTATTAAATAATTAAGTAATATTTTCCAAGTATATTTCATTTTCCAAGTCTAGGGAGAAAATTTTTTAAAAAAATTATCCACTTTTGTAAACCTGTGACATGATATAAAGTCTACTCCAAAGAAAAATTTTGTTTGTATATCATCTGTCCTTAAATGTCTATTACGAACACGTCAAAAAAAAAATTCAAAATTCTTCGAGAGAAACGGTGATAGGAATCGAAGATAAAACAAGAACACCTTGGAAAGTATAAAATGCTTTCATTTCTGACAGATTTCATTATTAAAATCTATAATATAGTTCCTGATGCTTTATATATATATTTGCACAAGCTGATCGAATAAATATGAAGGGAAAGAAAAAGGAAAATCCAAGGTTAGGCAGCGAGCACAAAAAGATAAAAGAAGGTAAAAGATATGTTGTAAAATCTGAAATACAGATATGAAGAAAGGCAATTAAGGCAATTTATTTTTAGATCAATCAGTGTTCGTTACCTTCACCTTTTACATTTTTCTTAATTTCAAGTGTCATATTCATTTGTGTGTTTTAAAAGTTAACAAAGCTGTAAAATTTTATATTGTATTTTTATTTCATAATAAAGGGTTATCATAACAATTGCAAAGAGTTCACATGCATTTACATATGTACATATACATGTATTTAAAGAAAAACAGTCAGCATTAAAGATACCAGTAAAAGATACAAGCTAAACACAATATTTTAGTATTTGTCTTTCAGCTATTTATACTCTTTATAATACGGTAAATTATAGGGATTATGATTGAAGTCTACTGAAATGTGAGAGTTCTGTTCCTTTTTCAAGATACAGTTTTGTCCATTTTTGTGAATATGGTTTTCATGTCCATTCTGGAGATGAGTGTTCCCATTTTTTACGATTTCTTCTTTTATTTCTGCCTCTTTTTGTTCTGTTTTCGAACAAGGGTCCCTTCTTTTTTTCGGGAGTGAATATTTTACCCGTTTTAGATTCCTTGCTTTATCTTCTTCCAAATCTGACCAAATTATGGAGACACTTAGTGAAATCAGATCTTTGAGACGTACATCAGATCCAATACAGTTTTTACTGGAATCTTCTGTAAGAACAGGTACTACCCTCCTTTTTAATATTGAAAAGTTTTCATCAGAAATCTGGCCAGAAAGGGATGGCCATTCTTTGTAAATAAAGTCAGCTGATAACAGTAGAATAAGTCTGCGGCTTTTCTTAATTGCGTTTTTAAGATTTTCATCTGTAGCTGAAAAGTAGAAAAGAAGAACTGTTCTAATCGTTTTATTTTCATTTAATTACAATAATAATATGAACTCCCTGAATGATGTAGTAAGCAGTCGTCGATTTACTTTTTTATCATTGGAGTTACAATAGGTGATTATTAAAAATTATCCCAATACAATGTTTAAATACCAAATATTGTTTCAATTAATTTTACATGGGAGGAAGAATTTTACATATTTTGTTTTTATCATTTAAGGTACTCACATTGACTAGACCCTTCTAGTTTAATATTAAAGCCACATCGCTGTGTAAGGTAGGGGTGCAGAGTATCCTCAGCAATCACTGAATCCCTCTGAGAATCAGATCTGTACACTATAACGGCGTCATACTCCATTCCATCTGGAAAAAAAGGAAAACGGAAATTTTGGTCAATATGACGTAAAGAAAATCAAAAAGATGTTAGAGCCAAGAAAATTACTATTTTTTTCCAGCAAAAAATGTAATTCAAATTATTTTTAAAATGGTTTAAATAATAGAAATGCTTTATTAGATAAGTACAAGTTTTCAGTAAAAAAATATTACTCAGAAGTTGGAAAAGAACCTTTTGAAGTAAATGTAAATTTAAAAAAGACTTTTTAAAAATTTTAAATGAATCATATTTCAGTTGATTTTTTTAAATCTAATTGCATTTAAAGTCGTTTAAGTCAACTGGTCAAATAAATAGGCGACTGCAAGTTTTGGATCACATACATCTCCGAGCTCCAAAAGACAATTACAGATATCAATATAATAGAGTAATAAATGTTATCTAGGAAGGGTCTTTTGCATCAATTTCATAGATATCGGCTTGTTTTTGAACAAAGGGGAATAAATATCAAATTGTGTGTGAACATGTAAAAAAAATTCCTTTAAGAAAAGCTTAACGTAAAAGTATCATATAAATAGAATAAAGGGCTAAGTTAAAGCTATTCTGTGTTCCTGAGAATATTCAGTATATCTAGCTTTTTTCTATCTTGTTAATCAAAAAGATCTTATAAGAAAGAACTTTAATTTAATCCAATCACTGGTAATTAACAATTATCGTCTTCTTCCTTAATTACTGGATCTATCAATTAATTACTTTAAGACCACTCTTTGCAGCTGACCAGCATGTTAAAAAAAATCAACTCTTTGTACTTTCAGAATAAAAAAATAAATATAAATCCGAGCTTTTACATACTTCACATCAAACCTTCTGTAACAATTATCCGTCAAGTGTGATGGATGCACTGACGGTAATTATTACCGCTATCTATCATGAAATGCACACCTCATGGTGCGAAAAAATAAGTAAAATCAAGTACTCTAAACAACAAGATATAAAAAGTTTATAGATATCTCGCTATGATCAGGTGAGAAGATGAATCTATGTCAAGATCTGGTTATGTTCTGACATTTACTGTACACGTGTTATTGTCAATTTTTGGGCCCTATATCACCCTCGTCCCCCCAGTTTGATTGGCTGAAGTGTTTGGCAATTTACAGAATTGATATAAGAGGAAATACACCGTTATAAGGATTCAAATATACAAATGTATATGGCATCATTTGAAAATAAAATACAGTTTTAATATTCTCATCAAACTTGGAATGCTATACCAGAATCTTAAATTCAAAAATTATAAAACTCTGTACTTTTGATAAATTCAAATCAACATAACAAGTTGGTAGAACAAAATTGTTGTAATTCTTGCTCTTGTCGATTTTTTTTTAAGAAAACGGATTTTATTTCGGAATGTCGGTATTATATATAATTTTATACCTATCTTTTTGTGTTGTCATGCTTTTTATGCAATATATGTAACAGAATTTGGCACAATTTTGTGTTAAACGTTGATCCTTATAGGAGTAACATTTTGTCTACTTCATTGTGCTCTTCACACACACTGAGTTGTCGACCAATTTTTGAGTTGTTCCCGATTGTGACAAGAAGCACAGAGTGGATCAACAAGGAAGCTTACTCCTCCATGACACCTGATCCCACCTCTGATGTTTTTGGAGGTCCGTGTTCGCTCTGCTCCTGTTTTGTATTGTTTGAATGGACTTTATAGTTTGAATACTGTTTGTTATCTCCATATTTCATATTAGAACTTTTGCCTATATCATTTTATATATTAATTGCAATGAAATGTGTTTTTAAATGTTCCATATAAATTTCTTCCTACATGTAGTTAATTTTTTGTCAAATACCGGCAATAATTAAACACTTTTTTTATTCTTAAAATAAAACCTTAGTTTACCAACAAATTAAAATTAATTTTAATATAGAACAAAACATTTTGACACTAATAACAAGATTAAAGGGTAAGAATGTTTCCATTTGACAAGAACAATTAATGAAAGGAATTGATAAATGTTATGAAGGCTCAGTCTGAGCTCATTTGCTTAAGGTAGAATGCCACACCAATTTTTTATTTTATGGATCTATGAGTCATCCTTTCTAAACAATGGTTTCAGCATTGAAAGGCCGATATTAGCTCTTAATTATTTTATATGAATTTTTTTGTATTTTTTCAAAGAAAATGAAAAAAATTATTTACATCCAAATTATATGCTTTCTTGTACAAATTTTGCTGTAAATGAATGCATCACATGAATACCTAATAAAATATGAAAAGAAAGTCTGGTTAGACTTTTTGATTTTTTTTATAAAAAATTATTTGTGAAAATAAAACACATTATTTGTAAATATTTTTTAAACCTATGGTTGAAAACACCATAAAACTAGTCACAACTAAGGACAACATGTTTGTCAATCATATTTTCAAAAGAAATTGAAACGAAATTGAGAAATTTTAGAGAAATTAATTTTTTAATATTTGGACCTAACCCGATCAAAATTAAACTGATCCCGATCAAAAATAACACAAAATGAATAAAATGCTAATTTATTGCCTCTTCATGTATTTACAATGAATAAATCTATTTTATTGTCAGGTTCTATAATGTTTTAACCATTATAACACCTAATCAGACTAGTGTTCTTAAGAAAATATTATTTATTTCCAATAATTGTACAGTTATGGTCGGGATCGGTTTAATTTTGATCGGGATTGGCCAAAATTTAAAAAATTAATTTCTCTAAAATTTGGCTATTTCGTTTCAATTTCTTTTATAAATATGATTAATGAACATGTTCTCCCCAGTTGTGGCTGGTTTTAAGAAGATTTTAACCACAAGTTTAAAAAATATTCACAAATTATATGTTTTATTTTCATAAATATTTTTTTATTAAAAAAATTAAAAAGTCTAATCAGACTTTCTTTACATATTTTATAAGGTATTCATGTGATGCATTCATTTACAGCAAAAATTTTACAAGGAAGCACCTAATTTGGATGTAATTAATTTTTTTCGTTTTCTTTGAAAAAATACAAAAAAATTCATATAAAATAATTAAGAGCTAATGTCGGCCTTTCAATGCTGAAACCATTGTTTAAAAAGGTTGACTCAGAGATCTATAAAATAAAAAGTTGGTGTGGCATTCCTCCTTAAGATTTGTACATAAGACACGTTACGCCGAATAATTTTGGTGGAAGTCAAGCGAGTATCATGATGCGGTTTAGGCGTTAACTTTTCGTACTAGCTCCTACAAGAGAGGTCAAATTTTAATTGTGTAGAACTACACGTAAATAACAACACTTCAGTTTACTGCATAATTATAGAAAATGACACGGATTTAATGTAAGAATAATTTATATTTAATTATTTCCAATATACTTGTTTTAACAAATAATAAAACCAAGTCATAAATGTTTGTTTCTTTGAAAAAAAAAAACTGAAGAAATTAAAATTTTTTTTATAAATTTAAATCTGACAAATTTTGACAAATGTATATTAGTTCAAACTAGTAGTCAAACCTGTTAAACATAAGTCTTCACTAAACCAGAGAATAAAGGCAAAACATTTATTGTCCTTTTATAACACATAACCACATCTTTAATGAAAGGCGTCGTATAAATTAAATCACATATGAAGTAAAACACTTTTAGTAACATTGATTGCACAAAAAGTGCACATTTTTTTCTCATCATACGAGAAGACCTGTTGTTCTACAGGCGAAGGTGTCTAATCTTTTCAATGATTATTTTAAATACTTTTTTGGAATCATAAAGATATCTTTTTGTTTTAATCTTTATGATAAATGTGATGACTAACTTTTATATCGTCAACTTTCCTCACTTAAGGACAGATGATACAAACAAAAAATGGATGCCTGGATTGGTATATATTTTATGGGTCTACTTTTGTTGCAAATGATGCAAATAATATTTTTAAAAAATTATTAGGGAATTGTAGACCTTCTGTGATGTTCAAAATTCTAGTTTGTTTCATCTTTCCTCAAGTAGCAATATACCCTTGTCATCTGCATATAGGGTTTATGCCTCAAAGTTAGAGAACTTGCTCTATGTAGGAACAAGTTCCAAACGCGGGATCGTATAGTTGATGGAACAAAAATATCAACTAATCATTTTGAAAATAATGACCTCGTCAGCAAATAGTGTATATCGTAAATTCATATATGATTGACGTTTTTCGTAATGCATTTACACATTGATCTATCTACGGATTGTCTGTTTTCCCAATCAAGACACAGTGTATTTGGTGGGTATGACAAGTTGACAGGGGATGCTTACTCCTTCATTGCACCTAATCCCACCTCTAATATTTTAGAGGTCTGTGTTAGTTCTGTTCCTGTTTTGTATTTTAACAATAGACTTCTGAGCTTGATTTCTGGTTGTTATCTCCATTTAAAAATATAGAGATGAATCTACCTAATTCTAGTTGTGTAGCATTCACATAATGATCAAACATTACTTAAAGATTGTTTTAGATCTTTCATTCAAACAGCCTCTCATCAAATCTAATTAATGAAAAAGCTTTTGTTTTTCATTCAAGGGTCACATCGTTCACTATATCAAGCTACATCTTCAGAATTCAGGTCGTCCGAATGTTGAATCATGGCTCCATAGAGACTTTTCCATCAAATTTGGAGAAATGTAATTTTTGTTAAGAAAGCTGGATTAGCTTTGTAACATTGTACTAATGAGTCAAAAAGGGGCATAAAAGGTTATAAAACGGTGTAGTATAATTATATGTTAGTAAATATATAGTGACGGAGATATTATTAAAATAAAAAAATCTTCCACTTACCGTTTTGTTCGATAGGTTGGAAGAAGTGCACAATTTTCATGATTAAAACGGTGCCTTTGCGCCATAAGATGTACGGTATTAGTACCATTGTTACCAAGAGGAACACGAGGACTACAGCACAGATCCCCACCATTAAAGCACGCCAGTTAGAGGGCCGATCAGCCTTCTGCTCCTCAGCGTCCACTGAAAAAGGGATAGAATTCCATACTTTTGTGATATGTCAAATTCTGGCGTGGATGTTATAAAACTTTTAGAGTACGTACTCTGTGCTCAAACTCTTAATTCATTCTAAAAACCTTACGCATATGGTTGAAATAAATGAAGAAATGATAGAGGAATTTTAAGCATGAGTATGATTTTTTAACACGTCGCTTTAGTTTGAACATTCAGTACGTACTCAGAAAGTTTCATAACCTCCAGGCCCTGGTCTTCAAATGCAAGAGTAAGAGTCTGGTGAAAAAATTAAAGAATTTGAAGAAAAAAATGAGAAAGGTACCTACCTTCTGTAATCGTCATATTACAAAAGTCTCCGAAATGTCCAATCTGACAATTACACAACTGTTCGCCTTTGTTCACAACACAACTTCCAAAGTCTCCACAATCTCTACAGCATTTGTGTTCACACTTTTCCCCACTGGCTTGAGGGTCACAGACACATGAATAGCGGGGACCATTTGCCCCACGCTTTGTAACACAAACCCCATACTTGCATGTGAAGGCAGCAAAACAATTCCTAACAGATAGGGGTCGTAAGCTGTAATCCTGTGAACACACGTCGTGGTCGTCCTCATCCACTGCTGGTGTGGTGGTGGGTACACTGTCAGAACAGAATAATCCTTTGTAGCCCCGGTCACAAACACAGCTAATCCCGCCTGTATTCCTGCAAAACCCGTGAATACACTCAAAAGAGGGAGCACAAAGACGTTCTGCAAGTGGTCTTAAATTCAGAGCTGAGGGAGACGTTGGTGGCCTTGTGACTTCTTTTGTAGTTCTAGGACTTTCACACACTATACCGTCACACGAGGGGGTATTTGTACAAGATACACCACTTCCACAAGGCGAACAGTCCAGTCGTGTACACCTATCACCCATCCAGTGCTTGTCACAAACACAGCTTTGATTCCCATCGGTTTTATCGCAATAGCCATGTTGACACTGAAATGGGAAACAAATGCGTTCTTTAAGTGGACGCAGAAGACAACCGTTGGTGTTGGATCTGGAATTCACAGTTGTTGTGACATTACTCGTGTTCTTCTCACATCTTCTGCCCGAAAACCCTGGAGGACAGTAGCATTTTAGTGGCATGCATGTTGAATCGTCTTGGGTACAATTCCCGCCGTTTCTGCAATAGTCCTTGCATGGCTCAAATAAACATTTTTTATTAGCTGGCTTCTTTCCGAACCACGCTATCACTCCCTCTAATAGAACCAAGATCACCACAACATATACAACTTTCATTGTCATCAACTTCTTCACCACACTGATATTAAAGATTAAAACACCTATAAGTCTTCAGAATATCTTCATTTCACTTTTCCCAATTCGCCATTAAGTATACATCTCCTGATGCTCGGCTTCATTACTAGTATGTCGTACATATTTATGTTCGATGCGCACCGCTGGTCCTTGTACAGAATTAATGGACGTTGTACCAACAACACTTAACGTTCTCCATAAACAAATGATAAATTCTTTCATAAAAGAACAAACAGGTTCTCTATGGTGCCATGATTCAACATTCGGACGATCTGAATTCTTCAGAAGTAGCTTGATATAGTGAACGATGTGACCCTTGAATGAAAAACAAAAGCTTTGCCTGACATGAATAAGCGACCATGCGTGACAGAGCAAGGAATGCTTAGGTGGTGGGCGACTTTCTCGCTAACTGTCATGTTACTTTATGTCCACTTAGACACCAACTGTCCTCTAGGAAAGTGCACTTTTGTTAAACTATTTCAAGCATGCAAAATATTGCAAGATGCAATTTTGATGAACTCCAAATCAAGTTATTCCGTTTGTCATATGCCAAAAATATAACGATTTTTAGAAATAATTTGTAGAAAGTACTAGTATATATTCTATAAAGAAGAATATTAAGTGTTTATTCAGACATAGTAACAACAATGGCTACATTTCTTCGGTGATGTATAAGCTGTTTATTTTAATGATTAAAAGGTTTTCAATTGATTTTTTTCTAAGATATTTAAATTAAGATATATATCTTTCTATTCGAAATAATAACTCTACATTAAATGCCGACTAATGTTGTCTCATAAATGTTTTAGAATCATCAAAAAGACTAATTATCTATTTATTTATTGATAATGATAATGAAAAAAGGAAAACACATTGAAAAAGGGCAGATCTAGATAAAAATACATGGTGACGTACATCTCTTTTAAAACAAATTAAGTCCAAAAACAGTTTAATCAACTTGTCCAAAGATTGCAAATAAAGAATCATGAACCACCCTGTGGTTTTGTGGCATTTTTTGGCATTCTTACTAAGACATGACGCGCACTTGTCCGTAACTGTCAGGTTAGTAAACGTTGAAAACACATACCACACAAAAGCATTTTGTTAAACAAAACTCTAAGACAGTCAATAAATCAGTTTCTATCTGGTCATTGTCGAAATATTTTTCAAACAATTATGATTCATTTTTGAAAGTTAAGGCAATTAATCTTCAATTAATATACCTGCCTTGAGGTGAAAACATTAATTTTATTCGTTACACTAGAATATTCTATTTAAATATGACGAAATAAAATATTCAATTTGTTGTCAAATTTGAACAAGAATTACACAGTACTGGTTGTTATTAGTTCAAAAGTATTATTTTTAATATGTAAAATAGTACTAGTTGCTAACAGTTCAAAAGTATTATTTTAATTTGTAAAATATTTTTTTCTCAATAAATCCTTTTTCCTAGCCTCTCGGTATAAATAAGAAGTTTTTGCTTTAAACAGCTGAGAAATTTTGCATATTTTGCAAATTGAAACATTCAATGTAGGTGCAACTACGACAAAATTATTAATCTCATCAATTCTACCAAACATTATAGAACAAAGATTGGAATAATAAAGTTCATGAACGCATTGCAAATTATTTCATGTATTTGAGATGTTAAAATAAAATAGATATTTAATTTATATTGCCTTTTTATTTCTAGTTTGGACTAAAATTTTAAACCAATGCAAATTTACTGTGTTTTCCAGAATTTGAAATAGGTGCTGTAGCACTGCTTAGTCCAACTAGAATTCGTAATTTATGAAATTAAATATTTATAACTTTGTTAGCATCCAATTATACAATGACTTGGTCGATTGTTGGAGCACAAGAACAAGGTTGTATGGTGTCCTCAAAAAGGTTAAGCTGTCACCGTCAAAGCTTTAAACAAATCAGATGTCGATGAGATTTTTTTTAGGATCTTGTGTCCTTACAAATTGTCATAAAAATTTTATGTTAAATTCTTAAAGCATTGTAATCTTTCCCATTGTAGTTTCAAGAGTTTTTCAAGAGTATTTTTAAGTGTCTCCTTTTGCTGTTAGTATGAGCATAGATCTAAAGTGAAAGTCTATGGTATAAGTCGTAGACTTGATTTCATCATCAGAGTCGCGGAGTAACTTAGTTAGAATTTACGTCGCGGGATCGTATCCCAAGACGGACCTGGGAGCTAGTTCTTCGGATAAGTTAGCATAAATGGTGATCACATGCTGCAGTTTGGTGCTGGCACGAAAAAGTTCACTTGCTGCTCAAAAGCATACAAGCAGATAGCCTAAGCTTTACAGTACTCTATATTTTGATCACTCTGAATCTAATATTTGTATTGTTAGCTAAAGTGTATGGTATCACTACTTTTACTTCAAAAATGATTGTGCAACAATATATACAAGAAGTGGTGTAAATCAGATGTGGATACTTAAAAATTCCAAGGAACTTTTGGACAATTTGAAATCACAAGATTTTACCAAAATTAACAGCTGATTCAGAAAAACTTACGACTTTTCAACTTTATACACAAACATTCTCCAGGGTAGATTAAATTCCAGGACTTTTGATATCATTGACAGCTGCTTGTTCAATAAAAATGTAACTCGTAAATTCACTTACCTTGTCACTGGTCATTTGCAAAATTATTTTTTTAAAATCATTCTGATTGTACACACAAGTACTCTGAAGTTGACATCAAAAAGCTGCTTGAGTTTCTGATTGACAATATCTACGTTGTTTTTGGAGACAAGATCTTCCAAGTTCCCCTTTAAATTGTTAAAAAAAAATCCATTCTTTTGGTATTTATCACATTCAGACACTTGTGCACATTCAAATACTCTTGAAAAGATTTATCTGTCTCTTATAATTACTATGTCTGAAATAAAAGAATTGGTTATACTTGTACCACAAAGGGTTTTAAATACTCAAAATCTATAAAGAAGATATTCAGTTTTGTAGCAAACAATCTATTGGAATTCCCATGGGTACCAATTGCGCCCGGTTATAAGCAGACCTATTTCTGTATTCATATGAAGCAGAATTTATGCAAAATCTGATGTGTGAAAAGAAGAAAACACTTGCAGTGGCCTTTAACTCGACATTTAGATATATCGACGATTGTCAATTAAAAATGGTTATTTCCATTCTTATGTCGATACGATATATCCAGGTGAGCTTGAGATAAAAGTACCACAGAGTCTGACACATCTGTTTCATATTTGAATATTTTACTTGCAAAAGACGTTAATAGTAATCTAACAACCAAGGTCTATGATAAACGTGATGACTTTTTGTTTAACTTTTCTATCGTCAACCTCCATATACTTATGCAGCAATATACCTTCATCACCTGCATACGGAGTTTATATCTCTGAGTTGATTCGATACGCAAGAGCATTCTCTGCGTATGAACAATTTCTAAAACCAGGTAAATCATTGACAAACAAGCTGATGAAACAAGAATATCAGCAGTCTCGTCTATAGTCATTATTTCGAAAGTTCTATGATCGATACAATGACCTTGTCAGCAAATATATTTACAATTTATCATCGAGTCAAATGCTGACTGACGTTTTCCATACTATTTGTTAGTTCACTATTTAAACATTGAATTGACGACGGATTTTTCCGTAAGTTCCCGATGACAAGGAGCACACTGCCGGTGTGACCGGTCGGCAGAGGATGCTCACTCCTCCATGGCACCTGATCCAATCTCTGATGTTTCGGATGTCCGTGTTTGCTCAGCTCCTATTTTGTATTGTTTGTGGACTATCTCCATATGTTTCATTTCACTTCTACTTGATTGTATAACAGTTTTAAACATAAAACAAATCCCCTTGTTAATAAATTGTACTTAAACTCTTGATCAATGGTTGTACTCTGAATATATAAGTGTACTCTGGACCAATTTTATGGTCTGAATTGATAACTGTAATCAAAACCAGTAATTGTACTCTGAATTACTGGTATAGGGATCTTCAGAAAAAGTATTTTCTTAACTCGGGTTCAACTTCGCTACAAGATAAAATAAAATGAGAATGTAATAAAGTGTCTAAAGACAAATGACTGAATAACATTAATGCTAAATTTTATAATTTAAACACCTGCAACCTTCATAGAAGATCAAAAACAAAAGGGAGCACTCGTTAGAGTAACCATAAAAGTCGTCCGTGAGATTGATATTAGAATTTCATTAAAAAAAACAAACATCGTGCTCTTGAAAGACAGGAGACATTTAACTGACATTCAATTTTCATATTTTTCAGTTTTTGTGCTAGCCTCTAGAATTTCATTAAAAGATTTACAACAAATTATTATTCCAAAGGTAGAGATTAATTTTTGCAAAATGATTATACATGTGTAATGTGTTCATTTTTGTATCTAGTTATATCATCTTAGATAAAAACACAAGAGTCTAAGTCTGACGAACAACCTTATAAATTATCCAAACGAGAATTATAATAAATTGATCAGACACATGAATTATAAATACACGACCGTAAAATGAAAGATATATAAACATATCAAAATATAATGTATGCATTTTAAATACAAAATTGACGTTAAAAGGCAACCACAAATCAAACCTTATACGGGATTGGAGCCTAATTCAGTGTCCTTTATAAAAATCTGCATCTAATTTTCTCTAGAACGCCTTTGATTCAAATTTAATTTTGAATTGGCAAAATGTATAAAGTAAGTCTGAAAAGTACATCGGAAGGTCGGTTTATCTGAAAATATCTTATCCGTTTTTAGGAAATAAAGTCTCTTACTACTGCATTATTCAATAAAAAAGGAAATCTGTAAATAAACTCAACTTGGTATTGGTCATTGACATTTGAAAAAAAAAACCATTTAAGTACTATAAAGTTGATGTTAAAGGATGCTTGAGTTTCTGATTTTTAATATCTTTTTTTAATAAAGATAAGATCTTTCAACAATCTGTCGGAAATCCATTTGTCATTCCTATTAACAGGTGCTTTTATTTTCATAAACAGAATTTATTAAAAACTTCTAGTTGAGAATTAGAAGAAAAATACTTATAGTGGCATTCAACTCGACGTTTAGATAAATCAAAGACGCATCATTAATTATAGCGACTAAACAGATTAACAATAATTGACAGTTTCTTTCATGGCTTTATTAAAGCTGACATGAATTCTTAAAAACGCAACATTTTCATCTATGTACGACTTGTTTCATACCAACTAGAGCCGTTTTCCGCCATATTTCTTTCAGATACATTGTCTCATTGTAACGATATATACCCCAATGCTCTCGTTACACTTGAATGATTTTTGGGCTTGGGTATCGACTTGTGCACAT